TATGCTTTCTGCCCCTGTTCAAGGTTTAAAAGAATCCTTTCCTCACCCCACATATAAGCTGAGCAATGGCCTTTTTAATTAAAAATCTCAGGGTTAGTTTAACATCACGGTTTATGTCATCCATTTTCATTACTATTAGAAAATAACCGAGGCAGGCTAGCTTTATAGAGGAAGGAGGCTAATTTAGTTTAGTTTTGGGAGTTCAAGGGCAAGGTGCTGGGGTTGGCCGAGCTTTGGTTAGCACCTCATGGTAAATGTGGGAGTGCCTAGGAGAGAGACCGTATTGCCTAAATCTGGAATCCACAGAGGGACTGTATTGCCACAGTCCTTCCACAAGCAGCACCTACGGACAAGCCACCAGGCTGCACCTCTTCAAGGCTTTCACCATCACATGGTGAACAAGTCACAGCAAACACCTCCCCTTGTGGGTAGCCAAGTCACAGCTCACCCTGAATAGCTATTCCATGCTTTTCTCCTGCTTATCTTCTTTCTTAAGCTGATTTCTGGGCTATGCTTCCACCGACTTTGCAGACTCATTTCTGCCTGAAACATTCTACGCCCCATCTCAAAGAGCTAATAGTCACAGTCTCACAGCCTTGGGGTGGTGGACACCTCCTCTATGCAGACTTCCATACCCAAATGACCTTTCTCTCCTTTTGGTTTCCATATCATAGGTATCATTCATTATTAACCATGATTGTGTTTTTCTTTATGTTATTAAAAATTGGTATTTACTCATTTTCATTTTATTTGAAAGGCAGAGAGAGACAAAGAGAGGGGAGAGACTCTACCATTCAAGGATTTACTCCTGAGATACCTGCAACAGCCAGGAGCCAGCCAGGGGCCAGGGGCCAGGACCAGGCCAGGTGACAGCCAGGGACCAGGGGACAGGACCAGGCCAGGCGACAGCCAGGGGCCAGGGGTCAGGACCAGGCCAGGTGACAGCCAGGGGCCAGGGGATAGGACCAGGCCAGGAGACAGCCAGGAGCCAGAAATTCAGTCGGGACTGCCAAGTGGGTGACAGGGACCCAAGTCCCGGTGCCATCACCTGTTGTCTCGTAGGATGCACAATAATAGGAAGCTGAATGAGAAGCTGAACTGGGATTTGAACTCGGCACTTTGAAATGGGATGTGGGCATTCCAGATGACATTGTAACCACTGTGCCAAGTGCACACCCCTTCTCGCTCTATGTTCATCTCATGTCTCCAGGTGGCTAACTCACCTTTGTATGCACTTCCCTCAACCCCAGTTGCCTCGCTTGCTGCCTAACATTGTTAGTGGATTTCCTCCAGGCTGCGTTGAAATCCTTCTTTTCGGGGAGTCTTGCTGTACCCTAGAGGGGTGCATCTCTGACTTTAGTGTCATAATCACCAAGGGAACTTACCAGACCACAGACACTCCAAGACAGAATGGTGACTTGGGGATAAAACAAACAAAACCAAAACCAGAATGCTATGGAAATGGAAAAAAGAAAAGGCAATAAGGAACTCCAGGAAAAGCAAAAAGCTATTATGAAATGTTATATCACAAGCCTCAGACTGGTACAGGTGGAACAGGTCGGAGAGTCCCCCCACTCCTTCCACTCTTGGAGGTTTGTTTCCCAAGCAAGACAAAGAAGATATTCTGAGTCTGAGCGTTGGCTGATAGTCAGACTGCCGAATGTTTATGCGTCAAACTTCTCTCTAGTTCTTTACAAAGATAACGCACTTTTTCTTTTGTAAGATTTGCTCTAAGAACATCCCATATGCAGGACAGGGATGCAGCTTAGGGTAGATGGGAGTCACCTTGGAAGACCAAAGTGTTTTCATTTACTGGGATTGAGTGCAAGAACAGAAGGTAAAAGCTGATGGTTAATAAATGTATACCCTATGTCAGGCATGGCTGCAAGCACATTGTGTCACGGCAGTCCCTTAATATTCACAATAATTCCAAGAATGCTGTATCTAGAAGAAAAAACTGAGGCCCAGGAAGGTGAAAGGAATTGCTCAAGGACCCTCTGTCTGTGCAAGAAAAGTTGGCCCCCCAGCGGCTGCCTCCTCCCCCCGGCCACCGTCCTGCACCCATCACCCCAGGGAACCCATAGGTTGAGCTCACCTGCATTGCTGAAGTTCTCCTCGCAGGACAGCCAGAGCCCCACATGGAACCTGCGCTGGGTGAACTTGTCCTCGCCCATCTCCCAGATGTACTGCACGGCCTGGCTCCCACCATCCCCACCGCTGCTGAAGTGAATGCAGTGTGGCCCGCCCACTGGGTCCTGGCACAGCGGCTTTGTCACCCGCCGCATCCCCTGGCACCAGTGGCTGCTGCTCACGGCGGTGAGGGAGAGGGCAAGGGCCAGGCAGATTGGGAGGAGCATCCAGGCCCGCTGCCTTCGGACCCCGTCCATGGTCCACTGAGGTGTTGGTGCAGGATGAACCCAGGGGGCGCTGCCTCGTCCCCTCTGGTCACTGTCCCCATGCTTCATTCCCGCCATCTGCTGTCCCGATGCAGTGTCCTCTCTCATCCTTTTGGGGAATGACAGTGGGCAGTGCTGCTGCTGCTGCATACATCAGAGGCCCCAGGCAAACAGATCAGAGCTGAGACCTCTCCCCGCCTCCCCGCAACCACCTGCTCCTTGCCGGTGCTGGTGGCCTTTCGTCCTCCACAGGATGAGAATGAACCGGGGGCAGGGGTGGTTTTTGTTTATTTATTCTCGCAACAAGCACACCTCATACAACGTACTCTGGACTCTGCTGCTTTTAGGTGTCAGCTCAGTGGCATCAGGCTCCCTCCACTGTTGGGTAACTAGCGCCACCTCCTGTCCCTACAACTCATCCCCCACAACTGCGACCCCGCAGCCTCCCATCCTAACGCCCCACGTCCCCTCCTCCCAGCCCCTGGCAGCCACCATCCCGCATTTAGTATTCCAGGCATGTCGTGCAAGTGCAGGCAGATGGTAGCTGTCCTTAGAGTTAGAGATACAGAGGTGAGGAAGAGAGTCTTCCATCTCCTGGTTCACTCCCTAGATGACCACAATGGCGGGGCTGAGCCAGGAGACAGGAGCTTCTTTTGGGGTCTCCCACACAGGTGCAGCGGTCCAAGGATTTGAGCCACCCTCTGGCTGCTTTCCCAGCACAGCAGCCAGGACTTGAATAGACATCGATATGGGAGGTCAGCACTGCACATGGAGGTTCACCATGCTACACCACAACACTGGTGCATGTCACTCCTCAAGGCACACCCTAATACACACCCCTATTTCCTTTCTTTTCAAAGCTGAACATCACAGTTGGCAGTGAGTGTTCGCAGATCCCACCTACTTAGATCTAACCAATAGCAGGTGGCAAACATTCAGGCAAAAAAACAAGCCTGCATCTGTGCTTGAACGAATACAAACTTCCCTTTTCTTGTCATTGAACTCTTGGTACGCTGTATAATGTGCAGAGTATGCATGTAACGTAGGAGCCGGCATTGTGGCAGCGAGGGTTAAGTTGCTGTCTGTGATGCCAGCAACCCGTATGAGCACTGGTTCAAGCTCCGGCAGGTCCACTTCTGATACAGCCCCCTGCTAACTAACCTACCTGGCAGAGCAGCCAGAAGTTGCTACCGGGCAGTGGCATCCCAGGGGATTTCACCTGGTCTGCAGTTACCAGGCCTGCCCACTAGATGGCTCTATGCCAACGGGTGAGGAAGAGAGTGGCGCCCTGGGCACTGGTCCCTTCAGAACAAGGATGCTTAGCGAGGAGGTAGAATCCTCTCACAGAGCTGATTTTCCTTCATCCGTGTGCACTCTAGCACAGCCCCCTTGCACCTGCAGCCCCCAGGCCTCCTACCCGCCCGGATCCCCCGCCCACAGGTCACTTCTCCCTGCAGACCCAAAGAGAGAGCCTCACTAAGGTTGGGATTGAGTATTTTACTGCTGAGGTGTAAAATCTTGCCGTGCAGGTGTTTTTGTTGAGATTTCTACTAAGGTGAGTTTACCTGTGTGCCCTCCTCCCGCCCACCCCGGCTGCTCTGAAATGCACTCTGAGGGGTTTGAGTTGAACGTAAGGCAAGCACCCAAATGAAAAAAACATGCTCTTCTCACCTCTCATTGGGCTGAGCTTTTGACTCAAGCCTGACATGGACCCGCTGGACCTCTGTTTTGGGGAGGCTGGGGAAGCTGAAAGTAGGGGAGGATGTGGAGGCTGAGCAGGGGGAGGTGGAGGAGACGAGCCAAGCTCACCTAGACAGGTAAGGGTAAGACATGGCTTTTCTCCAAGAGGCTGTGGTCCTGGGATCCTGCTCAGAATACATGGCTCACTGGGCCCGCCATTTGCTCTCTGCCATGTGGCTTTGAGCTAGCTACCCGAGCTCTCTGGACCTCCAGATCTCTCAGCCAGCAAGTGAAGCGGGCTGTGGGATTCTTGCGTGGTGGCTGAGAGAAGCTGAACTGTGGTGAGCTGGGCCAAGAGGTGCTGGGCTCTGCAGCCTGCCGTGGAGCCGCCAGGTGGGCTGGGAGTGGGCGAGGGCATTGACAGCACGGGGGTGAGTTCAGAACAGGGATGCATGTTGCGCTTTGCAGCACCTCATGTGTGGCTGGCACCTGGACTTGACCCTGGCTGCTGAGTGGGTGTGGCTCACTTGAGGCCCTGGGTTGCTTGCTGCAGTGTCCAGGGCCAGGTCACTGTCCACTCTGCTTTTCATGATGGGCTTGCTGAAGATGTCCCAGACAACAGAGCTGACTAGGAGAAGGTCTGGAAGAAAAAAAAAACACAAAAAAAACCTCCTTGCTTCAGGGTGGGGGTGGCGGTGGGGGAGGCCGGGGCGGAGGCTGAGCCGCCTCCGTCACTGCTGCTGATGATAAGAAATTTGGGCGATTCAGGCGCTCGCACTAGACGGGTGCAGACGCTCGGGCTGTGGAGAGGATTTACGCAAACATTCTGTCCCCGGACAAGGAGGAATGCACGCCGAGGTCGCCTGCGCTCCATCTCCTAGGGCCAGAGCCGTGCGCCTTTATTGGTGAACAACCACAAGAAGGATGAGGCCTTTGGCGGTGGGCAGGGCACGGGCCCTGCCCTTAGGGGCGCCTGCCTGCCAGGACACCCGGCCTCTCCCCTCCTACTGGGCCCCTGGGAGCCGCTTCCTTCTGCTGGCGTTGCTGGTTTCCATTGAACAAGTAAGAACGTTCCGTTATTCTGCATGATTCTCTTAGCTCCCCGTAGGATCTCACGCTGGCGTGTTTGGGACCTGGACCACCTGTAGGCGTTTGGCGAGTGGACAGCAAGGTGAAGAAAGTGAGGACCTGCTGTCATTTGAGCTTGCAGACGTGGTCACTGGTGATCCTGGGCGTCTCATCTCCAAATCTTTTTCCTACGCATTTGTTTTGGATACAATGAGGAAGGCTTTTAAATGCGGTGTCTACAGCCTTTGACGGTGGGTGGGCATTGTGGCACGCACCACCCATGGCATTTAAAACGCCTGCCCTGAGCCCCTGTCTGCTTTTCTAGCTCGAGCTGGGGTTTGAGCGGTGAAAACATTTTTTCCTTTCCTTTTCTCTGTCTTCCTCGCTATTTATTTTAAAAAGGATAATAAAATGCTTATGTTAAAAAAAGACTGATCAAGTCCAGTGAGCTACGGCGAGTTCCCCCTGGAGTCCCGCCCTTCAGTCTCCGTGCAGGGGTCTTATCCGCCTCACCTCCCCTGGTAGGATTTTCAGTATCATTACTTCCCCAGGCGATCATTGTCGTTCACAAGTGGGGGCTTACGCTTGTGGGTGTTTTTATCTACATCTAGTTGGAAACAGACATCCCCGTCCCTGCCCCACCCCGCCAGGGTCATCCACACACGCTCTGTGATCTGCTCGGTTAATGACGAAACACACCGCAGACAAGCTAACCCGTAGACTGAGCACTCGCTGTGCTCCAGGTCCGGTGCCCTCCCCCACCTCCCCACCTCCCTCACCTCCCCCCACCTCCCCCCAACCCCTACCCTTCCCCACTCTCTCCCACCCTCCCCTACCTCTCCCCACCCCTTGGCATTTCCATGATCCCATTTCACGCTCTCGGCTACTCTTGTACTGATTCCATTTTATGGATGACAAAAGTGAGTCTTGGGCAGTCAGGCAAGCTTTTCTGCTGTCACTGGGGTGGAGCCCCCTGGCTTCATCTGGACAGGTTCCAAGGGTGGATTAGAACATACTGAAGCACCATGCTGTCATCTGCTGGTGCAGGAGGGGACAAGTCCTTACCCTTGCGCTGCCCAGGGCCCCGTGTCTACACCGGGCTGTGTGTGGCGGGAGGGAGCTCTATGTGGCTCTCTGGAGTCACCAGAGCAGCCTAGGGAGTGGTTCTCTTCCTCCTCGCTGTACGAGCAGGGTTAGCCTCTCTGTGCAGCCTGACTTTCCTGTGTCCCTCCTGCCCCTGCGCAGGGCGGGCTACAGTGTCAAGGGGCCCGTCTATGCTGGGTTTCTGTTGGTGTTCGCTGGAGACCAGATGGGCATAGACCCTCCACATCTGCATTTTCCCAGCGGCTACCTCCGAACTCGTGAGCTCAGTTAATGCTTCCACAGGCCTCCTGACATGATCTCAGATGTCCCTCGGAGGGCCCAGCATGTTCCTGGGGAGCAAGTAGCCCCAGGACTCTGGTCTGCCAGTGGTGGGGTATCTGTGGGAAGAGTTCGCACAGAACTCTCAGCTTTGTGTCCATCCTGGGAGTGTCTCACAAGAGAAATTCTTGAAATTCAGATGATGGAGAGACCAGTGTTGTGGCACAGTAAGCTGAACTTCCATCTGCGGTATGGGCATCTCATATGGATACCAGTTCCTGTCCCAGCTGCTCTTCTTCTGGTCCAGCTCCCTGCTTGTGGCCTGAGAGGGCAGCAAGCAGTGGCCTAAGTGCTTAGACCTCTGCACCCACATGCAAAACCCAAAGGAGGTTCCTGGCTTCAGACTGGCACACTTCTCTATAAACTCTGCCTTCCAAATAAACATAAGATAAATCTTTAAAAAATTGAGATGATGGAAAAGCCAACTAACCCAATTTGATCATCCTATAAAGGCATATACCCAATTATCATCTCAAACCCCTTCACGTAGCTAAAATTAAAAAAAAAAAATGATATAGCCGATTGTCTAGTTTTTGTGGTCCTCTACCCAACCATACGGCAAGCCCAGCCACGGTGCCTGGGGCCTAGAATGTTCCTTCACACCCATGAGGGCAATCCCTAAAGGCTTTGGCTCCTGTAGCTCACAAGCCGTGGAGCTGTGGCGTCTGCCTAGGGGGCTTGGGGATCCTGTGTTCTGTCTCCTCCGGCCCTCTTGGACCTGAAGACCCTGCCCCAGGGTGGCTTACCACCCAGGCATCACCCTTGCCTTGGTGTTCCTGCCAGCAGGGCCCAATCCTGGGCTCTGCCATCTGCTCCATGTCCGTGGAGCGCTGGGCATCATCCCTAGGTTCATCGTGTGGGATGGCCATGAGCGTGATCTTCCTTCTCTGCCTTCTGCCTCCTGTTCTCACACCATGGCTTGACATAGCCCTTCTTGACAAAGTCTGCTCCCAGAAACTTTCCCAGCATGGAACAGAAAGGGCCATGGTGCAGCTGCTGGCACAGTGCCACCATAAAATTCACATGGTGAGAGATGTCCTACCACAGTGGAGTTTCTAAATTTAAGTGGCTTAACGGTCCGATCCGCACACCGTCCCCCATGCTCATTTAAGTTATTTAATAGTTGTCTTGGCATGAAACAAAAAAGCCCGACCTCTCGAAGGCTCTGAGAAGTGCCTTTTAATGTATTCTTGGTGGAAGTGTGAAGGGGTGGCTACTAATGTACTTTTTTGGCAAGGGTCAGTAGCTTGGTAGGACAATCTTAAAAACTTTAACAATGTGTAAACGCCATGAATCAGAAATTCCAATGCAAGGATTTTCTCCTGAGAAAATAAAAAGGGGCTCTTAAGTATTTAATTACAAAGATTTTTCACTGGAGCATTATTTACATTAGCAAACAGCTGAAAATAGATGTCTAGCCATAGAGAACTAAAAATCCACATTTATTTCACATTCATTCATAGAAAGTCATGGAGCTACTAAAAGGAAGTTTTACCATTTATTTCTTGAAATACAAATACAATCCCAGGATAACTTCTAATGAAAGTTAAGAACTAGGGCCTGGCGCGGTGGTGCAAGTGGTTAAGGTCCTTGCCTTGCACGCCTGGGATCCCATATGGGCGCCGGTTCTAATCCCGGCAGTCCCGCTTCCCTTCCAGCTCCCTGCTTGTGGCCCGGGAAAGCAGTCGAGGACGGCCCAAAGCTTTGGGACCCTGCACCCGCGTGGGAGACCTGGAAGAGTCTCCTGGCTTCGGATCGGCATAGCATCAACCGTTGCGCTCACTTGGGGAGTGAATCATCGGACGGAAGATCTTTCTCTCTGTCTCTCCTCTCTGTATATCTGCCTTTCCAATGAAAAAAACAATAAAAATAAATCTTTAAAAAAAAAGAAAGTTAAGAACTAGAAGACAATTTCATTCTCTTTTGGATAAAATTCAAAAAGAAAAATATATAGAAAAATCTAGAAGTAGACGAAAAAATTTTGAAAAGAATTTATTCATTTGTTCATTTTAAGATTCGTTTTTATTGAAATGTCAGATATACAGAGAGGAGGAGTGACAGGAAGGAAGATCTTCCGTGCATTGATTCATTCACCAAGTGGGCGCAATGGCCGGTGCTGTGCCGATCTGCAGCCAGGAGCCAGGAACTTCCTCCAGGTCTCTCACACAGGTGCAGGATCCCAAAGCATTGAGCCATCCTTGACTGTTTTCCCAGGTCACAGGCAGGGAGCTGAATGGGAAGTGGAACTGCCAGGATTAGAACTGGCAACCATATGGGATCCCGGAGCATTCAAGGCGTGGACTTTAGCTGTTAGGCCACGCTGCTGAGCCCTTAAAAATTATTTAATGATACAGTTCTAAATAGGGTCTTGGATTTCCGTTACCCCCTCTCCAAATTTCCTCCTCCTAACCGCTTTCCCCCATATTATTACAATAATATCGTCCTTCATAAACAGTCACAAGTCTGTCATTCTGCTGTTTGAGTGTATCCTGACATTGCAGGCATGAATAGTGGTGGAGAGTCCAGCATCCTATTAAGATATAGTTAACAGTTTCATTGGGAATCCATTTTTGATCTGGAACTAGAGATGCATATTGTATTGTATCTTTACATCTTGATGTGTTAGTCTCCATTACACAGTTACTATACATCCCCTTAAATGAAAGTCCACAAAATAAAATCAATAACAGGAAGAAAAAAAAATTAACACACCATGAGCTTAAATAACATGCTACTGAATGATTAACGTGTCGCTGAAGATGTGAAAAAGAAAATCAAGAACCTTCTTTAAGAAAATGATGCTACTGTATGACTTATAAGTCAGTGAAGAATTTAATATGAGGAAAAAATGTTTTGAAGAAATGAAAATAAGAGCAAACACATCAAAATCCATGAGATACGGTTCCTACTGATCTTTGTTGGTGAGATATGTCTCCTGTAGGCAACACATAGATGGGTTTTGTTTTTTGATCCAGTCCACTCATCTATGATGTTTAATTGGTGAGGTTAAGCGATTTACATTCAGGGACAATGTGGATGTGTGATAATTTGGTCCTGTCATGTTAGCAATGGGTTGTTCATTATTTGATTTAGTCTTCTGTCATTTTACTGGGGTGTTCTCCACATTTGCCTTTGATTTTGGCAGGTGTTATTCCTTTTCTCTGTCAAGAGAACATCTTTAAGTATTATCTGTAGGGCAGGCCTGGAAGAAGCATATTCCTTGAACTTTTCTTTGCTGTAGAACAATTTTATTTTGCTGGGTAAGTTATTCTGGGCTGACATTTTTTTTTCCTTCTAGAATCTGGAATATGTCTCTCCTTTCTCTTCTGGCTTGTAGAGTTTCCTCTGAGAGATCAGCTGTGAGTCTGATTGCCATTACTCTATATGTCAATTGATTTTTTTTTTTCGTGTTTGACTGAAGAGAGCTTATTATCATGTCATGGTGAAGATCACTTTTGGTCAACCCTGTAGGAGCTCTGTGCCCCTCTCTATGCTTCCCAAATCTTTCTCCATATTAAGCAAGTTTTCATTTATTATTTCATTGAATACATCTTTAAACCTAGCTGCTCTTTCTGCACCTTCTGGAACTCCCATTAACTGATATATTTGACCTTTTAATAGTGTTGAGTAATTCCTGAATACATTTTTTTTTTTTAGCTTGATCCAGCTCCACTTTCAGCTTTTCGATTTTTTCCACCATTGTGACAGGAAATATCTTCCAATTCTGAGATTCTTTCTTCTGCCTCATTCATTCTATAGTCGAGGCTTTCCATCAAATTTTTAATTTGCTCCATTGTGTCCTTCATTCCTACTAATTCTGCTTGATTTTATTTCAGTGTTGTTATTTCCTGTGTGACATGTTCCTTAAATTCCTGCATGTGCTTCTCCTTGTTGATAAGAAGCCTTACAATAAATTTTTAAGTTCTTTCTCCCCCGCTTTCTTGATGTTTTCCTCAGTTAGCTTTGAGCTTTGCAAAGGCTTTTGTGCCTTTGCAGGGAAGTCTTCAGTCATATTCATTATGCCTCAAGCTGACTCAGCTCCAGCCATTGTGACCACTGAGGAGTGAACCAGCAGATGCAAGATCTCTCTCTAGGTCTCTCCCTTTTCTCTCTGTGACTCTGCCTTTCCAGCAAGTAAGTAAATACATAAAAAAATAATAAATAAAAGAAGACAAAACTCATAGGAAACTGGAATGCAGGGATAAATGCTATTATTGCAACCTAATTAGATTTGCTTACTGGTTACTTCCATGATCCTCCAGCTGTGTCAGAGGGTGCCTTGGGCACTACCATGAACCCACAAGGACACCAGAAAATATTTTGAGTTTTTGAGGGAAAGCATAGTAGTTGTGGTTTTATTGAGCACTTGTACGAACCATTAGCTTGAGGTCGTCAAGGTCTCCAAGCTGCAGCATCTTTGCAAAGCCGGGCTTTCTGTAAGGGCTGTGATGCACAGTAAGTGCTATGAAGCCCCCCAGACCAACACGGACCAGGAAATGGAGGTAGCGGCGTCTCCTCTGATTCCAGAGCCTGAGAAATTGTGCAATGCGTGACTGATGCTACGTAGTTAGACATAAATATTTATGACATTATTTGGACTTAACTACTCAATAAAGGGTGCTTTAGATTTATCTTTTGAGCTCAGGATGAAGTGGAAAAATTACGGAGATGACAAGGGGAGCACACATTGCGGGAAACTTGGGAACTCTGGTGAGCACTGCCACAAAGCTGGCTGTGTACTCCCACAGGCCTCCTCATGGATGCTTGGTGGTGGGGGATGCAGGGTTTGATGCACAGGTTAAGACATTGTGTGGGAAGATCATGTCTCCTACTGGAGTATCTGGTTTAAGTCCCGGCTCCTCTGCTTGTTGCTTTTTTTTTTTCCTGTCTCAATTTCATCATCTTAAAAAAATCTTCTATGTAAATTATTACTTATATTATTATTTTATATTTTAAAAACATTTTGCCGTGTTCATTTCAAATGTAGACATTGAATATGCATACTTTCATTTTTTAAAAAAAGATTTATTTATTTTTGCTTTAAATTTAGCATTACAAAGAGAGAGAAAAAGATCTTCCATCTGCTGGATCACTCTCCACATGTCCACAGTGGCCAGAGCTGGCCCAGCCTGAAACCAGGAGCCAGGAGCTTCATCTAGGTTTCCTGTCTGGGTATCAGGGTCCAAACACTTGGACCATCCTTTACTGCTTTCCCCAGGCCATCAGCAGGGAGCTGGATCAGATGTGGAGCAGCTGGGACAAGAACTGATGCACTCCTGTGGGATTTTCCCAATGTCACAGGCAGAGGCTTTACCTGCTATGCCATAACGCTGGTCCCTATACCATTTTCTTCTTGAAGACAGACATTTAATTTTGGGAAGGATTCATCACCATGAGTATAGCATAGTGTCATGTACAAGGTGTGATTCAGTGAAGCTAAATACTGAATGATATGACATCCATGCATTTTTTTAAAGATTTATTTTTATTATTTATTTTTATTGGAAAGGCAGATATACAGAGAGGAGGAGAGACAGAGAGGAAGATCTTCCATTCGATGATTCACTCCCCAAGTGAGCACAACAGCCGATGCTATGCCGATCCGAAGCCAGGAGCCTCTTCCAGGTCTCCCACGCGGGTGCAGGGTCCCAAAGCTTTGGGCCATCCTCGACTGCTTTCCCGGGCCACAGGCAGGGAGCTGGAAGGGAAGTGGGGCTGCCGGGATAGAACTGCCGCCCATATGGGATTCCGGTTCTATCCCGTGCAAGGCGAGGACCTTAACCGCTGCGCCACCGTGCTAGACCCCATCCATGCATTTTGAAATACTACATATTAACTTCCATAAGTGAGAGAAAATGTGCTTTTTTCTTTCTGGTTTTCTCTGCTTCTGATGCAATGTCCTGCTGAGGAGAACCTGGGAGATAGCACCTGCCACCCACCTGGGAGGCCCAGGTAGGGTTCCAGGCTCCCGACTTTGGTCTTGGCTATCACGAACATTTGGGGGAGTGAATCAGAAGATGCAAAGTCTCTAATCTCTGTCCGTTTTTCAAACAAAATGAAAACCAATGAATGAATGCCATGGTGTTGGAGAGGGCATGCTGGGCAGCAGAGAAAATAAATTGGCATAATTAATTGAGAGATAAAAAGCAGCTCCTTCCCTCCCTTGCATGGTTCTTTTTACTCCTCTCCATGGAACAAGAAAGCACATGCATTTCTAGTTCCTTGGGAGAGAAGACAAAACCTAAAGGCCAGCTAGTGGGCCAGATCACTTATTGAACTAAGAGAGAACTGTGTTCTCTTCACTACCCACCAGCCACTGCTTTGCCTCTGGGTCTTTGCTAGAAATAAAATGGATGGAAATGAGGTTCAGAATCCTCCTTTCCCTTGCAAAGATGAAAGATGGTGTTTGGCGCGTAAGGAGATCATGGGATGATGGGCTGGGGTGGTTGATCCGTCATGTGTGGGGTTGGATGACACTGAGAAAGAGGGCTCCCAAACTCAAGACTTCAGAGCCGGAGATGGTGAGGCAGGGCCAGGGAACCTGAGTTTAAGTTTAGTCTTGAAGGATGAATAGGTGAAAAACACGGCTGGGAGGGAGTGCCAACATGAAGTTGCAAAAAACGGTAAGTCGTGAAAGAGCATTCCCTGGGATAGGTGTGACTGCAACGAGCAAGCCGACAGGTCACAAGTGGAAGAAGATCCCAGGGTCAGGTGTGCCCATAGGTGAGAATCTTCTACAATGGTGAGGCATGTGGATGATGGCATAGGGCCAGAGGCAGAGGAGATTGGCGGCTGGGTTGGACAGGAAGAAGACTCAGGAAGTGGAGTTGATGGAAGCTGGTGCCTGGTGGGTTGGTTGGGGGGGGGAGGTGCTATGGTGGAGTGGGGGCAAGGAGGGCAGAGTTGAGGACCTGCTTCCGAGCATCCCAGGACTGCTGCCCCTAGGGAAACTGAGGAAGCTGGAGCAGAGTGCCATTGGATTTGATCCCCTAGTTGATGAGATGGTTGCTTCGTCTTTGGCTGATTCTGCATTCATTTTAGAGCAGGGACTTTGTCTCAATGCCTCCATCACACAAGGTCTGCCACACAAAATTGACTCTCAGAGTCTTAGAGTGAACACTATAGGAAACCCCTTTCAATGTCAGAAGAAGGACTACTGGTCTCCAGTGAGAAACTGCTGGACAATTTCTGGCCAATGACAGAAAGCAATGGCCTCCCAAGGCCTTGGCATGGGAGCACAGCACAGGCCCACTCACGACTTTTGACCCTGGAAGCATAGGCAGCTGGAACCTGCCTCGCTTCTCTGTGACATGTAGCAGGACCCCTCTTTGCCAGAAGTGCCTCTGTACGGGATTCTCGGTGTTGTGCTTCTGTATGGGAAGGTGTGAAGCTTTAGGCTACACATGCTGTGTCTTCTTGACATGGCAAAGGCTTTAAAATGGCTCATATCTAGGGCTGGCAGTGACGCACAGCAGGATAAGCCTCTGCTTGCAGCATCTGCATCCCACATGGGCACTGGTTGATGTTCAGGCTGCTCCACTTGCCATCCAGCTCCCTGCTCAAAGCCTGGGAAAGCAGCAGAGGAAACTCAAGGCCTTGGCCCTCTGCACTTATGTAGGAGACCCAGAAGAAGCTCCTGGCTCCTGGCTTCAGATGAGCTCAGTTCTGGCTGTTGCAGCTATTTAGGGAGTGAATCAGCAGAGGAAAGATTCTCTCTCTCCTTCCCTCACTGTAAATCCACCTCTCAAATAGAATTAAATCTTAAAAAAAAAATAGTCTCTGTTTGTGCTAAGCCCAATGCATAGATTTGGGAGGGAATGTGAAATTCCTGGGTATTTTTAAGGTAGACAGTCAAGGGGCTGGGGGAAAAAAACCATTCAGGCACCACTGAAATTCCATTTCCAAGTATAGGCTCTTCTGGGCACAGGGGCAGGGAGGATTGAGGATCAAGGGGTTTGCAGCTATGGGTACAGCTAAGAGGGATGATCATGTTTGTGTCTTCTCAGATCTCGGGATCGCTTCTTGAGGAGACCACTCGGAAGTGGGTGCAGTACAGAGAGAAGTGTCTAACAGACTTACTCAAGGCACCTACTGGTAAGTACCTGTCTCGGCCACCTGTGGCTGTGTCACGGAGCCCAGTGCTTTGGAGCCATCATTGTGGCACTGATGGCTAAGCCATAGCCTGGATGCTGGTATCCATATCAGGGTGCCAGTTTGAGTCCCTGCTGCTCCACTTCTGATCCAACTCTCGGCCAATGTGCCTAGGAAGGCAGCAGAGGATGGCCCAGGTGTGTGACCCTGCCACCTGTGTAGTAAATGCTGGCAGAGTTCCTGGCTGCTGGCTTTATCCTGGCACAGTCCTGGCTGTTTTGGTAATTTGGAAGATTCTCTCTCTGTTACCCTTTCTTCCCCTCTCTCTATTGCTCTGCTTTCCAAACAAATAAATAAGTCTTTTTGGAAAGCTCAGTGGTTTTTAACAGTGACATTCACTTGCTAGCTTTTGTAGTTTCGTGGATCAGGAACTCACTGAGGCACACTGGGTTTGTTTCTTTCTGATTCAGAGGCAGGGATTGAGCTGTGAGATCCATCTGGGAGCTGGCATTCCCTGAAGGAGCTTTTATGCCCATGTCTTCTGGTTGGTGCTGCCTCTCAGCTGAGTGTTGAACCTGGACAGGGGTCCAGGACACCTCACCTCCAAGTGTCTACTCTACTAGGCTTGGACACCTCCTCCCAGATGCCCACCAGCAAGCTTGGTCCAACATCAACCTGTTCCCGGTGACTGTTCCTGGCCTCAGAACTCATAACAGCCCTCCTGCCATTATCTGTTGGCTCAGATGGCTGCCAAACACTACCCACGATCAAGGGGAGGGGACCTAGACTCCGATCTCACCTAGAAACAGGAGAATTTAGGGGAGATGACAGCCACAAGCCACAACCTACTCAAATGAATTGAGCAGTGGTTACAGATCAACTAGGGAATCTGCCAGGTGGGTGGGTGGATGGGGGTCCCCCGTCTACCAGGATGTTAACTAAACCTGAACATCAACATGTCCTTAATCCAAGGGCACACTAGCAATGGTGTGATAGTTTGGTCAGTCCATGGCCTCACCTACCTGCTGCTGGTTGATACATCCATATGATTACATGTGCATGTGTGCGAGAGAGAGAACACTGTGGCCCTGGTCATCCTGCCAGCTCCCTCTGAATATCCTTAAAAAAAAAAGCCCAGATAGCTGAATTACTTGATATCAGATGCAAAGGTCACCTCTCACTTCAGTGAATACTGGAATCAACACTCAGGGCAGGTCTTCCTTACCCAGAGCCATACCATAGGAGCTCAGCCTTACACAGTCTGATCCAAATGGAGTTGTTCTGCCAGTAGACCACCACAACTGTATTTTCTGGACTATGCCATTCACCAACATGCCGAGTTCCCTCGGTGTGTACTGACCTATGGGTGCCAGGTTGACAGAGTGCCCCAGTCCGTTCACAGCCTAGCAGATGCACATCCGTAGGGTTCCAACAATGCCTGTCTCCATGATGCTCACCTTGCGGGGGGGTCCCTGACTTCTGGCTCGTAGCTAGCAGAGAGTGGGACTGAAGTGTGGTTTCCAGGAGTTGGGAGCTTGCTGCATGAAAGTTTGGGAATCCAGCCTAAAACACGACCATTTGATTCCAGGAGGCATGGGAGGGTGGCATTGGATTTTTTAAGTTTAGAGCTTCCCATAACCAAACACAGGCATGTAAACCATGCCCCAACCTGGAGATGGTTCAGGTATCACACAACGATCATTAAATGAAATCATCAGGTGTGGAATGTGTGTGAGCAAGGATCTAGATTCTGTGGATCTCCTTATATCCACTTACCATTCTGTACATTTCTCAGATGCTTGGTGTCTTAGCATCTGATTGGTGAAGGTTTGACAATTACTTAGTTAATTATAAGAATGTAAAGAACTGGTCAAACCTCTGGGCATCCTCCTGACCCTCATTTTTCTGTATGCATCAGATAAAACAACCTCAGTGTAATGGCGGTGTTGATGTAACTGACCAGTGGTCAAGTTGGGTAGCCAACAGCACCATGATGGGGGCTGCGTTCAGCATTCATGTGTTCCTGGTGTGTCTAGAGAGTAAGAGATCTATCTGGTTCTCGCACAGGTGGGCTACACAGGCTTCTGCTGGGAGGGAGGTGGGCTGCAGGAACCTGGGTACCTCCGATTCCATCAGAGGATACCCTCTGTCACCCCCTTCCCCACTCTGCCCCAGTTCCAACACTGACATTCCTTCTGCCTCCTCTTCTGCCCATAGGTGTTTTCTGCAATGGGACATTTGATCAGTTTGTGTGTTGGCCTCATTCTGCTCCCGGAAATGTCTCTGTTCCCTGCCCTTCATATTTACCCTGGTGGAGTGAAGGTAAGAAGTTGTATGCACCTAATTTCCAATAGTTCCTTTAAGGGCTGGTTGATCCAGCTGAGAGGTAGTTAGAGAGCTCCCACCACGTGCTCTCCTCAAGTCCTCATGCTCCCACCAAGCCCTCCTTTCCAGCTCTGGGTCACCCATCTCCCTTCCATATCCTGCTGCAACTCTCCTCCCTCCCAGGTAGAGAATAGCTCTCCTTGCTTTGAGGATTACAGCATCCAGGCCTGGAAGTAGGAAGGCTAAGAGTGGATGAATTTATGGGGAGACCAACAGTGAGAAGGGAAGATTGGGAGGTTTTCAGCCATACAGCCATTCAGAATGAGGAGGAAAGACTTTATTTTGCCCTTGAACCCATGTTTTGTTTTTTGTTTCAAATCCTGTGGGACTTGGATGGCGCCTTCAGCCGCGTAGTTTACCCTGATGCTGTTGAAAGGAAGTGACTACTATGCCTTAGGAACCCAAGATACAACCCCACCCTGACTTACTCTAAGAAGCCCATATTCTCTGGCCATTTCACTTTGCAATGGGAGAGGAGCTGTTACGGTTTTAGGATCTTGTTGCTTTTCTCCAAAGATCACAGGCAGATATATAGAGAGCTAAAACGATTCTTGGGAAATGTAAGCTGTTACAAAGTGCCCAGGCAAGAATGTTCCTGAAGATGGTGAGATGTTAACATTTTGTATTTAATTGTAGCTCAAGAAATCCTCATTGTGGCGAAAGTTAGATTTCAATGCTTGTTGTAGGAATTTGGGGGTGTTGGAGGGAGGAAGCAGGGGGTGGCGGGGTGGGGGGAGAGAGAGAGATTAGAAAGAGTTTAGAAAGAGGATCTATTTCTGGGAGGGACACATTTTATGGAGCTGCTGTCTGATGAAACCTGTTGGGATTCAAGTTTGAGGCTGTGAGGTTTAAAGGAGGGTGAGGATGTGAGGGGACTTCCTGGCTTGCAGGGATCTGGATGAATCAGCCAACCCTCAGCTAGCTCAGTGAAGCCAGAGGGACCCCCATGTGTGGAGTCAGGAGCCATGAGGTTGGAGTCAGGAGCCATGAGGTTGGAGTCAGTCCCTCTGTCTTACACCCTAGATGTGGGCCAAGCCCTCAAGGCCCTGTGAACTGTGGTTTCCCATCTGTTGTGTGAAGGGAATGCTGGCTGCATTTTAAGCTCATTTGAAGAATATACGAGAAGGCAGACTTGCTTGGTTAGTAGGAGCTGCAGCTGCGTCCCAGGCTAAGCCATCTTGAATTTTCCCAGTTTTGAAGGTCCCAAGGCCCACAAATTCCTCCAGGTGAAACAGACTGCCGCCTTCCAGCCCTACCACTTACCACTTCTTCCAAGAGCTAAACACCTTGGGTGCCTTTCATTCTAAGATGGAGGTAAATGAAACATCCACATTTATGAAGAAATTGAGTTAAGACTTAAAAAAAGGATCTATTTCTTTTTATTGGAAAGGCAGAGTTACAGAGAGGAGAGACAGAAAGACCTTCCATTCTTTGGTTCACTTCCCAGTTGGCTGCAATGGCCAGAGCTGAGTCAATCCATAACCAGGAGCCAGGAACCTCTTCTGGGTTTCCCTCACAGGTGTAGGGTCTCAAGGCTTTGGGTCATCCTCTGTTGATTTTCTAGGCCATAAGCAGGGAGATGGGTATGAGATGTAGTAGCTGGGACATGAACCAGCACCTATATGGAATGCCAGTGCTTGTAGACAGAGGGAGGATTAGCCAATTGAGCCATTGTGCTGGCCTCTAGTTAAAGACTTAAAGAAGAAAAGGAAGGTGGGTGTCTGACCTAGGAACTAGATTCCGACATCCCATATCACAGTGACTGAGTTGCATTCCTGTCTCTGGTTTCTGATTCTGGCTTCCTGTCAATGCACACCTTGGGAGATAGTCTATGATGGCTCAAGTCACCAGGCTCCTGTCACGTATTTTAGATTGAGTTTTTAGCTTCCAGTTTTAGTCTTGCCCAGTCCTGGCTCTTACAGACATTTGAGGGAATGAATCAACAGATAGGTGATCTCTCTCCCCAACCCTTCTTTGACTCTTCAATGAGTCAATAAGTTTATCAACAGTTTCTGGGCTTCTGGGTGTTTACTAAAAGGAGTGCAATTGACCAAAGGAAGTGACTCTTTCACATGACTTCCTCCCCACCCCCCGCCCCCTTCCCCCTGCCATTGGGTCTTTAGAATCCAAATAAGATCTTGTAGAGAAAAGAGGATGTGGAGACAACCAAGAGGTTGAAGAACACTCCCAAATGTTAAGCGGTGCAGAGAAGTTCTTGTGCTTTGAGGTTAGGAGGTGTGTGGTCAAACAAGGGGACATAGAGTCTGGTGATGCATACAGGCTCTGCTGGCATCTCAGGTTGGCGTGTCTGGAGATTGTGAAGGCTATTGTGTACTGTGCTGAGAACTTTGGACTTGCCTTTGGGGAACCAGAAAAGGTGCAGCCATGATTGGCGGGTGGTGGGGGCAGTATGAAGGCATGAAAAGACGTAAGAGGTAGTTTGGGAAGACCACACTGGCCCCGTTGACTGCTGACTGTAGGAAGGGAAGGGAGCCAGGAAGTGAAGCTCCTTAGCAGCTACTGCTCAGCAACAAGAGACAAAGAGAGTCTGGATTCAGCCAGAGGCCAGAGACGAGGGAGCAGGACAGAGATTAAAAGACGCTATTGCAGGGGGATTCTCCAGGCTGAAGGCCAGCTGGATGGGAAACCTTGGAGCTGGCCCCACTGACACTCACCTCAGTTGGTAGCTGGCTCCTTCCCCTTCCTCTGCTTCTGCTGCTGCCCTGAGGAGCAGCTCATCCTCACCCACTGTGGTTGCTTCCTGATCCATACACTGGTCCCCAGCCCCGGAGCTGGCCTCCTTCCCACCACCCTCTACAAAGCTCCCTAAAGCACCAATGGGTCTATAAATGACTCACAGGTCCTTCAGCCACCTGGTCCTGCTGTCCTAACTGGCGTTTTCCCCTCCTGTCCCTTTCCAGTGGCTCCAGCCAAGTAAAGGCTGCTCCACCTGCCCTGCTATTAGCTGCCAGTGCCTTTGCTCACAGCTCCAGCTAGGGTGTCACCTCTAAACTTCTGCCCATGCCTCCCTGCTAATAGATCCTACTTCAACCCTCACTTCTGCTGAATCATCTCCCCCATTGATTCCACCATGCACCCTGCATGTCTGCCTTTCTCTCTTTTATGTTTTTGAAAGATTTATCTATTTTTATTGCAGAGGCAGAGTTACGGAGAGAAGGACAGACAGAGAGAAATATCTTCCATTCACTGGTTCACTTCCCAAATGGTTGCAATGGCTGGAGCTGAGCCAATCCAAAGCCAGGAGTCAGGAGCCGCTTCTAGGTCTCCTACATGGGTGCAGGGTCCCAAGGCTTTGGGTTACTCTCCACTGCTTTTCCAGGCCATAAGCAGGGAGCTGAATGGGAAGTAGAGCAGCTGGGACATGAACCAGTACCCATACGAGATGCTGGCATTTGCAGGTGAAGGATTAGCCATTTGAGCCATTGCACCAACCCCTCAAAGCTCTCCCTTCTGATGCCTCTTCTCCACATTAGTGGTCAAAATAGAATAAAATCCTCTCTGCAGGGCTTGTGTTGTAGTAGGAGCCAGAGTATAATCAATAAATGTCACTCTTAAGTATAAACGTGGTCCATTTTGAAAAAGATAGAGCATCGGGGGTGGGATTGATGTGGTGATTCAACAATAAATCCTCTGCCTGCAAGTGCCAGCATCCCATTTGGGCATCAGATTGTGTTCTGGTTCCTCCAATACTTCTTATTCTTTTTGTTCTTTTTAAGAGATATATATTTTTTTATTGGAAAGGCAGATATACAGAGAGAAAGATCTCCTGTCCACTGATTCACTTTCCAAGCAGCCGCAATGGACAGAGCTGAATGGATCCAAAGCCAGGAGCCAGGAATCCTCCAGGTCTCCCATGCAGGTACAGGGTATTAAGGCTTTGAGCCATCCTTGACTGCTTTCTCAGGCCACATGCGGGGAGCTGGATGGGAAGTGGAACAGGCAGGATATGAACTGGTGTGCATACGGGATCCCGGTATGTACAAGGTGAGGACTTTAGCCACTAGGCTATTTTGCACCAGGCCTGGGCTCCTCCACTTCTAACCCAGCTTCCTGCTTATGACCTGGGAAAACAGCAGAGGATGGCTCAGAGGATCTCACTTGGGAGATCCCAGAAGAAGCTCCAGGCTTCTGGCTTTGGATCAGTTCAATTCTGGCCATGGCAGTCATTTTGGAGAGTGAACCAGTGGATGGAAGATCTTTCTCTCTCTGTTTTTCCTTCTTTCTGTATATCTCCCTTTCCAATAAAAAATATGTATGTATTATAAAGATAGAGCATTGTGGGGGAGAGGGAAAAGATGGTAGGGAGTTTGGAGTCTGAGGAGTCAGCTGTGCTTACTAATCAAGTCATCATGGAAGGCTTCGACATTATGGTGATGACCCAGGGAGGTCAAGATTTTGGCCAGGAGGAGAAACATGTACAGGAGATGAGAGGATAATGGGAGATCAAGGCATGGAGCCCTGGGAACCAGAGCCCACTGGGCTGTGCAGAAGGCCATCTACAGGCTTCAACTATTCTCAGAAAGCCTGTGGAAGACGGCGAGTAAAAACATGATATGACATGACTGATTTGGCCAGTTCACTGTGGTAGGAGGGGCTGGATTGTCCAGGAGTCATGAGCATTGAGGTGAGAGATGATGGTTTTATTAAGGATGGAAGCAAGAGGTGGGAAAGGATGTCAGTCTCTGGATCCAGGGGAAGGGTCAGATGATGGGATTAGGTGATTGGCCAATGAAGGCTCAGAGAGAGAAAAGGCAAGGATGATGCTAAAGGATTGAAACCGAGGACAAGAAAGACAAGCTGAAGGATTTGGGTTGGCTAGGTGTTGATGCAGATGTCTGTTAGACACCTATGGTCATGCTGTCAGAGGGGCCGGTGGCTGATCACATGGATGCCTATCAACTGGACGCAGCCAATAGCTACCCACTGATGATCTGGGACGTACAGAGTCAGGACTAGGAAGTGCCAACACATTTCCTACTTTGAAAATCCAATATCTCTGAACCTCCAGGTAGGAGGGGCTCCTGGGATAGGCATGACTGAGTCACAGCCGTGCTTGTCATGGGCAGAGCAACTTGCCACCCAGCCTTGTGCACCTATACCATGAAGGGGTCCTCGCTCTGACCCTAACTCTTAACAAAGATGCTGGAAGGCTTACAATAAGCAGGACTGATCACAGGGGACAATAGTCTTTCAGCTATCACATAGGTGGCAGAATGGGTGTCACCCTGGACCTGTTCTCCCTGTGCCAACACTTTCTCTTCTTCATGGCACCACCTCCTGGACCACAGCAAGATGATCTCCCATTGGACAAGTGCCCAGCAACCCTCTCAGGCTGGGCTGTACCTTGGAGGGGTTAGGGCACCTCTGAGTCACTAGGGACCGTTCTAAGTTCACAGACTGGGTAAACACAGCAGACATTAGCGGATCATGGTTTGTTACGAAATCGTGAAACTTCCGTGTTTTTCTTTCCATCCCAAATAAACAATTGGGATGCTAATGAGAGCTCCCCAAAGGGGAAATTAATATCCTTCTTCCCTGGGATTTTCCACAGCTTTGTGGCCAGGGCTAGAGCCTTTCAGGGTACTCCCCACCCCCAATCCCTCCACCCGCTCCCCCTGGGGATGGGGCTGTGTGTCCTGAACTTTCCTCCAGAGTTTTGTTTGCTTTTAGAGAGCACAAGAAGGGCCTACAGACGCTGCTCAGCTCAAGGCACTTGGCTGAAGCGAGAGAATGGCACAGGTATCTGGCAGGATGACTCAGAGTGCTCCGAGGACCACAAAGCCAAGCAAGACGTGAGTCTGTCCAGCTTGCTGATGGGGCTCCTGGGTCCAAATCACCTTCTCTTTTCAGGACAGCCGGCTTGGTAGGTGTATGTGTGTGGACCACTCAGCAATCGGAAAGCCTTACTCTGGCTTGTCTAAAACCCCAAGGGAAAACTCCATTTTCCAGTCACTTCCATACCCTGGGCCTGGGCTGCCTCTCTCCACACGCCCTGTGGCTGCCTCCTTGTCTTCACTCAAGCATCAGGTCAAGCATCTCCTTTGAGAGATGCCTTTGAGCAGACAACCCAGGTAGGGGAGGTAGGACTTGAGGGGGAAGGCACAGGTTGAAAGTGGAACCATCAGAGAGGTTAGCACGAGAGCTCCTGGGATTTGTTGCTTATACAGTTCTGCTGTGTGACAGGCAGCTCCTGCTTCTTACAGGGGTCAAGGCGACACCGGTGGTTTTAGAAAAGTCTTTCATCTCAGGAATTCCTCTAACTTTGGTCACAACCCAAGCAGGCTAATGGTATGCTATGAATGGAGCAAACCATATGAACTTCATATCTCCTCTCCTGCTTGAGGCTTGAGGACAATGAAAGTCCCGGTCCTTTTTGACCATGATCTCAAACCTGTGGCCTAGGCTAGGATGCACAGTGGGCTTACAGACAGCAGGCACTAAGTGCTCAGTGTGTGCGGCGTAAGTGTCAGTACTGGCTCTGAAGCTTCTCAGGTGAGCCTCCTGTGTGAGCCAAGATGGGGAACCAAGACCATGCCTGGGTGGTGTGAGCTGGACCTGGGTCTGCAGCAGGCACCATCCCCAGGGCAGGTGATGGGAACAGCACATCAAGACTTGAACACTGCCTTTTCAAAGACAGGAAGCAAAGTGCTCTGTCCTACTCTCTCAAAGTGGCTGTGCTTCTAAGAATTTAGATACTTAGAAAGAATCAACTTCTGGTCTTGTTTACCTGTGCTTCTGTTTGAGGGTTGAAATATTGCCCAAAAAAGGCCAATGTTAGTAAATCTTTCCATTTCAGAATTTTGGCAAGCAAAATATGTTGTGTTCTTCCAACTATTGACATGTTCGGGATACTTTGGCATGGTACATGGCACTTTTAAGGAACATTGTGTGTGTGTGTGGGGGGGGTGCATAAGCAGCTAAGAAGTATGTCTAGACACTGTGGTATGGAATTGTGTTTAGTGTTATGGAAATAAATTGTTATTTTGTTTTACTTCAAGCAATCTGTTTTCTTTGCACTTAGAAAAAAATACTTTCCAGCAAGACAAACAGCACATGTTGTCTCTCCCAGCGGAAGTTAAAAATAAATACATGAAAGACAAAAATTCTTTCTATGATTTCCTAAGCTTAATATTTTATTTATTATTTCTGAGATAAAAATTTAAATTTACATTATGGACACATCAGCATATATCAACTGAGATATTTGCATAGTTTGTAATCTGAACAGATACAGTATATCATGTTGATGATACATTCTCATTTTCAAGCTATTTTATATACATTAGTTATCCGTAAGTTTTCAAACACTTTGTTTTGAAATAGTCAAACACGTCAAAGAGTCAAAATAAGGGCAGGCATTTGGCTGCTAGTGGTGAAGATGTGCACTTTTCGTGTTCTGTTGCCTGGGATGAATATCCAGCCCTGGCTGCTGAAGCCAGCTTCCCGCTGGCGCAGCCCTGGGCTGGAGTGGGCGACTGGATCTCAGACATCCACCCAATTGAAAGACTAGGCTTGAGTTCCTGGATCCCAGCTTGGGCCTCACCCACTCCCAGCCATTGCAGGCATGTAGGGCTGAACCAATGGATTACGGGGTGTATGTGTGTATCTCTTTCTGTCTCTCAAGTTACTTGATTAAATACATTTTTAAAAAAGAAATGTCAAAAGAGTTTAAGACAGATGCCTGTATGTTCACTCCATGGATGCAAACTCTGTTGACATTTTGTCTCATTGACTTGATCTCTTTCTCTCTGCAGTAGTAGAAAGTATTTTGCAAGCACCATGAGATTTTATCCGTGAGACTTCAGGTACCCCTCCAAGATAAAGAAAATCTCTTGCTGTTCATTAGATCTTCTTCTAGGAAATCATCCAGAAAAAGTTGGATTTGGAGGGAAATACCCAGACAGACATCTGACCCCACCTTCCACTAATAAGCACTGATAGAAAAAGGGGGTAGCAACCTGCCTGGATAAACAGCCTGTCCCCATTCCCCAAACACTCTCACATCCTGGACACAGATCCTTTATGATGCCGGCTTTCTTCTTGCATCCCTCAGGGTGGTGGGGTCAGCAAGAAGGTGAGCTCCACTGTGTGTTTTTCACTGATGGAGGATCCTTGGCTTCTGAGATGGACCAGAAGCAATCTAAGCTACCCTATTTGGATGTCAATGAGGAAAGGGACCGCAAGGGTTGAAATGCTATTGGGGGACCCAGCATATCTCTCAGTCTAGACCTTTGCTGCTCCTTGACGTGGGGTTGGAGAATGTGGCTTCCTGGCATGGCAGTCATGTCTGTCCTTCCTCTCTGTCCAGGAGGATCACTGGAATTTGCTGTTCATCTTGAGGCAGATCTATACCGTGGGATACTCCCTGTCTCTCATCTCCCTCTTCCTGGCGCTCACCCTCTTCCTGGTATTTAGGTGAGTAGCATTTGTGTGGACACGTATCTGGTAGATGTAGTGTCATTTGCTCACTGGCTCTTTCTAGAAGGCAGTGGAAGACAGGGCTTGTCAGAGCTGGAAGCAACCTGAGACAATCTCCCCTGCACCCATTCCACCCTGCAGATGAAGGGGGCTGGGGTTCTGGTGAGAAACATTGAGTCTCCCCTTCCCATAAAGCCAAGAGGTTACAGCAGTAACTGGAACCTGCACCCCCGACTCCTGAGTCCATCTTTTCCTCTTATGGGTTAGATAACGTTCATGGGTCTGATTCCGGTGAGCCTCACACCCCCTCCACTGGCTCTATCAGAGGTTTTGCTTTTAGAGAGGAAATTAAGAAACTCCCCCAAAGCATATACATGAACAACAGAACTGGGGTTCTAATCTAAGGACCTTCAGAATCCAGTGGTTATCATTTATAAGATTCATGTATGCGTTTGAAAGGGAGAGAGATGATAGACATACAGATAGGAGAGGAAGATACAGAGAAAGGGATGGGAGAGAGTGAGAGAAACAGAAATGGAGATTTAAATGCTCACTCTTAAGTAACTTAGAAGATTTAAGTGATGTCTCATTCTAGTTTGAATTAGGAGGAATTCTCACCCCAGGAGTTTCACATTATTAGCACTCTTAGGTTGTGAGTTCAAAGAACCCACACAGAGGACGTATTTCACTGAGATCTTACAGCTGGTATGTGATGGAGCCAAACTAATAACCGAGAAGTCCAGGGTCTGAGCATTTTCCCTCCCTTTTCTCTCTGAATCCAAGTGCCTGTTACTATATCAGATTTTAGAAATTACTCAGGTTGCGGGGGCTGGGAGGAGGTAGTGTTGTGAGTTTAAGCCATTGCTTGCAGATGCCAGCATCCCGTCTCTGTGGAGGGCTGGTCTGAGTTCCCCGCTGCTCTGTCTCTGATCCATGAAGAAGCAAGATCACATAGCCCAGCAGTCCAGCTCTGGGATCTGCACTGTGACCCCTGTCCTTAGTGGGAACCACACAGGTCCCTCAAGCCTAGACTCGTTGGCTTGAGCCATCCTATCCTGAGGAGAGGCACTTGTTTTTTTTCCCCTTGCACAGAAAACTCCACTGCACACGCAACTACATTCACATGAACCTGTTTGCTTCCTTCATCCTGAGAGCCATGGCTGTTCTGGTGAGGGACATCGTCATCCACAGACTTCATTCCAAGAAGCCCGACACAGAGGATGGTTGGATGTCCTATATGTCAGAGGTAATGTCCTCCGTATTGTTTAAACTGGGTGGGTTAGTTCTGAAGTCAGAGAGCAGGTGGATGGGGCCAGGGAAGAGGGTGACCAGGGCCTTCTGGTTAAAAAGACAGCTGCAGACTGAAGGTGATAAGCTCCAGGTAATAGAACTCCAAGACAAATAGCCCATAATAGCTGCTGTTGGTCAGTCCTAGGATGGGGAATTTTGTTACCTGTAAATGAGAATTGAGGCAGCTCAACTATTCTTTACAGTGGTTGTATTTTTAAAACAGCAGAGTTTTTCCTACATGGACTTTTGTATTCATTTTTGTTTGTTTGTTTTAAAGATTTTTTTTTTTTATTTTAAAAGTAGAGTTACAGAAAGAGAAGGAGAGGCAGAGAGAGAAATCTTCCATCCACTGGCTCACTCTCTAGATGGCCACAATGACCCTAGTTTGGCTGGTCCAGAGCCAGGAGCCTGGAGTTTCTTCCAGGTCTCCCTTGTGGCTGCAGGGTCCCAAGCATTTGTGTCATCTTCCATTGCTTTCCCAGGCTTATTAGCAGGAAGCTGGGTTGGAAGTGGAGCAGCAGGGACCCCAATCATTATTACTGTGGGAGGTCAGCAAGGGTTGGTTTAACCCTCTGCACCACCACACCAGCCCTCATGACATTCTCTTTTAATCCTTTTAAGGTGTCTTGGATCTGAGGTGATATTGTCAACTGTATTCTTGATTTCTGTCCTGTTATTGATTATTTGCATCTTCACCCTTTTTTGTTCATACCTTGGATATTCTTGCCAGAGGTTCCTCAATTTTATCAGACTTTCCATTTTTCTTTGTTTTTATTATTATTGCCATATTATTATCATTTCATGATGCAGTTCCATACACTCTGGGATTTCCCTTACCTCCTCTGCTAGTCCCATCCCCCTTGCTCCCCACCCCTCCACTGCCACTGAGTTCTCCCATATCATTACAACAGCATAGTTCCTCATAGACAGTCAGAAGTCCATCATTGCGGGCATAGACAATAGGAGAAGGTCCAGCATCCCAATGTCAAGACACATCTAATAGTTTCACTGGGAGTCCTTCCTCGATTTGAAAGTAGAGCTGCACACTGCACCATCCTCACATCTGGACATGTCAGTCTCCACTACACATCACTATAAATCTCCCCAAGTGAAAGCCCACAAATCGAAACCAACAACAGGAAGAGAAACAGAAATTTACAATGCCATGAAGTTAAACAACATGCCATTGGATTTGATGGTCTCCATTACACAGTTACTTTACATCCCCTTAAATGAAAAGCCGCAAAACAAAATCAATAGCAGGAAGAAAAAATAGAAACTTACAATGCCATGAAGTTAAATAACATGCTACAGAATGACAGATGTGTTACTGAAGAAATGAAAAAAGAAATCAAGGACCTTTTTGAAGAAAATGATGCTACAGTATGATCAATGAGTCACTGAAGAATTTAATCAGATGAAAGTGTTTTTGAAGAGATGTAACTAACAAAAAAATATAAAAACCGGTGAGATATTTTCTGCTGATCTTTGATGGTGAGATGTATCTCTTGTGCACAACAAATAGATGGGTTTTGTGTTTTTAATCCGACCTACTAACCTTTGACATTTGATTGAAGAATTTAAGCCATTTACATTCAGGTTTAATATGAATGGGTGGTAATTTTGTCCTGTCATTTAGCAATGGATTGTTCATTGATTTAGTCTTCTGTTGTCATTTTACTGGGATATTCTTCACATTTGCCTTTGTTTTTCATAGGTGTTATTCCTCTTCTCTGCCAAGAGAACATCTTTAAGTATCATTTGTAGGGCAGGTTTGGAAGAGGTATTATTGCTTGAGCTTTTCTTTATTGTGGAAGAATTTTATTTCATTCTCAAAAGAAAACTTTGCTGGGTACATTATTCTGGGCTGGCCCATAGAGTTTCCTGTGAGAGATCAGCTGTATATTTAATTGCCATTTCTCTATATGTCAATTGATTTTTTTTCACGTGCCCATTTAAGGATCTTTTCCTTATGTCCAACTGAAGAGAGCTTGATTATTATGTGTCATGGTGAAGATCACTTTTGGTCAACCCTGTTGTGAGTTCTGTGTCCCTCCTGAATGTTGTTTCCCAATTCTTTCTCTAGGTTAGGGAAATTTTCCCTTATTATTTCATTAAATACATTTTTAAACTCAGCTTGTCTTTCTGTACCTTCTGGAACTCCCATAACTCCCGATTGCTGCTTCCTGAATGCTGCTGGCTTGTTGGGTCACTGCAGCACCACACCTTTGTCTCCACTGCTTTCCTGTGTCCATCAGTCTCCTTCTGCTGTTGATCTTTCCCCTCCTGTTTTCTGGAATGTGCCCTCTCCGCTTCACCCTGTCTAATGTTTCTCCACTTGTTTATATGTGTCATCATCCTATTCTGCCATCTTGATTCTCTCCATGTACCTTCTTTAATTCACTATTCCAACTTTCTTTTTTACATGCTGCTTAATATTCTGAACGTTTTCCTTTTTTCTTTTTTTTTTCCGTTAATTTCTTTTAATAATCTTAGTTGATTAGGGTACAAAGGGTCAAGGGCTACAGGGTGAAAGTGGGTAATATCATTGTTTCCACACTAATATAATCATTTTCCCCTGTATCTGGGGTTAGGGGAGTAGCAAAGGGAAAAGCCCCACCCAACTTCCCACCCATCCCCGATCCCCAACATGAGGCGCGCTCCAAGGGTCCTGCTCAAACAGTTTTGATAGTTCATCAGTTCTGGATTGCTGCCAATCTCACCGTCCCAACTGCAATGAAACCTATTCAGAGTCCACTTGCTGACAGATGGTTGGGGTTCCAGGATCAGCAGTTCAGTTGGAGAGATATCCAAAGAAACTTCATCTGAGTTGATCCCAGATCTGATTCTTGCGTGAGTTTGCTAGTATAGACTTCTTCACCGTTTGTCACACCAATCAGCTTATGCACATGCTGGTTGTTGCTGAACGTTTTGTTTTTAATGAAGCACATTCAAGGTTATAAATTGAATTCTGGGCTTGATACAACTGCCTTGCAAGTTTTGGTGTGTAATATTTTCCTTACCTTCAGGTCAGAAGTAATTTTTAATTTCTGACATAATTTCTTCTTTCTTCTGTTCCCTAATTTCCAATCATATGAATATTTTTGAGTTCTTGTTTTCTAGCTTTCTTGAACATGGTTAGAAAGCATACTTCAGGGTGAACATTGTGGCATAGCAGCTAAAGCTGCCACCTGTAACACCAGTATTCCAAATGGATGCTTGTTTCTGGCTGCATCACTTCCAATTCAGCTCCCTTCTAATGGACTGGGAAAAACAGCAGAAGGACGTCCAAGTGCTTGATCCCCTGTCACTCACATGGAAGATCAGGAAGAAACTCCTGGCATTGACCAGGCCTCAACTCTGGCCTTGGTGGCCTTGTGGGGAGTGACCTAGCAGACAAAGATCTTGCTGTTGCAAGGAAAGAAAGAAGGAAGGAAGGAAAGAAAAGTTATCCTTTACTGTTTCCAATGAGTGCTTGTGAGGATGTACTCTGTTTGAAAAATGCCTAGTGTTCTGGAAGAGAAAACTGAGCACACTATAGGACACTGTCTTTCATATGTGAATGTTAGGGCCAGATGGTCAGGAGGGTGCAGGAGAGAGGAGAATAAAGGAAGAGGCTGTGCTTGGAGAGTGGCGTGGGTGGAGGGGCTTTCCCCCCACTCAGGGTCCCAAGGCCTGGGCTCACCCATGGGTGTTCTGTTCTCTGCAGATGTCTACCTCCTGCCGCTCCGTCCAGGTCCTCCTGCACTACTTCGTGGGTGCCAATCAGCTGTGGCTGCTGGTGGAAGGTCTTTACCTTCACGGACTGCTGGAGCCCACTGTGCTTTCTGAGAGGCGGCTGTGGCCTCGATACCTGTTGGTGGGTTGGGGTGAGTGATGGGACCTTCAACTTGCCCTCTTGGGAGCCTGGGAGAGTCTTTTGTTGGAGCCAGAAACCCAGCTGGAGAGTGGCTCCTGCGAGGGAGTATTCCTGAAGTGCCAGAGGTTTTGAAGAGAGATGTGTGCGGTCTTTGGTGGAATTAGAGGACAGTCCAGCTATTCTGTCCCCTATTGAATTGGTCTCCTTTAGATGCCATAACAAAAACAAAACAACACAACAAAAGCCTGGCTTAGCTAGCACTCATCGATTTTCTTGCAGTTCTTGGAGCATTGTTGGTTTGTTGAGCGCTCACTTCCCAGATTATAGATAGCCATATATTTTTTTTTTGCTCTATTGTCACTTGGTGGAGAGAAAAAGCCAGCTGTCTTGATTGTAAGGTCATCAACCCTTATACCAGACAGGGACCCACCTAAACCGTCTTACCTCTGAAGATCATCATGTTGTGTACAAGACTTTCAAGGGAACACATTTAGTCCCTGACACGAAGTCTTTAGGTTGAGCAATTTTTTTAAAAAAAATATTATAAAAGCACAACCAAAAGTATTCAGATCTGGAATCCTATCTTCATTTACACCATTGGGGAATTTAAAGGTGAAGGATTCTGAGGAAATATTCTGGGCCTGTGAGTCACTAGCCTTTGGTTAATGAAGGCCTTACTTTAAGCTGCTCTGTGACAAATGGTGAGTCCCTTGCCCTCCCTGGGTCTGGTTTCTGTGACTATAAAACCATGGAAGGGCCCTGTGCCACCTCCAGCTCCCACAGTGACTGCATGATGCTTGGCTTTGTCTAAGTTTGACCGAGCTGTACGTGGCCCCATCAAGCTGCAATGGGAGGCAGACATGCTTGGCCAACCTGCTCCTGATGGTGGTGCCCTGTGTTTTCTCCCCAGTTTTACCGGTGCTGTTTGTGATTCCTTGGGGCTTTGCACGTGCATACCTGGAGAACACAAGGTGGGTAATTCACATGGCTTACTCTTCTGAGGACCAGTAATTCCCAGATATCCCCCATTATTGGGAATGACACTACTTTCCCAAAGAGAAACATGAATCCCACTGTGTGATCAGGTAGAATAATATCAGATCTTATAGTCATTAGCTTTTTTAGTTACCTGTGCAGATGAGTACAAAGATGCTATCATAGGTGAGCAGCATCCCTAGGTATATAATGGCATAAACACAGAAACGCTTATTATAGCATCATTCACAGCAAGGAATAAGTGCAAGTCAACCAAACAAAACAACCCTGAATGCTTTTTCCATAAAAGAATCATGAAACAAACCGGTTGTATTCCACAACAACTGAGGAATATAATGAGACTACTAAAAAAAGCCTAGTTAGCTCATATCTTTAAAGATTTACTTATTCTTATTGGAAAGGCAGATTTACAGAGAGAAGGAAAGACAGAGAGAAAGAGCTTCCATTTATTGGTTCACTCTCTAAATGGCCACAATGGAGATGAGTCAATCTGAAGCCGGGAGCCAGAATCTTCTTCTGGATCTCCCACGTGGGTCCCAAGGCTTTGAGCCTTCCTCTATTGCTTTCCCAGGCCACAAGCTGGAAGTGGAGTAGCCGGGACACAAATCAGTGCCCATATGTGATTCTGGTGTGTGCAAGGCGAGGATTTAACCACTGAGCCAATCACACTGGTCCCAGCTTATATCTTTTGACTTTCAGTGACTGGATCCCAATAAAATATTGCCAAATAATACATGTGGGGCCTTCAAAGAGTTTATGGAAGATGGAATTAAGGGATAATGCCTATATTGTATTTGTATAATTCCACTTTCCCCTTGAGAAATCACCACCATACAAACTCTGTTTCATGGAGTAATTTGAAACTTATGGCTATTAGACTTCATTTCTGGCTCCAGCTCTGGATTCTAGCTTCTTGTCAGTGCAGACCCTGATGGACAGCAGGTGATGGCTTAAGTGGTTGGGTTCTTGCCACCCAGGTAGGAAACTCGGATGAAATTCTCCGTTCTTGGCTTCAACCTGGCTCAACCCTAGGAATGGTGGGCATGTGAGAAGTGAATCAGTAGACAAGAGCATTCTCTCTCTCTCTCTCTAATCTCTGCCTTTCACTTTTTAAAAATCCATGTATAAAATTAAGAATCTATTTTCATAAGACTATAGCAAAATGCAGAAGGCCATACATCCTGGGTTGCTACCACTGAAGAATAATTCTGTGGTATTAACAGGGTGGAATGGATCCTCTCATCCGCTCTATGCATAAGCATCTTTCCTCGCCTTGTCTCATCTTTCCTCGCCTTGTTTTTAATTGTTTTCTTCCCACCTGCTCTTGGCCCTTAGTTGCTGGGCAGACAATGAGAATAAGAAAATCTGGTGGATCATCCGAGGACCCCTGCTGCTGTGTGTAGCGGTAAGGACACCCCCACCCCCACTGCCCTTTTTGTTTCTGAGCTCAGCAGATGTGGAAAAGATTCCCCATCATTTCCCTCCCTCACCCTCTCACACCATGTCTCAGACTGTCTTGACATCTTGAGAAAGAGAAGCAGGTTCCACTGAATGAGAAGGAGCAAGTTAGATAACTTTGTTCTGCTTCAGGACCTAAACCCAATGTTACCTTGTTAAGCCTTCTCCTCTGCCTTTTCAAACCATGCAGGCACCTGATCCTAGCTCTGCTGTGAAGGGCACCAGGTGAACCAGGCCCTGGGGAAAGTGATGCTTTCAGTCACAGAGGAGCCCTACAGCTGCAAGGCAACCTAGCAGTTTAGCCTATCACCACCAGAAGGAGGGAAGAAGAGAGGGAGGAGGAAGAAGAAGAGGGGAGACACAGTCAAGGTTAAGGCAAAGCTGGGATTTGGGATCAGAATCATCGAGGTCAAGCTGAAACATTGTGGGCCCCAGAGTATTTAGGGTGGGAAAGGGGTGCCCACTCACTGTCATAACCCCCTTTAGTTGGTGGTGCTGCGTGAGAGGGAAATCCACCCTGGGGATAAAGGGGTAGCAAGCAGCAGGAAGACTGGTGAGACCCGGAGGGAGACTCAGGTCTCTCCTGCCTGCCTAGTTGTGACCATAGTAGCTGGTGCCCACAAGGTTCTGGCTACTGCTTCCTCTGCTTTGTTCACCCTCTTCTCCAAGGGGTTACTGCATGGGCTTTTAAAAAAAATTATTTAAAAATCTAAATATGAAAAGGTGGGCACCTCTCTGCCCAGACTGGGTAGTAGCCTGGAAGCAAAAATATTCCTAGAGGTGGTGAGAAAACAAGAATATACAGAGGTCCTGGATTACAGAGTCAGGGTCATGTCCATTCTGTGTTGCTGTTGCTGTCTGCCCTCTAGTCAAAACTGAGAGAGAATGTTCCAGATGAAGTCTGACCTCACAGACCCCTAGTGTGGCCTCATGAGCCCTACATCCCCAGGGAAAAGTCTAGTGTGTGTGTGTGGAACAGAGTGCTGGAATCCCAGAGTTTCCTCTCCCACATTCATGCTCCAGTTGTTGTAGTCGGATCTCTCTCACAGCCCACTCCCTTAGCCTGGGTCTGCATTTGTGGATCAGGAAGAGGGGGTGGGGGCGGCGCTGACATGAATGGACATCCTGTGGCAACAGGATTCTCTGAAATAACTGGGAAGTGGCAGTCTTAACCTCCAGGTACTCCTTGGCTCTTTCAGCAGTCCTAAGAGTTGGAGATTTCCCACCTCTTTCTTGGTATCCTACACCACTACTTAAGTTAACCTCACCCTAGAGCATACATTTTGACTTGAGTCCTATTAGAACACCATCTATCTTTATATTTTAGCCCTCCCTGCCCTCGGTAGAAAATCAATAAATATTTGGGGAGTCCAACACTTCAACATTAGCCTTACAGAATTTTTCCACCCAGGCAAAGTCATTCTATTCCTATCCTGCCCTCTGGAGCCAACAGATTGAACACTCAGTTGAATGGCATTTTTGAGCTTACAAAGGGATTGAACCATCTGTTGCTGTCATGAGTCATCAAGTCAAGAGCCTTCATTCACTCTCATTGAATCTTCTCCAACAGTCCCTGAACTAGACAACATGAAAAAGCTGGTTAGATTCACCCTCACTGGTTCTGTCTCCTGTAGACCCTCTACCCTTCCAGGTACCCAGGAGCTTTCTGCTGCTCCAGCATGCCCAGCACAACCCCTTCCCATATGCCCCTCTTCTGAAGAGAGGGTTGCCCCACTCTCTCAAAACTCACCTTTGCAGTTCCTTGTCTGCTTTCCACAGTGAAAATTTAGTCAGATTACAGGTGTTTACTGGCGTCTTACTGTAAAAAAAAAAATCATGCATGAATGGTTAAATGCATCAGGAAAGAACGTGTTCCCTCCTGTCTCAGGCATTCCTTATCTTCTATGGGATGTATGCTACCCAGCAGGATTCTTGGGCAAGGAAGAGTTTGAGCCAAAGGAGTGACTCTAAGGGTAGAAGTGTTAGTCTCTGTATCAGACCAGAGGAGGAAGGCAAGTGGCAGAGTTTAGACGCAAGCTATCCCTGAGCTCTTTGCATGCCAGCCATCCCCTCCACTGATCTGCAGGCTCAGATCTGTGCACAGAAGCTGGACTGTCACAGAAGAGTCCCCCATACATGCTGCATGGGAGAATGCGTCTGTGCTATTTGGGACTTGGAAGGGGACCTAAGGTACATGTCTTCCTCATCTAGCTGCAGAGTCCTAGAGAAGCTGGGTTGGAAAATGCCTTTCTTTCGCCACTTTCCTGCTGATGGAGTGCAACACCACGTGGGTGATGTTGCTGACCCCTGCCTTCTCAGAGGCCTGGGGTCACCCCAGCTGGCATTTCACTCCACGGCGACAAGGAGGTGCCTTCCCCTTGTGACTCATGGGTTGGTACCCATTTTCTCCTGTCTGGTCTCTGCCAGACAAAAAGGGCAGTGAATCAACACGCTCCTCATCCCAGCCCTTTGTTTCCTAGGAGACGGTGCTGATGGAAATTAATTCGCTGAAATATGCCTTTCCCCATTGCACTGACTTGTAAGAAAAACGACTGGGCTCAACCCATCACTGAGCCGAGGGCACAAGGCTTTCTCTTGATGATGAAAAACAGATATCCCATTAAAAGGGATAAATGACTTGGTTACACTGAGTTTGTATTTAAATTTTCTGGGGATAATATATTCTTTGGCAGGGAACCTCCATCACTCCTGTTGGCTCACGGGATGGTATGTAGCCTCTTGCCTGAAACTCTAACCTTTTAGCATCAAGCATTGATTCTCCTGAGATAAGTATAGAACAATGGACATGCTGGGTTCTGCAGATTGCATCTCGAGCTGTACTTGCAGAATTTTGTTGTTAGAGACGTTAGAACTGGCCAAGACCATGTCGCTGGAGACTTCATTTTTGTTGATGATCATCTCTTACCTAGTGCTTTCTCCATTGCCTAGAAGTATGAATAAATCTCTCCCATCTGAAAAAGAGCCGCACTCAAAAACCGGTCCCAGCGTGATAGGCTTTTGGCTAAATTCTCACCTTGCATGCTCCAGGATCCCATATGGGTGCCGGATGGTATCCTGTCTGCTCCACTTCCCATCCAGCTCCCTGCTTATGTCCTGGGAAAGCAGTGGAGGATGACCCAAAACCTTGGGAACCTTCATCCACATACATGGGAGACCCAGAAGAAGCTCCTGGCTCCTGGTTTTGGATTGGCTCAGCTCTGGCCATTGTGGCCACTTGGAGAATGAACCAGTGAACAGAAAATCTTTCTCTCTGTATTTCCTTCTCTCTATATAGCTACCTTTCAATAAAAATAAATATTTGAAAAAAAAGGACCTTCATGGCCAGTATTGTGACCTTGTAGGTAAAGCTACTGCTTGAGACACTAGCATCCCTTATTGGAAGGAACTGCTTTGTATCCTGGCTGTTTCACTTCCAAACCAGCTCCCAGTAATGGCCTGGGAAAATCCAATGAAGATGGCCCAAGTGTTTGGACCCACTGCCACCTAATGCTACCTGGATGAAATTCCTGGCTTCTGGCTTGTGCCTGACCCAGCCCTGACCATTGCAACCATCTGGGGAGTAAACCAATAGGTGGAAGATCTCTTATCTCTGTTGTACACTCTCAGTAATTTGCCTTTTAAATAAATAGATTTAGAGAAACATTTTCAAGGACAGCTATTTGGTACAATAATTACATTGCTTTTTCTGAGTTTAACTCTTTTACATTCCACATACAAATGAGATTATGCAGGATTTGTCTATTTCTCTTTTTTTTCCAGGTTTTATTTATTTGAAAGGCAGACCTGGGGCTGGCGCTTTGCTTCCATCTCTGCTGACATCCAATATGGACACTGGTTTGTGTCCCAGTCACCCCACTTCTGGTTCAGTTCCCTGCTAATGACTTGGGAAAGTGGTAGAAGATGGCCCAGATCCTTAGGCCCCTATACCCACATAGGAGACCCAGAAGAGGCTCCTGACTCCTGGCTTTAAACTGGCCTGGCTCTTGCTATTGTGACTATTTGGGGAGTAAGCCAGCAGATGAAGATGTCTCTCTCTGTCTCCCCCTTGCTCTCTCTGTAGCACTGCTTTTCAAATAAATACAATAAATATTAAAAGAAAAAAAAACAGTTGCAAGGACACAGTGAGAGAGGGAAGGAGGGAGAGAGAAAAAGTGGCACCTTCTGTCCAGCAGTTTGCTTCTCAAATGGCCACAGTAGCTGGGCTGGACCAAACAAAAGGCAGGAGCCTGGAACTCCATCAGGTTTTCCCTGTGGGTGGCAAAGGGCCCAATCACTCAAGCTAGTGTTCATATGGGGTGCTGGCATCTCAGGTGGTGACAGAAGTAGCTGTGCCACAATGCTGGTCCCAGAATGTGTCTTTCCATGCCTAGCTTACTTCACTTAACACAATGTTAGTGCAAATCAGTGAATCTGCTTCTCTGCTACAGCTGAGTAGCATTCCATCATGTGCATAAGCCTATTTCCTTCATCTTGGATGGACACTGAAGGTGATTTCATTCTAGTGCAATGATCAAGGCAGTGCAGACATCTCTTCAGCAACCCGAACATGGGGCTGCTGGATCACATGGCAGTCCAACCATTCAGTTTTTGAGAGATCTTCCCGTTGTTTTCCATTATGGCTGGATCCTCTTGCCATTTCCTTCAAAAAGCAAAGCACTGAAATCTGATATGTACTCTTGCCAAGACAGCCTTTTTAAGTGAGCTTACTAAATGCAGTCTTGTTTTGCTTATTATCTGTGTACCAGCTAAACTTTCCTTAAAAAATAAAAAGTGTGTGAGTTTCCAGAATACGCTTCCACGGGGTTCATTCCATGGAACTCCATTCATGCCCTAGCTACTCTGAGTCTCATTGGCCATGACATCCCACCATCTTGCACTTGATTGAAAGATGATTCTCAGAATCCTCCTTCTCCCCCGGGTCTACAGTCTCCCGGGATAAGCTTGTCTATCCTGGTGGCATTATACTGTGTAGGATGTGTCTGCTGAGATCCAGACACTGTTTTCTAGTGACCGTGGGCATCTCTCTTGTTCAAAACCACTGGATTCACTCACCCACCCCCATTCAGTGTCTTTCTTTGGTGAATGGCATTACCTCCCATCTGAAAATATTTTTTTTTTAAATTTTAAGGTCACCTTTGGTCTCATGTCCAACTAGTAACCATGTTATTTGACCCAAACTTCCTAATAATTTCAAGTCTGTATCTCACTCCACATCCCTGAAAAGTATCAGGGTGGTGGCCTGAGTTCGCTTCTCCATCTTTCTCTCCCAGAATTTCTAGAATTGTCTCCCAGTGGTCTCCCTTGTTCCAGTTCTGCCCTCATCCAATCTATTCTCCACCCTGCTACTAGAAATGCTGAAGTGCTAACCTGATCAGAGCATGTGTCTGCTTCAAATTCGTCAGTGGCTCTCATTCCTTTCCAAAGAAAATCCAAACCCTTTAACACGACCCTGAAAGGCCCTGCCTCCAGTACCCTCTCTTCCTCTGCCATCTACTTTCCAAACCCCACTGTCATTCTCTAAACCCACACCCAACCTTCACTCTTCTGGAACCACAGCAGTTTCATCAAGGTGTACTCAAGCTATCTGTAGGTGTGTGAATGTTAAGACAGCTGAGTCCAATGTGGGAGTGCCCAGGTTCCAGTCCTGGTTGCAGTCCCTAGCCCAGCTTCCTGCTAATGAATCCCCTGGAAGCAGCAATGATGAATGATGACTGAAGTAGCTGAGTCCCTGCCACTCATGTGGGAAACCTGGATTGATTTCCAGGTCCTGGCTTTGACATGGCTAAGCGCTGGCTTTTACAGGCATCTCCCAGGAGCGAACCAGCAGGTGGGAGCTTTCTCTCTCTCTTTCTGTCTTTCAAATAATTATGTTAAAAAATTAAAAAAATGTTAGGCAAGCCTGCAGCCACTTGAAGTCTACAGTGGGGCTGGAAATCAGCTGCCAAGGTGGTGTTTCTGCCTAGTGAGGGATGTTTGTTGTTAACATGAAAACTTGATTCTCCTATGTCAGCCTTTCTGTAAAACTGCTTGAGTGTTCTGACAACATGGTGCCTGGCACACATTGCGTGTGCCATCCATGGGGTGAGGAGAAGAAGAGAAAGTGCCTGGTGAAAGCTATCCTTTTGAACATGTAGTACAGGAGTCTCATGGCATCACTTCCACCATATTCTTTTTGTGAGATGAGTAATCCAGTGTAGCTCACATCCAGCAATGCTGGGGTGAGATTAGGCTCATCTCATTGAAATGAAAAATGCCAAGCAGTTTAGACCTAGGGTGACATAAAGTGTAAGTCTAGGGAGGGAGGTGACTCGGTAAATCCAGGCTTAATTACCGTCTTTGTCACTGACTAATTATATAACTATGGGCTTCATGTCCTCCATGCCTCTGTTGCCTCATTGTATTTTATGGATATAAATGGTTGTGGCTTCCTCAAGGGTAGAGAAAGTGGTAAGCCTAGCAAGTGCTAAGCACATGTTAGTAAATAACCACATTCATACCCTTCTCCCTTTGGCAGATAGGGCTAGTGGTGGGTCTTCCAGAGGCAGCACCATCGAACAGATGACTTTCTAAGGTCTCCTCCAGACTTCAGGTGAGATGACAGTTATTGGGACAATGGGGAGTACCATAACTACTTGCGACCTGACCAGCTAACTGCCTCATTGACCCCTGGTTGGACACGGATGAAGTACTAATGGCTAAGTCCCCCTCTGCCTACCTGAGGGTGACCTGGACATGGGCAGCCATGTGGAGGCCCTCACTTAACTGACTCACCTCTGCTCTTTGTTCAAGGTCAACTTCTTCATCTTCCTGAAAATTCTCAAGCTTCTCATTTCTAAGCTCAAAGCCCATCAGATGTGTTTCAGAGATTATAAATACAGGTGAGTGGCCTGGGGTCATCATGCTTCAGCCCAGAGTTCTTTTGATGTTTTGATGATTTGCTCGTTTGTCTGCTATGGTGAGGGATGTCAGAGATGCCCCTCTGAAGGAGGCATCAACCTTTAACCAGAGGGGAGGAACTTCTGACCCCATAGAAATACAAGCTGAGCCATCAAGGGCACACATACCTCCTCAACAGAAAAACACTCACTAGTTTATAGGGAAGGAAAGTTTTATTGTGGCTATAATCGACAGCCCTATCTGGGCTCAGAGATACCCCTGGCTATACTTAGTCCATGGTTTTGTATTTCTGTTATAAGAAAACACGAGCAGAAAAGTAGAATTTATTGCAAAGCAAGGGGATGATACACACTCAGTCGTGATTGTAGGCAAGCTCATGAGGGAGAATTGCCCCTGCTCAGGCTGGAATCATCCTTTTTATAGGGTAAGGAGTGGTGCTTGGGGCACAACTTAATTAAAGTTTGAAGGATACAGGGTTTGGGATGGAGCTACAGCATACAATGTGGTGTCCAGCAGGGTGTCCCAGCACATAATGAGGAGTGGGTGTGCTGGTCCTTCAGCCATGTTGAGTCAGTTTGGAGGGGACAGAGTTTGAGATGGCATGGGTGTTGTACATCCTCAGTTTCTTATCACTCATTGGCAGCCTCTCTATCCATTATTATGAAGAAAATTTGGGCAGTTGTTTTCTTGGGGAAGAATCTGAGGCTACAGATTAACAGACATGGTCGGAATTCAGAGGAGAGTGGGTGTCTGAGTCCTTCGGAAATGAGACTAGACCCTAATAAAGTGCAAGGAGATTCTCCATTCTTCACATTGGCCTTCTTCACTGGTGGTTCACCTTGATGGCATCTTGCCTTCTGCCATCTGCAGTGACAGCTGACACCATTCACAGTGAGTTAGAGCTTAGGTATTTATTAGGTCTGCCTGGCTGTGCAGAAGAAAGAATGAATGAGAGACAACGGGCCTTCTCCTTCTTTTCCCAGTTGGTCCTTGATTCCTATGCAACCTGCATCATCCAGCAGGGGTCTTGGATGGGGAGTGTTGTTTATTATTATTATATAATACAGTTCAATAAACTCCAGAATTTTCCCTCCCACCTCCTTAAGTCACCTTCTACATGCTGATTTCAGACCAGAAGTGTTTTAACCCATAGGGCAAGCATTTGAGTTCACAGAGCAGGTCCGAGAAGGAGGCTGCAAGTGAAGGTGGCCCTGGTCTGTTTCCTGCTTAAGGTGCGATGACTTGTCCATGTCTCTGATAAATATTTCCTGAGTGCTTACAATGCACCTGTACTGCGTGTGGAACAGAAGGTGAACACACAGGTTGAGATGAGTACATGCTGTTTCCCTATGACACTGGTGTGGAGCGTGAGATGGAAGGGGCTGGCCGTGGCTCAGATGTGTCAACTGCCCTTGGCTGAGAAGCTTGAGCCCTCTTCGCTGGCTTGAGAATGTGAGGGCTAGAAGCGTCATGACAGCCTTTTCTTGACTTGTTGTGAGCCATTGAGAAGGGCAGTATTTGCTCAGGTTCCAGATCCTAAATATTGTCTATCCTAAAGCCTTCTTCTAGGAGATCTAAAGGGATAAACACACAAGGCTTAAGGCTAGGCAGATACATTTAGCAGTCACTCCTGGAGACTTTGGCCTGAACAGTCTTGCACAAATCCCAGGCCCTGGAGAGCTGTGCCATCTTTCTTGGTGCCTCCAGTTATGCATTCAAGCAACCCAGCAGGTTCCTTGTCCTCTTTTCCAAGGCTACCCTATCCGAGGGTAATATTCCAAGGTTAGGCAGAGCTGCCTGGGTCTACGCTGCTCAGTTCCATCGAGGAGAGTTTTCTCAACAGCAAAGTGCAGGGGAAATCGGAGGCTAGCGCTCCCAGTGGCCAGGAAGAGGGAACGGAGGCATCTCAAGGGGCTCTCTAAACCTTGCTGTCTGGTGCCTCCCGAGCCCACTGTGTACCCCCAAATGCTTCACAACATTCTACATTTTCAGCAACTTGTACAGCAGTTTTCCATCCTGGCTGTTCACAAGCATCTCCCAATAGTGGACCAAGAGCACAGCCTCATGCATTCCTCCCTCTGCAACTGCGTATTTGGATCCAGCCAGGATAGAATGCATCCTATCATGGGAACTACTTTGAGATCTCTGGCAGATTCTGATGCCTAGCAGAGGCCCCTGGATGGATCTGACACTCTAACCGAGTCCCAACATGGGAATTTCCTGGTTGGATCCCATGGCCATTGTGTTGTCAGCCTCAGCATTTTCTTTCCGGGACTAGCCAAGAGTGTGGCTTGCAACTACCCCATCATTATCAGTAAAGAAATGGGAAACATGTGCCTCAACTCACAGATGCATGCTCTAGTGAACAGATATATTCAGTATTAGATATACCCTAACATGCAAAGTTAAAAGGGTGAGACAAGAGTGGATATGCATAGAACTCCCATGACCTTCTAGGATTATATTTTCTTCTAGTATCAAATAAATGTCCTTGCATAAGCTTACAAGGTACATGCCCCACTTGCAAAGCCATTGATCTGGGGAAGGGCAAATGAAGATATTGGGGGTATCCTCCCAGCTCATGACAATCCAGAACAGCTGTTTTGGCAGGAGAAAGCATAACCCTGCCTGACTTTTACAACTTGTGTGCAAACTCCCTGTCTAAGCACTATTCAAGGATAAAAGCTTGCAAGGGAGTAGCTGTGACCACGCCCACCCAGAGATCTAAGCTCAGAGAGCTTAGCTTGGTGAGCTTTCCATCATGTGGGAAGTGTGCTGGGGCTGGGGCAAGGTATCTATCTATGTTCCTGAGTGGCTGAGCCCTTGGCATGCTCACTGATGCCAACTAAACTTACATCAGGCTCATGTGTGTAAACTGGATCATTACTCAGATTTAACATCCATGGAGGGTTAGGGGCAGGAATCGAGTGTTCTTTTTCTAGCGTGTGCATATCTCACCAGACATCCTGTTCTTGACGTTAGAAGACCCAGAAAGTCAAAGCAGTCCCCACAGTGTCGTTTATTGATCACGTGGTCAAAGCAGAGGGGCTAGGGTTAAAGGAGTCCTGAGCAGTCTCAGAATTCATCGCTGGTCCCCCAAGTACCACATGCCTGCTGGGAAGGAGGGGCATTCCCAAAGGCCAGGGCCTCCTCCACTGAGTGGTGTGGGTGAGAGCCGAGCATCTTGTCCTCTCTTCACCGTTGCCTTCTTCTTCCTGTTTTCTTGCCTTTTTTTTACATGTAACACAGTCAGTGAAGTCACAGTGAAACCAGGGACTACTTCAGGCTCATCTTGATTTACTCCTTGGGCTGGAAAAACCAACAGCATAGCTGAACTCATTTGCCTATTCTGCTCTCAGGAGGTAGTGCAAGTTCCTTCATCCTCCAGTTCTAAGGAAGCTGCTTTAATGTCTTATGGGTCCTTGGTCCCTGCAGCTCCCATGGGAAGCCCCCTTCTCTGCCCCATCCTTCCTTGTGTCCACTGCATCTCATGCAGACTCCGGTGGGTACAGGTTGCCTTCCCTTCTCTGAGATTGTGAGAGTTTTCAGCATAAAGGGCTCCAGATCTGCCCTCCTTACCCTTCCTGACCCTGGCACCCCACCATCCTGGAGTGTATTTTTAGGAAAGTTGAAACAAAACACATTTAGGGCCTGCCAAAGAAGCAAGTTGCTAGGAGCTGGAGAGCCATCTGTCAGCTTAGCCCTTGTCCCTGGGCTTCCACTGCAGATCAAAGGGCACAGCAAGCAAAGGCCCATCTGTCTGGCTTGGAGAAGTAGAGCTGAGCCAAGTGAAAGGGAGGAGAGGTGGGACTCTAATGGGATGAGCCATGGCCGCAGATCGAGACCAACAGACCTTTGCCCTGTTGGGGTTCTCCTTTGTGGTGGCCGGCACCAAAGCAGCACTCTTCTCATAGACAGAGAGTCTTAACTTCCCTGGGGACTGAACTCACAATGAATTTCATTTTGTAAAATTAAGATTGATTTGAAAGAGAGAAGAGTGAGAGAGGAGATCTTCGATTCATTGATACACGTCAAATGACCACAACAGCTGTGCTGGGCCAGACTGAAGCCAGGAGACTGAACTCTAGCTGGGTTTCCCACATGGATAACTAAGGCCCAATCACTTGCACCATCACCTATTGCCTTTCAGGTGCATTAGCAGGTGGCTGGATTGGAAGTGAAGCAGCCAGGACTTGAACCAGCAGTTAGATATCGGATGTTGTCCTGTGTCACAGGCTATGGCTTAATGTGCTGTGCCTCAATACCAGCCCTCAGAAGAAATTCCTGTCAGAATCTTATCTTTTAACAAGCTAAAATCCAAGAATCTCTCCTGAAAAGATTTTTTTTGGTGGGCCATGTAGGAGAGCAAAGATTTTTTCCACCCTCTTAAGATTCCAGGCTCCGTTTTAACCTCAGGAGTGGACAGACTTAATAGGAGTGGAAGCATCAAAAATGTATTTAATAAGATTTCTGTGCTATGGGAGTCCTCACAAGGAAATGAAGCTGAAAGCAATGGCCAATGCACAATTTATATGCCACATTTGATGGAGGATTGACAATCGTAGGGAAAGATCATGGCACAAATGGAGCATGAACTAGTGGTCATTAACGTGGTGGACTTAGCAGGGTCTGTGTTTCCAGATGCTTTCCTGCTCAGCTGTGTCATTAGAGATAGGGATGTTCCTTCTCTTCAGCTTCAGAGAGGCGCCTCTCATTCGGGAATCTTCTGGCTTCCTCGGACAGCCAGAGCAGCCCTCCTAGGTGGCTATAGGAGACTTTCCAGGAGGGGAAGGTGGGAGGAGGTCAGGCAGAACCTCCAGAGTCTGCAGATTTCTCCTTCAGCTGGAAATACACAGAGAATCCAGGTGCCTCATTTAGGGGCATCCTGGGTCCTGTCAGTAGCCAAAGCCTGGGACAGTCACACATGGAAGTAAAACTGACCAGAATTATTGAGGGGATAAGCAACTCAAGGACAAGGGTGGATTTGTAAACCATAGTGATAACTTGATAACTAAGAGGGATTGATCACTCATCGTGTATCAGGTACTATTTATTCCACATGATTTGCTGGATCCTTACTATGAACCTGTCAAGTGGCTGCGACTATGCATAGAATCTCGCAGCCTTAATAATTGGCGACACTGGGGTTTAAGCCCAGGCCCAGGTGTTGTCCCTGTAGCCTACTGTCTTCAACTTCCTTCATTCCCTCTGTATTAACTCTTGTACACATAGCAGATGTTCTCTAAGTATTTGTTGAATGGTTTCATGTCTGCCACAAATGGTCCCATTTAAATAAACGAATGGCTATGGATGAAAAATAAGCATAAACATGGTCCACCAGGGTAAACTGTTCTCGCTGTTTGTGGATTTTCTTCTCAATAGGGTCACAAACATCATTTTGTCCAGGAAGAAACTAGAAGAAGGGACAGAGTGGAAAAGTCCTTTCCTGTATCAAGCTATGGAGGTGGTGGTTACCAAAAGGACTCAAAACTTCATAAAAAGATGGCTTATATGTTTTTTAAAGAGTTATGCTATTTTTATTGGAAAGTCAGATTTACAGAGAGAAGGAGAGACAGAGAGAAAGATCCTCTGTTCTCTGGTTTGCTCTTCAAGGAGCCACAATGGTCAGGGCTGTGCCTATCAGAAGCCAGAAGCCAGGAGCTTCTTCTGGGTCTCCCATGTGGGTTCAGTGTCCCAAGGTCTTCAGCCACCATCTACTGCTTTTTCAGTCCACAGGCAGGGAGCTGGATGGGAAGTGGAACAGCCGGGATAGGAACTGGTGCTCTTCTGGGATCCTGGAGCTTGCAAGGCAAGGACTTTAGCCACTTGGTTACCGCACCAGGCCCAATGGCTTGTGTTTTAAAATGCACATGGCATTTTGAAAAGTGAAAATGGTATTAATGAAAAAGCATGTGACGTCTGCATCAGATCTGCAGTTTGGGATGAATAATATACTTGTGTTGGCACAGTAACACAACATATTGAAATCAAGGGGAAACTGAGGCAAGAGTAAGTAAGTCTAAAATTATTCCATGGTGAAAAATTTATTTAAAAAAGTCATGATATGACTTAGTTCCCAGAAGAAGCTGATGGTAAGCTATGGGTCAGTGTGTCAGCAGACTTCGCTGCAGTTCAGGCAACCCAGAGCCATGATCCCAAATTCAAATACTTGCAAGGGCCATCCACAGAGCGGATGGAGGCTGGGGTCACAGAGTCCCATGGTAAGGGAAAATGTCCCTTAGGTGTGAGCCATGATGGCCCAGCTTGAATCGGGGCTCTGCGTCCCCAGAGTTCCTATTTTATAGACAAAGCTGAACATTGTTGCTTGAAACTTTATTTCTTAGAGATGCCTCCAACAACAACAACAACGAAATTGCTATGTGCCCTGTCTGCAGGTCCAAATCAATCTAAGTCCATGCAATTTGGTGACTGCTGAGCCAGAGAGCTTATAAGACACTACACTAGGGTGTCCAGCCTAGTGGTTAAGACAGTGCTTGTGTTGCCCACATTCCATACCAGAGTGCCTGAGTTCAAGTCCCAGTTCTACTTGCGCTTCTAGCTTCCTGCTAAGGCACACCCTGGGAGGCAGCAGTAAATGGCTTGAATGACTGGGTTCTCACCATCCGTGTGGTAGCCCCTGGCTTTGACCTAGTCCAGCCACAGCTGTTAAGGGAATTTGGGGGAGTAAACCAACAGGTAGATCTCTCTATCTCCACTTGTCTGTCTGCCTTTCAACTAGCTAACTCAGGGAAACCACAGATTCCTTGAAATAGTAATTCCTGGGGAATATGTTAAGGGTGACAGCCAAGTGACCCTCACGTGGGTCTGGATGGAGCTGGGAGCCCATCCGATGTCGACTCAGGAGGGCCACATGCCCAGGATCTGCAGCTCTGTCTCTTCACATATGGACAGGTCTCTCCGTACAGACTTGGCTGTGGTCCTGAGTGTCCAGCTGGAGTCCTTCCTGCACAGTGACCCTTGTTCTCCTCTTCCTGGCCCTTTAGGGTACAAGGGTGAGGGGTTGTGTTTCATGCTCAGGTGACATTACATGGCAATGTGTCTCACAGACTCTGGATTTCTGGCAGGTCCTTCTTTCGGATGGAGGCAAACCCTCCTGGAACAGCTACCTGATGTTCTGGCCTCTTCCCCTTGGGGTCCTTGAGGGCGACAGAACCTCTCCCTAACCTGGCCCTTTCAGAGCAGGGACTTGGGCTCAAACTTCATTATTATCACTAAGCCCCCTTTCCCAGTGTATATAAGATAGCACTCTTGCTTGTTTCCTGGATAGGAATCACCTTTGCCAACGTAGTTGATTTGCCATAAAAAAAGCAACTCAACAGTGAAAGCAGTTACGCCCAAACCTGGCTACTTACCATATTTCCATGGGAAGCTACATAAAAATTTCAATTTTCCAAGAGCCAGACTCAGAGGTTTGCATTTAGTGGTGACCCGGAGGCCCAGGATCCTATGTATTCCTAGGGGGTTGGTTTCAGGACTTAGGGAGATGCTGAAGTCTGCACAAGCTCAAATCCCTTACACAAAGCAGCCTAGTATTTGTGCACAGTCTATGCAAATCCTCTCCTATGCTTTAGTAAGTCATCTCTGGGTGACTTGTAACACCTACCACAATGTAGATGCTATGCAAACAGTTGTTGCAGTGTATTGTGTAGAGGCTAATGACAAGAGAAAATGGTCTCATGTTTTCAGTAAAGACAGATTTTCCCCTCTAAGATCTTCCATCTGTGACTGGTTGGATCGCTGGATGCAGAAATCATGGATAGAGAGAGCCCACTATACACATTGTAAAAGCTCTCCAAGGAATTTTAATAGTCAGGCCATTTGGGAGCCACGAGTTTGGAGAATTTGGGCCCCAGCTGTGCACTTTGCATGTGGGTGGTACAAAGGAGTGTTTGTCTCCTTTGGGTAGACTGTGTACGGCAGCGAACCTCCACACAGCCCTTTTATGAGGGAGGATCAACTCTTCGTTTCCTGCAACATTTGCTGTCAGCAGGACTGGCAGATAGCACACAGGGCCTGCTACCAAGGACCAGCGCCAACACACAGGGCCTGCTAGGCCTGAAGCCTCATTGCTGACAGAGGGTTTGTCACAGAGTACCTGTAAGAGCCTGAGCCAGCCATTTTCTCTCTCTCCTTTTGCTGACATGGAAAGCCCTGAAGAGAGAAAGAGAGAGAGAGGCACCAGCTAGCCAGGCAATAGGAAACTTGTTAAACCTGGGAGAGAGTGTCCCAGAGTAGCAGTCTATGGTAAGGAGATTTGTCTATTAGGCAACCCCCTATTCTAAATAAAGGTTATTTTATGTATTTATTTGAGAGAGAGTCTTCCATTGCTGATTCACTCCCCAAATGACTGAGACCCTCAGGGCTGGGTCAGGATAAAGCCAGGAGCCAGAACTCCATCCAGGTCTCACACATGAGCAGTAGGGGCCCATGTCCTGCTGTCTTCCCAGGCACATTAGCAGGGAACTGAATTGGAAACAGAGCAGTTGAACTAGACCTCTGATATAGAATGCTGGTATTGCAGATGGCAGCACAACTCACTGAACCACAATACCAGCCTCCCTCAGACAAACCCTGAAGGTCTTTAGAGTTATGATAACCACTCTGGGGAAACTCATTCATTCAATCATGTTTTCTGATAACCACCAACAGTCAGGTGTATGGAGGCCAACAGCAAGGAAGACCATTATGATCCTTAAGCAGTCAACCTATAGTCATGGAGACCAACTGGAAAATAAGTCATTTAGCAATATGATAAGAGCTATCATAAAAATATGCATAGGAAAACAGGAAATGCTGTTTATCTTCAATGTGGCCCTCATTGTTCTTGGCTTTTGGCTATAGATTGGCAAAATCAACGCTGGTCCTGATTCCTTTGTTGGGTGTCCATGAGGTAATCTTCTCTTTCATCACTGATGATCAAGTTGAAAGATCTTCCAAGCGGATACGCCTCTTCTTTCAGTTGCCATTGAGCTCCTTCCAGGTAAGTGGGTATCTGGATGGGATGTGTTGGCTTTAGGGAATACAAAATGCAAATGATCCAAAGAGGCTCAGATTAAGAGAGCTCAGGGATGACAACAAAGTTCTAGTTACCGGCAGGCTCTGTTGGTGAGGGCCCTGGGTTTTACAAAGGATGTTGTCTGGATCCTGCCAACATGATTCGGTGACTAAGAAGAGACACGTGGTATCTTTCCTGAACTATAATAGTTGGTGTGACTCATGCTTACATCTACCGTGAAGGTCAACGTGAAACCGTTTATTAAGTGCCTATTTTTGCTGGGTTCTCTGCAGGGCAATGTGCAAAATGAGCATGGTCTGTGTTTCAGGTGATAAGTACACAGGAGCACAGTATGACTAGGGCAGGGATTTATGAGTCCAGATCCAGAAGATTCTGGAACCTGACTGATGTACGGGAGTTGAAAGTAGAAATGAGAGTTGGGTTTAAGTTACTTGAATATAGTTGGTTACCCATTGCTTCAATTGTTATTTGTTGCTCAGTAGCTTACAATGTCAATCATGCTTTGTGTTGTCTCCTGATTTGAAGTCAGGAATCCAGGTAGGACTTGGGAAGCATGGCTGGACATTGTACAATGGCTTCTTCACTCATATGAAGGTGGCTTGAATGTCAGAGGTTGCTGTTTTTAGGTTAAATATCTGGGTCCTCATTTCTCTGAGTCATATTTCTAACTTCCATGAAGTCTCGGGGCCCCTCACCATCTGCAGATTCTCTTCTTGTGGTCTCCCCACTTGTTGGGCAGCAGTTGAGGGTTCCCAAGAGTGTAGAAGTGTGAGCTTTCTGGGCTTTCAAATGTCAAGGCCTGGAACAGACACTCCAATGCTCCTGTAGAATTCTGTTATTTACAGCTGGTTGTGGATCCCGCCTCCACTGAACAGAAGGGACAGTACATGGGAGTGACTCCTGAATCATCAGCAAAGATCACGAATGCAGTAGATTACCACTAGTAGCATAGACAGAAAAGAAAATGGTCCCCCTACACCTGTAATCCTGGAACTCATCATCTTTTAAGACTAATATAGGAACAAGGACTTCTGCCACGGAGGAGAAAGCAGCTTAATAAATCCTCTCCTGCGAAAGCAGAAGTAAACTCAGACAACTATGAGTGAGTAGCCACTGTCTCGGGACCCCCAAAATCAAGCACAGGCATAGAAAAAACTGGGATTTTTTTAGTCAAGGGAGCCTAAGTAAGAATAGTACTTACTTGGTACTATTGGAGCCTGTACCATTTTTATCTGGAGATGCTTTTGTTCTCAAACCTCTGTTGCAACTACACTATAGTATAAAATGGGGCTGTGTTCACTTGTATCAGAGAGAGGAAAAGCCTGTACCCCTGGGTGTTGCCAGAGTAGTGGTCTTGAGGACAAAGAACAGGGGAGCACAATGTCAAAGCCTGTGGTTGTAGTCCTACTTTGGGGAAGAAGCAGACTGGTAGGAGAGGCAGGCGTTTAGTAAGATCTGAGGAAAAAGAAAGCTGCACATTCCGTGTCTCCTGTGGTCAATAGGTTGTGCAGATGTGCAAGTGGTACACCCACTCAAGAGAGCTCAGTGGGAATACTCAAATCTCCTTGGGTGAGGAGAGGAGAAATGAGAGGGCCTGGTGGGAGGTGACAGCTAGGGACCATTGGTAAACTGCCCAAATGTGTTCTTAGCAACACAGAGACCCACTGTCAAAGGGTTTGGGAGCCTGTCTGGCTCAAAGTATTTGAACACAGCTTTTGATCAGCTATTGGCTGATCATTAAGCTGTTGTAAAGAGAGAATTTTAAGAATCAGAAAATATAACTCAAATTACAGTGGCTATATACTATATGGGAGAAAGATTCCACAGAACCCAGACAAGTTGCTAAACCGATAGACAGCTACTGCCACCTCAGGTGTGGGAAATAAGGAATCAGAAACTTGAATTTCTATCACCTGTTTTCCTGAAACTTCCAGTTTTCGATGAAAATTTGTGAGGTGTACGAAGACACAGGAAAGTGTGGCCCATATTCAGGGAAAACAAGGAGTCAGCAGGAATTCTGAAGAGCCCAGATGTCAGAATCAGCAAAGACTTCAAAGAAACTATTCCAAAGAAGTAAGGGAAACCATGTTGAAAGAATTAAAGGAGAAGCATGGTGACAATGATTCATGCGTTACAGGATCCCAACTCAAATCGAGTGATTATGGAACTAAATGAAAACTACGGAGTTGAAATGTACCATAGCTAAGATGAAAACGCTGCTAGAAAGGCCTGCCTTGGGTTTATGGCAGAAAAGAAATAAAGATATTCGAAGAAAGCTCAGTTGAGGTTATTGATTTAGGGAGCAAAGAAAAAGAGCAGATCCTCAGAGAACTGTGATTTCCATCAAGCCAACATCTGGAAATCCTGCATGGAAAAGAGAGGTAGAAATGGGTTAAACAATATGAGTAGGTAGAGAAATAAGGGTTGAAAGCTCTCTAAGCTTGCTGAAAAACTTTGAACTTTCCAAGTAGTTCATCAAACTGGAAAAGAGCAGAACACAGATCCCCACCTAGACACATCACATCCAAACTACCAACACAAGGGCAAGAAGTGCACAGTGACAATAGAAAGCCAGCCCCTCATCAGAACAGGGGAAGCCAAGACGCAGTTAGCCTGGCACAGCATTGAAAACAGGAGTCACATCAAGAATTCTACATCCAACATAACTGGGTTGCAAGAAGGTGGCATCAAGACATTCTCACATAAACCAAGGCAGAGAATTTACTGGCATGTACTCCAAGAAGTATCAGTGTAGGTCCTGCAAGCCGGGAGAAAATAATCACAGATGGCAATGCAAATCCATGGAAGAAAAATTTAGATAGAGCCCAACATGAGAGGTTTCAACAAAAGATTATGGCTTTTGATGGTTCGACTTATGATTCTTTGACCTCGTGAGGTGTGAAGGTGGTACGCACTCAGCAGACTCCGTCCTTTGCACCTGTTCTCCTGTGGTAGCAGTATGCTGCACAATACATTCCGGAGGTGTTGGGCAGGTGCAACAAATGGAAACTCCTGACCACTCCTGTGATTGCAAAGGTGGACAAGAAGTACTCAGCAGTATATTGTGCTGCCAAGCTCTGATGCTCGGTAGGTTATGAGAATTAGATGCACGTTCATCTTATGCTATTGTAAGTCCTCAATGGGGTTAATTGGGACATAACCCCATCATGCGCTAAGGAGTATCTGTGTATGAACGTTTTTCTTCTCTTAGCTAATCTTAACGATATAAGACTTTATAAAACAATTATTTTATACTGTATTATTGGATTTAAAGCACATAAACATCTAACCTGTGTGACAGTAATAGTACAAGAAAAGAATGAGCAAGTGCATTTGTATTGGAAATGCTTCTCTGTATTCTACCAAAATTAAGTTAGCACTAATATGAAAGAGATTGTGATGAATTAAGGTGCATGTCGTAATCCCTGGAATAGAAGCTAGAAAAACAGATCAACAAATGAAGTAGAGGTGGATGCTTGGCTTAGTTGTTGAGACACCTTTGGAATACCAGTATCCCATAGCAAAGTGCCTGGCTTCAAGTCCTGGCTCCTTTTCCAATGCCAGCTTCTTGAGCCATCATCTTCTTCCTTCCCTTGTGCATTAACAGTGGAACTGAATCGACATTTGAGCAGCCAGGACCCCATAGGGTACCCCAGTAGGAGGTGCTGGCATCACAAGCTGCCGCTTGACCCCCTGCACCACGACCGTGGCTCATATTTCACCCATGACTGAGGGTTCAGAACTTGTGCCTGCTCAGTGGCAGAGATGAGGTTTTGCCTTTGTCTGCAGTGCCCTCTGAGGATCACAACTGGGGCACATCAGGTTCTGTTTCCAAGCATCTTAAAGCCATTGCCATCAGACAGGGCCAGAGGCTGGGATTCTGTGTACACGGGGCAAAGAGAACATGGCTGCCTACAGCGTGTTCTCCAATGGCTGAGGAGACCAAACTGAGTGTGGGCTGTGTGCCTGCACGTTGGTTTCTTTGCACTGGTTGAATCTGAAATCTTTATTTCTGAGCTGTATTAGTTGTTGTTGTTGTTTTCATAATGAAAACTTTTATTTCAATTTTGGGGTGGGGGCAGGAAGCAATTTCAAGTATTAATGTTTAGTAATTTGGGTTTCCTATGTTGCTTGGTCTTAATCTTCTTTCAAAGGTAATCCCAAATTAAGGAACAAAAATAAAGCAAAAGGCTGTGAGCTGTTATTGCTGTAAAAGTTGAGAGCCTTCCCCTGTGAGGCTATGTTCAGTCAATGCCAACCTTCGATCCCCTGAGCTCACAGCCAAGGTCAGCTGGGCACTAGGCTCTCATGCAGCTCTGGGTGACAGATCTATTAGAAAGAGCCCTGGGTTGTTGGACCACTCAGGCACGGGGAAGGTGTTCTAGTCATCTATTGCTGTGCACCAAACTGCTTCAGAACTCCATGGCTCAAAGCAGTAGCCATGTTATTATTATTTTTTTTTTAAGTATTACTTCTTTGAAAGGCAGAGTAACAGAAAAGGACACACACACACACACACACACACACACACACACACACACACACACACAGATCTTGCACCCATTGGCTCATTTCCCAAATGTCTACAATTGGAGGTGGATCATTCCAAAGCTAAGAGCCAGGGACTCCATCCAGGTTTCCTATGTGAATGGCAGGAGCCAAGTACTTGAACCATCATCCACTGTTTCCCAGGCACATTGGCAGGGAATTGGGTCTGAATCAGATGTGGAGGACTGCGGGGGGCTAGCATTGTGGCTTAGAGCATTGAGACACCCTTTACAAAGGTGGCGTATGGTATTAGAGCGCTAATACCAGTCCCAGCTTTTCTATTTCTGACCCAGCACCCCACGAATGTGGCTGTAAAGGCAACAAATAGATAATAGCCTAAGTACTTGAGCCCCTGCCACCCATGTAGGAGACTGCAGGAGTTCCTGACTCCTGGCTTTGGCCTCACCCAGGCCCGGCTGTTGTAACTATTTGAGGACTGAACCAGTGGCTGGAAGATCTTTTTTTTTGTGTGTTCTCTGTCATTCTGCCTTTCAAGTAAATAGGCAAATCTTGAGAGAGAGAGAGGGAGAAATTGAAGGTGGAACTTGATCTCATAAATTCTAATATAGGATGTTTAACCTGCTGTTCCGCAGTGCCCATTACCTCTTGGTATTACTTTTAATGAATCTGTGAGGAATGTCATTGTTGGCTTCTGATGCAGTGTCCTGATGGCCTGAGTGGGCTGCCACATCCACTCTGGTTCTTGTTCGTAAGAGGACCATGATGCTCCTTGTCAGGAGCTCAGCTAAGTCTACAAACCTGGCAGCCTCTCTCCTCCTCCACCTCGCCTCTCCAGGCAGTCTGGGCATTGCATGGCATGAGAACCCAGCTCTCGGAGCACCCCAGGAGCAAATACTGAGAGAGCGAGGAAGTGGAAAATTCCAGTGTTCCTAAGGCATGGTCTCAGGAAGCTGCAGCTATCTGGACTGTGGCTTCAAAGATGGTGTTGATAGAAGGGGTCATAAGTTCACCCCACGTGCCGGGAAACGGAAAATCAGGTCCACTTTCTGTGTCAGCAGCAGAGAGGGAGAGTTGCATCATGGCCACCTCTGGAGAGGATCCTGCGGTCTGCAGCCAGCTGGAGCTCTACCTGCCACCTGGCACAGCTGGCCATGTGAGGCGGTCACAGTGACCCCTAGGGGGTGCTTTGTCCTGGACAAGTCTGAGGCAGAACACACGTTTTGGAAGGCACGTGTATGCCCGGAGGCCCCTTACCTTCTTGTGTACCCTGATGTAGTTCCCCCTGCATCCCACAGGCAGAGGAGAGAGTAGAGGTGGGCATGCTCGTGTAGCTTGCGTCTTACTGGCTCCACCTTGAGAATCCAGGATAGGTGTGAGCCCTAGCAGCTTGCCTTCTTTATTATTGCTGGGGTTTTCTGGGGAGAGGGGCTGTCCTTGGCTCATCTAAGGGCCCACTGCTAAAAGTCTCACTAGGCTCCTGCTCTTGGGGATCTTTGGGGAGACCGCCAAGCAGTGGCGAGAGTCCTGTGTTCTGTGGGACCTGCTCCCATCTAGAATACAAACCAGAGATTCCAGGGACTTCCTAAAACAGGAAAGTAAGAACATTGGGAAGTGAAGAGACACATTAGTCACGTGGACTACTACTCTAGTAACTCGTTTGCAAGAAATCCATACACTGAAGGTTGATGTCTTCTGAGATCACATACCTGGGAGCAAATGTTATTTGTGCTGCCACCTGTCTCCCTCTAGGGTGGCTGATGAGCTTGCATGATGCCATTTAAAGAGCCAGCTAGGAAGTATCTGGGAGTGTAAGAGAAGGGAAAGAAGCCAGCATTTGATGACATCATGATGATATCATCATAGCCAGCGTAGAGAATCCTGACCTGGTCCCAGAAGGGACAAGCTAAATAAAGCCTACAGAAGGAAGAGAAAAAACAAACAACAAACAAAAAATCTTCTTCTAGGCCTTTCTTTCTTAAAGGTTTATTTATTTCAAATGTAGAGTTACAGAGAAGGAGAGGAAGAGATAGATAGAGAGATAGATCGATTGATCTATCTGCTGGTTCATTCCCCAAATGGCTGCAATGGCCAGGGCGGGGCCATTCCAAAGCCAGGAGGCAGGAGCCTCCCATGTTGGTAGCAGGTCCCAAGTACTTGGGCCATTATCTGCTGCTTTCCTAGGCTCACTAGCAGAGAGCAAGATTGAAATTGGAGCAGCCGGGACTCAAGCAAGCCCCCATCAGGATGCCAGCATCACAGACCGTGGCTTAACCTGCTGTGGCAGAGTACTGGTCCCTAGGACTACGCTTAAGAGAGGGAGAAGGAGGTAACCTGCCATTTCCCCCTTTAGTTGTGGCCTTTGCTCGTGAGTTCTAGTATTATATGAGGTTCTTTCTACACGTCAGTACAGATCAGACCCACAGTCCAGTTCCATAGCCCTCCCAATCATCTAGGGAGAGCCAGGCCAGGATCACAGCAACTGTGCCCAGTCAGTCTTGGCAAACCATGGGAACAGACATCAAATTAATAATATGAAATTCACGGTTAAGTGTCTTTGAGACCAAATCTGTAAAAGTCCAAATGGTAAGCCCAGAAAAAAAAAAATCTTCCAAATTCAAGAGGTTATCACCATAGAGGAACTTTCCCAGAAAGAATGCTTTTTCTATGAAAATAAAGGTGGGGACTTCTTGCCTTTTGCAGTCCCCATTTCTGTGGACTAAGACCAAACTATGTGGTTGCTAGGGTGTGGACATGATGTTATGCAGCAAGGTCCCAAGAGAGCATGCAGTGCCCTCACCCAGCTTTCTTGATGTCACCTTCTTTGGGAAAAGCCAGCTGCTACATGATGAGGGTACACAAGCAATTCTGAAGAGAGTCTGGGTCTGCCCACCTGCCCAAACAGACCGCTAGGCTAGAATAGAATGCGTGGTGGATGTCAAAGATAGAGGCGATGCTATGAAAATCCAAGTTCACACCGCTAGTATGGGGGTGGTGGGGGTTCCTTGGACCCTGCCAATAACTCTCAGCCACACTCCATGCCGTGTCCCCCTCTCATTGCAGGGATTCCTGGTGGCCCTGCAGTACTGTTTCTTCAATGGAGAGGTAGGTATGTGTTGTGTGCTGTTGTCCAACTCCCCGAGAGGCCAGGATCAGAATCTTGCTGGCCCTGTAGCTCTCTGCTTACGTGAAGGCTACAGGAAGATGTGCAGTGACCAGCGAGCTCGGGGGAAGTGTATGCTGGAGGGAGCCAGGAATGAGAACTGGACAGTGTGGGGTCAGGGGAGGGTCAGCTTGGACAGATGAAGGGTATAAGGTATAAGGATGGCCATGAGGATTTGCTCACCATGCAACTCTGACCCTGCAGTGGTGCTAGAACGTAATGTGATTGAAAGCATGGGCTTAGGAATCTAAACATCTGAGTCCCAACCTTGACTCAATGAACTGGAAAGGTCCTGGCACCTGCGTTAGCCTCAACTTCCTCATATGCAAAATGGGAGTGACACAGCCCCTACCTGAGGGTGGTGCCTCAGCTCCTACCTGAAAGTGGTGCCTCATGCATGTTGGGCTCACGGTCAAGGCTCAGCTCCTAGGAGCCAAGCTGAGGCCATTTTCATTACTCATCTTATTGTGCTGCCCCAAGCCACTTGCTGCTCCCCTGGGAAAAAGACTCCTGACCAGAACAGGTATTTCTTTCTGTCTCTAGGGGCTGGTGACATTTACAGCCCCCTTTCATCCTCCTCTGTGCCCACTCTGTCTCCTGCTGATAGAACACAAAACTTGAAAACAAACCTTCTTCCATTTTTGCTTCACTTGCTTTGATTGTGTCTTTGTGTGAGGGCTTTAATTTCATCAAGGAGGCTCCAGTTCAAACACCACCAGGCAGAGTCCTTTCTTGAACACCTCATCTCCAGTTTTGTTTCAGGGGACCAAAGTGACAACAATTTAGTTGGATGATTTTTGGAAAATGATTCAATTATGTGAAAGAGTGACAGAGGTAAAAAAAAAACCATACACACACAGAGAGAGAGAGAGAGAGAGAAAGAGAGAGAGAGAGAGAGGTTTTTCATGTATTGATTCACTCCCAGATGGCTGCAATGGTTGATGCTGCAGCAGGCCAAAGCCACGAGTCAGGAACCCTATCCAGGTCCATAACATGTTCAGCAGATGCCCAAGTATTTGGGCTATCTTATTCTGCTTTCCCAGAAAGCTTTATCAAGGAGTTGGATCAAAAGTGGAAAATTCGAGTCTCAAACAGGAGTCCATATGGCATGCAGACGTAGGTGGTGGCTTAAGTGTCCTGACCAGGACACCAGCTCTTTTAATAATTTTTTAAAAAGAGATTCATTCTCTTTACTTGAAATTCAGATCACAGAGCAATAGAGACAAAGAGAAAGAGCCTGCTGGTTCACTCCCCAAATGGCTGGTTCATTCCTCAAGTGGCTGCTGTGGCCAGAGCTGGGCTGGTCCAAAGCTGAGAGCCAGGAGCTTCTTCCAGGTCTCCCATGTGGGTGCAGGGTCCTAAGGACTCAAACCATCCTGTTTTGCTTTCCCAGGTCATTAGCAGGGAGCCGAATCAGAAGTGGAGTAGCCAGGACACAAACCGGTACCCAGGTGGAAATCAGCCTATTGCACGCCCTCATGCCAGTCCCCAGTTTAATGATCTTAATTGGCTGTATTTGCACTTCCAGGACAAGACAACCCTTCCTTCCATTAAGACAGAGCAAGAGCAGAGCAGACAAGTTACACAGAGAAGGCCAGTGAAGAAAGCAAAAATGAAAAACAACAGACAGTTCATTTCAAAGTGACTACCCTTGTAAGGTGCAGCAAGAGAGACAGAACAATAGAAAAATGATTGATGGGTCAATGTCAGATTCCTGCTGGTGACCTTTAGGGGGTGGTTCCTAATGGATAGGGATCAGCTTAGCTGGGGTTGGTGATGTGGACTTGAATCTAGCCTGATTTGCTGGGGCTCCTGGTAGGAGAAATGGTCTTTCATACTGTTTATTGAAGACTGTCCATTGCATTGTCCTGGTCTCAAAGTGTCTTTGTTTGCCTCTCTCTGTTGGTCTCCATGCTTGGTTGCAAGGTAAGTTTCCCCAAGGTCATGCAGGACACCTGTTGGGTAAGCATTCTGCATGCCCAGAGAGCCTCACCTGTGTCTCGCCCGGCAGGTGAAGGCTGAGCTACGGAGGCACTGGTTCCGCTTCCTGCTGGCCCGTCACTCCGGCTGCAGAGCCTGCGTCCTGGGGAAGAACTTCCACTTCCTGGGGAAATGTCCCCAGAAGCTCTCAGAGGGAGACGGTGCTGACACGCTTCAGACGTTGCAGTCCTCACCTGACAACTTGCACTCGGCCATGCGGGGTCCGGGGACACCAGCTGCCAGGCCCCATCGGGGCCATACTCCCTGGCCCCGGGCCAGCAGCCTGTCGGAGAGCAGCGAGGGGGACTTCACCCTGGCTAACACCATGGAGGAGATTCTGGAAGAGAGTGAGATCTAGGGGGCCCATGGTTCTTCCTGGACTCCAGGGGACTTTGGACAGGCCCCAAGGGACAGGTGTGGCTGAGCACAGAACCACCCCCTCACCCAGAGTGATATCAGTCTGTCTAAAGGTTCTTCAAGCTCTGGGTTTGAGACTGAATAGCATTTCCAGCCTCTGTCTGCCCTTGCCCGCCTCCCCCCCAATAACCCCTACCTGTGTCTGCTTCCCCAAGGACAGCCTGCCTCTAGGTCTACATTCAAGTGAATGGAGCCTTATGATGAAGAGAGGTCTTCCATTAAACAGAAGCCAGCCAGGGACTCTTCCTTTTCCCCCGTCCTAGTACACAATTTGCTTCTGAGGTTGGGTTCAGGGTGCGCAGGTATTCCCCTGGAAGCTTTTTAAGGGCAGAATCCAAAACTCATAGTGAATTTGTTGAGAAGATGTAGTGTGGGGTGATAGCCGGGACGTAGAACTCTGTTACAGCCTCACAGGTCATCAGTTGGAGAAACTGGGCTGGGTGTGAAGGAGCTAAAAGCTCCCCTGGCATGGCCCAGGCCAGGGTGAGCTAGGATGTACCTGCCATCCCTGACTGGGTGTGCTTGCATCTGACCATCAAGACCCTCACTTGGTTCCTGCTCCTCTCCCCCTCCTTCTAATTAAATCTTGCCTCCCTCTGCATTCTCCATTGGTAATCATAGCTGTCACACCCCCAGCCTTTTTCGGAGGGTTGACTCCAGCTGCCAGGGACCCTCTAGATGTTGTCACTGGTCTTTTCTCCTTCCTACTATGACTGAGCTGGCCTTCTAGGAGCCTCACTTGTTCTATGTTCCCTACTGTAAGGACCCCTCATCTATGTCTGGTTTATCATAAATGCACCGATGGTCAAATCACCTGCACCAAGAGGGATTTTGACCAGTTGTTCTCCCTGACCCCACTCCCTGTTGATCATAATCCTGTTCTTTACATGGTTGCCATAGATGCTCAGAGCAGAAGGGGGCCCAGGGAAGGCAAGAGGACAGGACTCTGGTTGAATCTGCACAGGTGGCCCTCAGGTGGCCCCAAGAGTCCCAAGGCTCCTCACTGAGTGGGTGTGGGGGGAGGGTGCAAGTGGGTCTTGGGAGGATGAGGGAGAATCTTGGCTGTGCACCTGTCCTTACCCTGTGAAGCCTGGTAGCTGCATCAGGCAACCAAGGTTAGGATTTAGTGACCAAGATTGTTAGGCAAGAGGCCGAAGAAAGAACCAAGGAGGACAGAGCTGTGGAAAGAGTGTGCACAGAGGCACAGGCATGTTGTTTTCAGGGTGCGAAACGCATGTGCAAGTGGACGGAGGATGTTGCCATGGGACTTGCAACTGCCTTATCTTAGGGGAACCAGAGGATACTTTCCATGCGGGGTTGCCAGTTCTAGTACATAAAAATGGAAGGTCCTTGATTGCCTTTGAATCCCAGAGGAACATATCATCTTCTTGGGTAAATCTATCCCACGGGACATACTTGATCTGGAACTTGAACTTCATGGTGCACGCCCTGCCCTTCCCGTGGCAACTCTGGTCTCAAGGCAATTTGCAGCAAGGCTGGGATAGAGACACTGGAGGCAATCGTCTCTGAGCTACTCTGATCAAAATCCTACTTTTTTTTCAGGCACTCTTTAAAAAAATCAAATCCATCTATTACAGCTATTTCTAACAAAAAAAAAAATTGGAACCAGAGCTGGGATAAGATGAGGCTAAATCCTGCAGATTCTGTTTCTGATTATTGAGAAGGCAGATCTTTTGTCCAGTGTGGGCTTTTGAATGTGAATTTTGATGTCTAACTGATTGCATTAAAATATCATTGCTCTTGATTATGGGGGCCTGTTGGTAGCCCTCTCCTCACTTAACACCAGCACCCCCAGTTGAGCGCTGTCTTGCCTCATCTTGTCCCAGCACTGGTTGGGAAGATGGGGAAGTAGCAGAGGCAGGAAGCTAGTGCGAAAGTGAAACAAAGGTTTATTTTTCAGTGTCAGTGAGATCCAAAGGTGACCCATCAAAATCTATGTCTTTCTGGGTTTTCCCTTCTAACCTGGCTCCCAGAAATCATGGCCATCCCAATTTTCCAGCATGAGGTCGCTCGGCATGGGGCTGGGTCACCGTGAGGGTGGACTTTCAGGAGCTTCTGAGGCTGCTGGGAAGAAGTTAACCAGGACTCTGCCACTTACAAAGGCAACTTAGTTTTTCCCAAGCATTTGTAACCATGTCCCCACTCCCTGACCCCTCCCTGCAGACGGGGAAGGTGCTGTGTCCACAGACACTGCTTGCTCTTGTACTGCTAAGGATTAAAACAACTCTATTGAAGTTGATTTGCATTTTGCTCATTGATCCACATTGATTTCTCACTGGAGCTGAGGGTTACTCACAGACCTAGAGAATCCATTGCATACTTCCTGGCCAGACATGGGGAAAATGAACCTGGATGGCCCACTGACTTGGGAACTGGAGAGGTAAGCATTGGGAAGGGACAGGGTGCAGAGGGTAAAGGTCAAAGGGACAAATGGCAGGCGTGCATGCCTGTCTTAGATTTCCCCTGTTACTCCTGCTGCCTTGAGGCTCCCACATGACCAGCTTCCAGGACACTGGAAAGACCAGTGGCAAAGTCTGACTCCAGATGTGCTGACTGACTTATCTGAATGCTCCCGGGTATTGGTATATTAATAAGTTCTTGAGTGATGTTTATTTGTTGTAGTCAAATCCACATAAAGTTGGCCATTGTAAGAGTGTATAGTTCTGCAATAAGTGCATTTCAGTGGCATGGAGCTGGTCCACTATCGATCTCCAGCAACTTTCCACCTTTCCAAGCTGTACCCATGCATAGTAATTCACCCCTCGCTCCCACCACAGAGCCATGCTCCTTCCCTCTCTGTCTGTATGCATTTGCTTTCTTTATTGTTTTTCTAAATTTATGTATTTACTTGTTTTATTTACAAAGGACAGAGACAGAAGAAACAGGCAGAGAGAGAGAGGGAGTGCAAGCTCGCTCTTATCCATTCATTCACATCTCAGATGCCAACAATGGCAGGGTTTGGGCTGGGGCTGAAAGCTGGGAGCCCAGAACTCAATCCAAGAACCCAATCATTTGAGCCATCATGTTTCCCCCCAGGGTTTGCATTTTCATGAAGCTGGAGGCAGGAGCTCAGGTGAGAAATTGTGTGCAAGCATTGAACAGTGGACTGAAGGCCTCTAAATAACAGGCTAACATCCTGCTCCTTTAATTTGCCTGTCTGAGATTAAATCAGAAAAGTGCCATCACACGGTCTCTGTCCTCCTGTAATGGACTTATTTCACTTTGCATGGTGTCCCCAAGGTTCATCCACCTGCTGGAGCATTTTTCCTCTTCCGGACTGGGTGATATCCCATTGTTTGGATAGAGCATGGTTTGTTTTTCCAATCAGCTATCAATGGACAGGTTGTTTGAACCATTGGGTTACCGCAAGTAATGCCTATGTGGATAGGGGAATACAAATTGGCATTTGAGCTCCTGCTTTCAGACTTTTGAACTGTAATCCAATAGGCTAACATATTGAACAACCACCCAACTCTTCTCCACACGTCACCTTGCTCTGCATTCCCAACAGCCAGACATAAAGCCTTCCCACTTCTCTGCATCCTTGCCAACATTTGGTTTCCATTTGAAAAGGATTTATTATTATTATTATTATTATTATTATTATTATTATTATTTTGGCCTGGCATGATAGACTAGTGGCTAAAGTCCTCACCTTGCATGTGCCGAGATCCTATATGAGCGCTGTTAATATCCCGGTTGCTGCATTTACCTTCCAGCTCTCTACTTGTGGCTTGGGAAAGTGGTGAAGGATGGCCCAAAGCTTTGAGATCCTGCACTTGTGCTGGAGACCTGGAAGAATCTCCTGGCTCCTGGCTTTGGATTGGCTTAACTGTGGCCATTGCGGCCACTTGGAGAATGAAGCAGCGGATGGAAGATGTTTCTCTCTCACTCTCGTTCTCTCTGTAGATCTAACTTTCCAATAAAGATAGAGAAATCTTTAAAAAGTAAAAAATAAAGACATTGCTTTTATTTGTTTGAAAGGCAGAGTTACAAAAGTTGGGGGCAAAAAAAGAGAGAAATTGTAGAAAATACAGAGAGAGAAAGAGAGAGAGAGACCTTCAATAGTTGGCTGCAACAGCCAGCGCTGGCCAGGCTGAAGCCAGGAGCCAGAAGCTTCATCTGGGTCTCCCACGTGGGTAGCAGGGGCCCAAGCACTCTGCCAGTTTTCCCTGGTGCATTACCAGGGAGCTGGATTGGAAGTGGAACAGCCAGGACTCAAACTGTCACCCATATGGGATGTCGACATGAAGGCAGCAGCTCCTATCTTTAGCTGCACACTTAGCTTTCTGGTACTGGGAAATACTGGCACTTGAAAGTGTGCACTAAGGGTGAATCTGTAGGATACAACTCTTGGGGATGCCAAGAAAGCCCCAAAGGGCACTGCACATGAGCACGGGATCTGCGGCAAGCTCCTGGCAGCAGGGCCCGGGCAGTTTGGATTACTGTCCTTGATGGAGACCATTTCTGCCCTTGAGTTCACAAGTACAAGGTGAAGCAGGAATTCAAAGACATGAAGCCACTTGCCCAGGGTCTCCCTGGTAGATGTCCACATGTATGTGTTTCCATTTGTATTATTTTATTGAAGAGAGTCACACCCTTGGAGAGACAGAAACAGAACTGAACAAACAGATACACAGAGAGCTCCAATTTGCTGGTTCACTCTCCCAAAACCTGCATCCGTTACAGCTTGGGCTAGGCTGAAGCCAAGAGCTGGGAACTTAGGTTGGGTCTCCTACGCAGGTGGCAGGGATGCAAGTACTTGAGCCATCACTTGTTGCCTCTCTCAGTGTGCATTAACAGGAAGCTGGAGTCAGAAACAGAGCTGGGACTTGAACCCAGGCACTCAGACAGAGGATGCAGATGTTGCAAGCAACATCTTCACCACTAGACTAACCATCTTCCCCAACAGTCACCTTTAAAATTCACTTTTATATCAACAGCACCCTGATTTTCCACTTGGAAACCACATATCCATCACTCTCAGACTGTAGAGGTGGAGGTGTCCTGACTGCCACTTCATCCCCAGGAATGGGCAGAACATCTGGCTGACCAAGCAGAGCTCAACATCCTCCAGGTGCCAGAAATTGGGTCGGGAACTGCGTCCCAAACACCAGATGCAGTGAGGAGGGCTCCTGGGGCTTGCTTGGATGGAAGGCATGTTCTTTTCCTGCAGATGTCACAACCATCTTTGGGTAGTGGGTAGTTCTGGGGACCAGAACTGAAGCCAACACTACTGCTAGAACTGCAGCTTCCAGCACTCATAAATTCCTGTCTCTGCCACTCTTATGTGTTCTGGGTCTTCTGTCCTTTGTACCTGGAAGCAATATGACGATGTAGCTTAGGACCACTTTCACCTGCTTCTCTTCCATTTCAGCCAAGTTGGACGTCACATCACTTCCTGGTTCTCGTAGTGTACATCCCAAGGAGTGCCCCTGAGCTGTACAAAACTCTAGATCAAGGAGTCCCTTCTACCCGGAGCTACCAAAAGTAGTGTCCATTAGACTACTGCCGTGTGTTTGTCCTCTGGCCAAAGAACCAGTGGTCTCTCCATGTCTCTCTCTGAACTCCAGACCAAGATGGATCTTCTTAGGTCATGTCTTGTCCTATCAGTCTCCAGTGACCTCAGAGAGAAGTAAGCCACCAGATGCATTGATGGACAGTGGCAGACACAGCACTGTGGGAAGGCATTGGGCCCCTGGTTGTGTCACTGGACAACCCTGGGCTAGACTCAAGGACCTCTGGACTAGGCATTGTACAGCACCCCTCCTCCTTCCAGCTCCCACACTGTGAGATGCCAGAATTCTCTATCCTCTCAAGCCCAAATCTAAACCATAGGGCCAGTCAAAAAAATTCTGGGTAGCAAATCCTCCTCTTTCTCCCTGGCTTTAGCATACTCAACTGAACTGGAGCGCTTAAGGCTTCCAGCAGTGAAACAACATCTGCAGGATCTCATGTGATGCCTGGCTCATATCTATGCATCACTTTTAGGCCCATTCTCCACCAAGAGGTGTATTCTCTGGTGCCATCACTGAGGTGTAAGCTATGAGGTAGTAATATAATGCCAGTAAATAGACTCCCAGCCTCAGAAGGTGCCATGTAGGTCTGAGGTGGTACAGTTATCCATGGAATGCTCATACTCCATATCTGAGGGCCTAGGTTTGAGTCATGGCTCCACTTCCTACTTCCTTTTAATGCCCACCCCGCACTGCAAGACAGCAGGTAACAGGGAGGATGCTTGTGTCTCTGTCAGCCATGTGGGAGACCCAGACAAAGTTCCATCCATCTACTTTTCTGACCTCACATTAAAGCTTAAGGCTGGACCTTCAAAGCTGTTCATCTCATGATCTTGGAGAACCCGTTGATGTGGTTATGAAGTATGAGGGGCTTTGACTGGCCGGAGGAGAAACACACAGTGATAAACTAATGGGCTGCACTTTTACTGGGCTAGAGTTCTTATACAGAACTTATACAGTGTAGCTCAGCAACACTTCTTGGGAAACGTGCCTTGGAGCTCTAAAAGATAGTGGTGTAGGCTTGTGGGTGGCTTTGACCTGACTTCTGCTCACTGGCTGGTCGACCCTAAGCAGGCCACTTTCTCCCACTTTGCTTTCCTCTCCTTACTACAGCAATGAAAGGTCTCATAGGAGTCTTGGGCTATGTCTCCACCCCTGGCCTTTTCAAAGCCCACCCTTATCTTACCCTCTGAAATCCCCAGTGCTCCCTGAGTTTCCTGTCTTTGCATGTAGCTCTGCTGTTCTCCCAGTGTCCTAGTCTCAGGCCACCTGGTAGCCTTGCTCTCCCTCCTCCTGCCCACCTCCCAGTCAAAAGGATGCTGCCTCCTGCACCTGACCTTGCTGAGTTCACACCATACATTCCTTGCTCCCAGTCTTGCCCTTGGCTAATTTCCACTCTGCCAAGGACTTTGCTTCAACCATAGAGTCCCCTAGTTCAAATCCCAGGTGGTCCCTCCTATCCCAAGTGCTTCTTGTGGGGTGCAAGGGGTCATCTTGCACACTAAGTCTCCTTCCCTCACCCCACACTAACCCTTCAGGCTCAGCTCCTTCCCCCCTCTGCCTCCGGACATTCCAGTCTGCTCACAATCCTGGCATTCAGATGCCCTTTCCTGCCATAGCAATGGTGTGTGCTGCCCATTGTCCTGGCCCCCACCACAGTGACTGGTTATGAATCTTATGCTGCTCCAGCAGGAACTTCATCCCTGAGGCTCCCCAACAGGCCAGCCCCTCCTGTTACACCTTTTGTGGTCTCTACATGTGTCCAAGTCTCCGTAGGAACTCTGGTAATGGTTTCTTCAAGGTCCATCCTCTTCTCTGACCTGGATGGCGTGGGTCCCATTCAGCCCCTCATCTCCTTTCCCAGTTCAAGATTGAGCAGCAGCTGGGTGCCCAGTGCCTCTTGCGTTTATTGGAAGCTGCTTACCCAGCAATCCACAAAGGAGCTTACAGGAGGTGACCTTTAGGAATCCTAGACACTAATCCCGGGATTATCAATGGGCTGGGGAGGCAAGGCAGTTAGGTGTGACATCAGGAGGACAAACCACAGAGGGAATGAAAGACCGGTGGATGGCCAACGACACTTGGGTTTGGCAGGGGCCTATGCTGTGGGGACTGGGGAACCAGTCTCCTGGTCTTGGACGGACACGTGTGCACGCATGTGTGTGTGTGTGTGTGCAAGTGTGCTTTTGGGGGTGTTGGTATGAGTGGTGGGGGCAGTGAGGAGGGCTGAGCTGTAGGCATCACTGCTTCTTTATCCTTTCCTTCACTTTTTGGGGTTCGAACTGGATCAGGCGCAGAATTTCCTTATTGGCCATGGTCCCCTCAATGAATTCTTCCTCTGTGAGTTTATCTGTGCACAAAAGGAAAGAAGAATCAGGACAGGCTGTGTCTAGGTGCAGGCACATGGCCAGCCAGTCAGCCAGTCAGAATGCCCCGAGTGACTGTATCTATCATGAAAATACTGAGTCCTTAGGGTCTGGAGCCCCTGGAGGGTCCTTAGTTCCTGCCCCGACACCAACTCCTCCCCAGGATCCATGAGCCAGAATAGGCAGGGCATTGCTTGATGCCATAGAGAACCTCTAGGATGCCTGTTTGATGTGTTGTACCTCTTCTGGCAGCCAGTGCTCCTGCCTTGCATGTTTTAATAATTAACAATACTACGAGTGTTTTAAAATTTCCCAAGTCTCAAGGCGAGTCTGAACAAAGCAAAGACATCAGACCCAGAGAGCATCAGGAGAAGCAGCAGTCTCATCCTACTGGGGAATGTGGAGTGGACTGGAAGAGTGGAAGGGTCCAGCACGATGCCAGGGAGAGAGCCTGGCATGAGAGGGGTTGGCTTGGCACTGCCATGAGTTCCTGGGTACAGCTCCTCCCCAAGTCTGCCCTCCCATTCCCTGGTCTCCTCATTTGGAAGCAAACTCATGAGGCAGCCTTGCTCCAACAAGTGCCACTGTTGGGTTGAGTCCAGCCAAATGCATGCCACTGAGAAGCTGAGTGGGCACGGACAGGAAGTCTTCCCTACAAATAGCGCTAGTATGAGGTAGATGCTCTTAGCTGCATGCTGTGGCATCCGTCACACAGTGGGGACTCACCATGACCTGGGCATCCCTAATCGTCTCTCAGATAAGATGTGGGATGGCTCCTTGTGCAAGTTGGGGTGATGAAAGGTTGCTCTCAAAGTCCTAACTGCCCTGCCAACCTCACACAGAACTTGAGATACCCCCTACACACACACACGCACGCACACACACACACACACACACACACACACACAGCAGTTCCACCCCAAGGCTGAGAAGAGGCAGGGTCTGCACCAAAAAGGATGAGAAAGAGTAATAAGTCCCAGCCTGGGCAAGGCCAGGGAAGTGTCTAGGCACACAGTTTAACAGGGTGCTCACTTTGGGTTCTATGAATGCAGGATTGGCAGCTGACAATGAGTGCTTCCTTAAATGATGCACCTAACCTCCTGACCGGTTAGTCATCACTATGCCCTCCCCTGCCCCGCTCCACCCAATGACGTCATTTCTCTGACTACCAATTAGAATGGACAAGATCATGCTATTTAGCACCTTGCTTGGGTTGTCTCCTTGAATGCTGGGAAGATACTTCTTGAAAGATCACGAAAGAGGCCAACATGCTTCTCCAATGTGTTTGGGTCATGCTGTGTTTAACAGAGACACTTCTGAGAGTTAATTCAGTTAATTTTCTTTGCCTATCGTCTCTGCTCTCCTGTTCTGAAATCAGGTATAGTTGCATCCATGGGCTTCGTATTCCCACGTGGAGTGAGCTGGAAGCTGTCAGACTAGGCACACATTCTCTGCTATTTGCCAGTCCCCACCACTCCATGGGGTTACTGTCCATCTCACTGCTTTTCATCATCCCAGCCCCTCTGGCTCTGTTAGTTTGTAGCCCCTCCCTGACACCCAATCTTTCCTTCCTGCATTGGCCCTGAGCACCATGAACTAACACTTCTGGCTGCTGAGCTCTGCAATCCATCACTGCTTTCATGGTGAGATCGGTTTCCTATGGGCTGTCCCTGCCATCACTAACACGAAGGGCTGGGACACAAGGACAGGCCCCCAGCCAGAAGAAAGCTTCCTGCCAGCGCTTACCTAGGGAGTAACTGCACTCTAAGATGTTTCTTACCCAACCACCCAGTCCTTTCTTGCTTCCTCCTGTCCATCCCTTCCTCACTATCCAGTGGGCCAGACAGCTTACCCAGGATCCAATAGATCCCTTTATCAGCTTTCCCCCTGGTAAATCTCTAGCAATCTACTTTCAATCCAAAGCCATGTGGGTGACCATCCTCTGGGGACCCAAATTAGCTCATTTCCTAGAGTACAACTATAGACATTTGAGACTGGATGCTGATTTAAGGCTAACCTGGGCTGAAGACACTGTTGACCCAATTGTGCAGACAGCATTCTTAAAAGTAAATAAAGCCACCCTTGGCATCAAACAATGAGATGGTTGCCTTTCCTTTCCACTCTTCTTGACAAGGAGGCCACATCTACTTAGAATTGAAGATGTTTTTCTACAACAGCTTGTTTTCTTCCTCAGGGAATCCCAGGCAGTGAATGATATTTGCAAGCGCTGGGGCTGTGGTGCCATCTGCCCTGAAACACATCAGCCTCAAGTGACAGCAAACTAGCCCCCATGACCCTTCCAACCCCTGTGGGCTCTTGCAGACAGTCCTGGCAAGGCCCAGGGAGATGAGGTGTCCCCTGTCCTGGAGTTGCCTGGAAAGAGCACCCCCTGCCCCCTGCCAGTCCCCGCTGTGGTGTGATCAAAGGCCACAAAGAAAACAAACTCACCACCCTCTTTCTTTCCGAAGAAACTCCAGATCTTTTCTGTCCGCTTCTCGGGCGTGTTCTCATCCTCAGGAAGGTGCTTCACGTCCTCAGGGTTGATCATTTTGAAAATAGCCTGCAGCCAACCACGAGCAAGAACTCATTAGAAGGAGCAAAGAGGGGCTGGCCACTGCGAGAAAAAACAAAAACGTGTCCTCTGCTATCCAGAAAAATCTGCTCTGCAGTGTGGAGTCAACACTGAAGCAGAAGACCTGAAACTATGAAACTTGGAAAGAAAAGCTGTTGACCTTGGTCTTGACCCTGACACCAAAAGCACAGGCCACAGAAGTGAAATTACATCCAATTGGAAAGCAGAAGAAGCAGTGGAGTAAAGAGACACCCTCCAGATTGGGAGGAAATATTTGCAATTCATCATCAGACAAGGGGCAGTTGTTAAAAAAAATATATATATATATATACATATATATAGAGAGAGAGGGGGGAGGGGAGAGGACTCGGACTATTCAGTCACCAGAAAACAAAATCACCAAAGGCCGTTGTGTGGAAAGTCCTCAGACAAGTGGCTCTCAGGTATATGAAAAGGTGTTCTCATCTGTTGGAACGGATACTGCCAAGGGAAAGGAAAGAGATGGCAAGAGTTTGTGAGAAGGGCAAAGGGAACCCTGGGCACACCGTAGGCGGCAGCATAAATTGGCAAAGCCTTTAAGGGCTCTGAGTGCCTGAGACCTGGGGGACCAGGTGCCCCCTAGGTCAAGGGACACAGCACAGATGTCCAGGCTCCCTCTGCCCCTGTGCTTGACCTAGAGAATTAAAATTCCTGGGGTGGGGCCTGGGCATCTGCATGTCTGAGATCCCATAAGGGTCAGGGGATGTGGGGGAAAGAATGAGGCAGGCTTCCATGATCTTTTTTTTAAATATAAGAATATATATACACGTGTGTGTGTGTTTCTGAGATTTACTTATTGTTATTGGAAAGGTAGATATACAGAAAGGAGATACACAGAGAAAAATCTTCCACCTGCTGGTTCACCCCTCAAGTGGCCACAATGGCTGGAGTTGAGCCAATCAGAAGCCAGGAGCCAGGAACTTTCTCCAGGTCTCCCACATGGGTGTAGGGTCCCGCGGCTTTGGGCCGTCCTTGAGTGTTTTCTCAGGCCGCAAGCAGGGAGCTGAATGGGAAGCAGAGCAGCCAGGACACGAATCAGGGTCCATATGGGATCCTGGTGCAAGCAAGGAGAGGATCTAACCACTAGGCCATCACACTGGGTTCCAGGATTGCACTTTCTTTTGTGCATATTTTTATATGAACTGACTTTTAGGGCCATGTTGTAAACACATGACTTTCATTTAAAAAAAAAAGTGCAAATCAGAAAATACAAATTTTTCATTGGCAATTCCAAGGCAGTCCTGAAGCTTGAGTTTGGGAGACACTATCAGAGACCTCATTGCCCCAAGGATTTGGAACATCCAGTGGCGTCTTTCAGGGCCATGCTGAGGTCCCTTGGTTGTCCAGCAGGACTGGCTTAGGACAGCATCAGCTAACACCTGTGGAACGTATACTATGTGCTGCCTTTCTTTTTAAAAATTATATTTGTTTGAAAGGCAGAATCATAGAAAGATAGGGAGAGAGAGAGAGAGAGAACTTCCATCCAGCGATTCATTCCTCAAATAGATGCACCAACCTCGACTGGGTCAGGGTAAAGCGAGGAGTCTCCCAAGTTCCCAAGCACTTGGACCATTTTTGGCTGACCTGGCATCCTTATGGGTGTTGGCTTAACCCGCTCTGCCACAGTAACAGACTGATGTATGCTGCTTTTCTAAGCATCTTTACACCCCACCTTCACAACAACCATAGCAAATGTGCATTATCAGTTCTATTTCACAGGTGAAGACGCTGAGACAACGAAACTTGCCATCCAGAGCAGAGAATCCAGCCTGGGCAGTGTGGTCCAAGAATCTGCACTCTTGCTCTGCATGGCAGTTGACTCACCTTCTGCTGTTGCAATGCTTGGAAAAGAGTCTTGGGCAAGGCTAAGGAAAGGAGAAGGGACATGCCAACAAGAGCTTCTCCGAGAACATTCCCAAGGAGGTGCCAGGGCCCAGGAAGTCTCAGCATTAGTCCTGCTGCCTAGAAAGGATCCAGAGGGCCAGCACCTTTCTCATTACCCTTGATTCTGCAATTAGAGAGGCAGGTGCAATGTGGGGCAAAGCAGGAAGTACTTCCAGTTCAATGGGGCAAGGTGGCCTCAAATGGGCACTTCCAGCTCCTGGTTTCCAGGATTTCACTGGCTTAGTAACACTGCTATAGATCTGCTGGGCAGCCTTGGAGCTCTGACATGTGTGCTGTGGTGGGAGTCAGGAGGCTACTGGCATTGATATGGAAATGAGTCAGCTAGGGACAGTAGCACTGTGAAGGTCACCTGGGGGGCTTGGAAGGTCAACAGCTTTGAGGAAGTCCCCTTTTTGGCTCCTGGCTGCTAGAACAAGGCAAGCAAGGCAATTAACCCCTGCAGCTCCCAACATTAGCCTCGCAGACAGCACACAGGTGGACACCAGTGCAGGTGCCTCTCAGAGCTCCCCTGTCTGTCCTGGGCGTTGGGCAACAGGTGTGACAGGTGAACGCATGCCTACCCCACCCAAGTCTCCACCCAGCTTCAGGGCCTTGGGAGAGGCCGCAGAAGTCACTGCGTTCTCAGTCCTCACCCCAGCCACAGGGAGGTAACTCAGTTTCTTCCTGATGACACACAGCTGCTTCACGTCTAAGCTGGCATTAGAACCCATTACGTTGGACTCTTAGTCTAGTGCTCTGCCCATGACCTTTGGCCTTGTGATCTAGTGCACCTTGCACAGCCTCGACCACTAACATCTCTCTCCCTCCCTTCCTTTTCTTCCCTGCTTCCCCTTCCCTCCTCTTCCTCCACCTTTCTTTAAGGAGCACCAATGCACAGCCTCTGCTGGGCTCAGCATCCTTTAAGGGGCTCTAAGATCTTGGTTCCCATCACAAGTCACCCAGAGAGTCCACTGCAAACTGCCAATTGAGGGTAGCTGGTTCCGTGGACTGAGCCCAGCTGGCAAGGGCTGTTCTCAGCTGCAGGTCCCAGCTAAGTCCTGAGGATGACCATGGACTGTTGGCTTTGTGATCTTTATCTATTTCTAACAAGGGAGGGAGATGTCTACAGATGAAAGTGTGATTACAAAAGCACAAAACCATCAGAAAGTATCACTGCATCTTTCCTTCTAACAGCAACGGAATTAGAAAAATAAAGCAAGTTTTGGAGGCTGGAGGATCCAAGAGAATCAGGAAAGACATACTGGGAGAAGGGCCCATTACTGATATATAGGGAAAAAAGTCAAAATATACTCATTAATATAGGAATATTTGTGCAGGACTTGGGTTCAAGTCCCAGCTCTGCTCCCCATTCCAGCTTCCTGCTAATGCATATTCTTAGATGGGTGTGGTCAGGGCTCTGCACCCACGTGGGAGGCACAGAGTGAATTCCCAGCCAGTTTCAGCAAAACGCCAGCTGTTTTGGGCATGCGAGGAGTGAACCAGCAGATAGGAGATATTTCTCTCTCGCTTGCTCTCGCTCTTATTCTTGCTCTCTCTTTGCTTTCCTTTCTTCCTCCATCCCCTCTTAAGTCAATAAACATAAATTTAAAAATCTCTTAAAAAAAGATTTATTTTGAAAGCCACAGTTACACAGAGAGGGACAGAGAGAGAGAGAGAGAGAGAGAGAGAGAGGTCTTCCATTTCGGTTCGTTCCTCAGATGGCTAAAACACCCAGAACTGAGTGAGGCTAAATCCAGGAGCCAGGAGCTTCATCCAGATCTCCCATGTGGGTGATTGGGAACCAAGTGCTTGGGCTATCCTCTAGTCCTCTTCCCAGGCCATTAGCAGGGAGCTGGATTGGAAGTGGAGCCCATTTGGAATGCTGGTGTCACAGGCAGTGGCCTTACCTGCTATACCGCAACTCTAGCCTGCATGTAACAACCTTTTGAAGAATATGTGAACATAAGACAGTGACTGTAAAACTACGACAAAAAAATCCTGTGTTATTATAATTTAGAAATTATTCAAAAACTATATAGAGAAAATGCTGGCAAAGTATATCGAAAACTACTTAATAGTAGTTTTCTTTGTTGGAGTTAAAGGCAATTTTTACTTCTGCATCATGCGTCCTTCAATTTTTCATGACTTACTTAGATAGGATATAAAAACTCCCTTCAAGACACCTGTGAGAGCCACAGCAAATGACCTGCTGATGGGAGGAGAAGAAGAGAAGCCACGTGGGCAGCAGGTGGAGCGAGGTGCCTGTGGGCAGCTGGGAGCTCAGGATGCCATGGTCATACCTGCCGAAAGGGTGAAGTGAGGACCAGGAGCCAAGCTCCAATTCCCCAAACTTGGACCTTCTAATTTACACTTGGGACTTGCTCAAATGAGCTGTGATAGCATTTGAATACAGATCACTGATAAGTGAGAAGGGCTTTTGAATGAAGGGCAGAGGGAGGTGGAAGGAGGCAGAGATGAAAGAGAAAGGAGGAAAGCAAGGAGGGAAGGAAAAGAAAGAAGGCGGGTAAGGGTAACAGTGTGAACATCAGAAACACCCAGATTCTTCTTTAGGAAGAAAACATGGTCGTGGACAGTGTCCAGCTGCCCATTCACATCCTAGCCTGTGGCCTGAGTTGATCCCCAGCCCCCTCTGCAGTCAGCCTGACAGGGCGGGAGTAGAGGGGCTGGCCGAGGGAGTCGGGGGGTGCACTAACCATGACGATCTCCAACACCTCATTCTTGCTGATGGCCCCATTGCCATCCACGTCGTAGAGGGAGAAAGCCCACTCCAGCTTCTGGCTGGGCTTGCCCGCTGTGGTCATGTGCAGGGCGATCACATACTCCTTGAAATCCAGCGTGCCGTCACTGTTGGAGTCGAAGCTGCGGAAGACGTGCTGGGCATAGGCCTTGGGGTCTGCATCAGGGAAGAACTTGGAGTAGATGCTCTCGAACTCCTGCCGGGTGATGCGTCCGCTCGGGCAGTCCTTCAGGAAGGATTGGTACCAGGTGCACAACTCCTCTTCCGTGAACTTGGTGCTCAGCTGCAGGTCCTCCAGGATCTCCTTGGACAGTGCCCCGCTCTTGCTATTCCCCATGGGTGAAGTTGGGTGGGCACCAGGCAGACAAGCAGGCGGGCAGGTGGCTGGGTGGGAGGGCTGTGTGTGATCTCCCGACTGCCTGCTGGACGCTGTGTGAAGCAGAGGAGACCCAGACACCCTGGAGGATTAGGAGGATTTGCGACAAGTTCATCTCAGGCCTTGGAAGGGGGAGGAGAGGGGCTGGCGGGCTTGTGGTGGGGAGGGATGAGCTGTGAGGACCCTCTCCAGGTGGAAAGGAGGGTCCACAGCAGGTGTTGGATTCATCTTGGCTTCCTGGAGGAGGAGGCTGCCAGATTCTGCTGCCTTTTTTTTTTTTTTTTTAATTTGAAAGCAGATTTACAGAGAGGAGAGACAGAAAGGAAGGCCTTCCACCTACTAGATCACTCCCCAGTTGGCTGCAATGGCCAGAACTGAGCTGATCCGAAGCCAGGAGCTTCTTTCAGGTCTCCCACGTAGGTGCAGGGTCCCAAGGTCTTGGGCCGTCCTCTACTGCTTTCCCAGGCCACAAGCAGGGAGCTGAATGGGAAGTGGGGCCACTGGGATACGAACCAACACCCATAGGGGGTCCCAGTGCATGCAGGGCAAGGACTTTAGCCACTCGGCTACTGTGCTGACCCCTGCCTGCTACTCTTCTGTCCCAACTCCAGGAGTGTTGGGGGATGGGCAGGGTTAGGTTGTCATGTATGGGGCTGCCCACCCCGTGGTTACAAGCGCAGGATTGGGAGGGCTGGAGGTGAGGCAGTCTCAATTTAAGCCCTCAGACACATTGCCTGCCGGGATGCCCCTCTCCAAACCCTTTGCCTGGGTCTTGGCTGAGCTGTCGCCTCTCTGTCCAGGAGTGGGAATGATCAGCAAGAAACCTCACTGTTACTGGCAGGCGAGGTAGGATTGGCACTTAGTTCCTGCTTGGCTGGTGGCAGGGGAATGCAGGCTCACTACGCAGGGCAGAAAGCCACCTGCCAGGAAGCCATTTCACCAGGACCCGGATGAGGCCACACCTCCCTCTCTGTTGTACAGAGTTGGAGGGACAGAGAGTCTATGTGGGACACAGAAGTTACTACACGGTAGTTACTTCTTACGAGAAGCCCCTATCAGGCAGCTAGTCCTCTCGTATCCCACATGGGTGTCCCTTTGTATCCTGCCTGTTCGCCTTCTGATCCAACTCCTTGCTGGGAAAGCAGTCTAGGATGGCCCAAAGCCTTGGGACCCTGCAGCCGTGTGGGAGACCTGGAGGAGCCTCTTGGCTCCTGGCTTCAGATCAGCTCAGTTCCAGCCGTTGCAACTATTAGGGGAATGAATCAACAGATGGAAGATCTCTCTCTCTCTTTTTCTCTGTAAACCTGCCTTTTAAATGAAAATGAAAAATAAATTTTAAAAATCCAAAAAGCCTCTTTTTTTTTTTTTTGCAGATCTTTTCTGTTTGGGACCAGACATTTCCTCTCTGTGAACCCACTCTCCTGCCCTTGGGAGTCCCACTCCTTGTGGCCCCCAATGCCTCCCCTGGGAGAAAGATGGAGACCGAGGTCACAGCTCCCGGGTTTTGCCTGCCTCCTAGAGTCTGGGCGTGCCCACACCTGGTGTGCAGGGCCCATGCAGTCAGACAGCTCTGGGGGATGCCACACCAGCCAGGAGGGGAGTCCAGGACAGCACACCCTTCCCTTGATGGCTGCCCTTTCTCACGACCAGAATTGCTGCATCCCTAGGTTCCGAGCTGGGCTTGCCGAGGCAATGGTTGGACAAAGTCATGTGAACTCCTGGAAGAAGCCCTTGCATCCCTAGCCCTGTTCCCCGCATCTCTGCAGGTTGAGGTGCAGGGATCTGGACCTGCCTTAGTCCAGGCCAGTGCCCAGGCTGCAGAGTGGGGTGGGGTGGCCCAGCAGGAGGGGATGGAGGGAGGCAGCTGTGTTTGATGTCCTGGGAGTGTGGAGGTCACGACCCAGAGGTTTGTTTAGAAACCTGCATAAACAGTTCTCTCCGAGGGAGAGCTCTTGCTCTTTGGTTCAAACAAGTTGTTGGAGATGATGTATGCCCAGTGGATTTGTTAAGTCTGAGCTGGGGCCTTAAGCCCTTTGGAGCCCCCAGGGAGGCTGGAATTTGCTTCTGTCTCCACTCTCCTGGCCTTGCCTGGACTGGAAGCAGCAGTTTCCTGCAGCCTGACCCCTTCATGCTGCCTTCCCCACCCTGGAACTTAGGGTAGCCGTGTCCTCCTGTGCGTCCCCTGACCAGGTCAAGCGCCTGCAGAGAAGTCTGTGCCAGGCAGGAACTGGGATGTGACAGCAGAGGGTGAAGTCAGAGGAGGAGGAGGAGTGCCCTCCCATGGTGGACCCTGGCATGTCACAGTGCGTGCATTCGGCCCCCTTGTAGCTCAGCTCCAGCCCTTGAGTGTCATGCTCAGTGTGTCTGCCAGGACCGTTCTCCTCTATTACCCCGTCCTCTCAGCCACCTGCCAGGCTCCGTCTTGTATCTCCTTGTCTCACCAAATACCTACATGCTTGTTTAATTTGAAAGGCTGAGACCGAGTCCCTTTCACAGGCTTATTCCTCAAACGCCCACAACAGCCAGACCTGGGTCAGGCCGGAGCCTGGAGCCGAGGGTAGCACCCGTGTCTCCCACATGCATGGCAGCAACCCAACTACTCGAACCACCCTCTTCTGCCCCTCAGGAGCTTGTTAGCAGCAAGCTGAAAACAGGCACTCTGATTTCAGCACCGAAATCAAGCACAAAATCAGGGATGTTGGTGACCTAACCTGTTTCTTTTTAAATAACATTATTTTTGTTTTATTTGAAAGGCAGAGTTACAGAGAGAAGGGCAGACAAAGAGATTTTCCATTTGCTGTTTCACTCCTCAGATGGCCACAGCCACCAGAGCTGAGTTGTCCCAAAGCCAGGAGCCAGGAGCCAGGAGCTTCTCCTGGGTCTTCCACATGGGTGCAGCGGCCTAAGCATGTGGACCATTTCCTGCGGCTTTCAGCCCATATGCAGGGAGTTAGATGGGGAGTAGAGCAGCTGGAACACAAACTGATGCCCATAAGGGATGCGGACACTACAGGTGGAGGATTAGGCTGCAACACTGTGGTGCCGACCCTTACTGAAGTGGTCTTAACCACTAGGTCAAACACTGGTTAATACCGTCTCTTGTCTGCCCTTGCACTGTTTCTCTTTTCCCCTTTTCCTGAACACCTGTTCTGGTTCACCCGTGTGAGATGGTCTCCAGGCCTTTTGGCTTTATCTGCTTCTCCTGCTAGACTGCCAGCCTCAACAGGCAAGGTGTTGGTCAGTTTCATTGGTGTAGAGTAGCAGATGCCCACTGAGGACTGTGCGAGCAAACAGATGGATGGAAGAAGAAATACCCAAATGTTAGCATCCCCAGAGAAAGAGGGCAGAGAACTGGCATGGGAGAGGGGGCCAGCGGCATTTTGCTCTTGGTCCCTCTGCCAAGCCATCACTAATCAAAGTGACCGCCATTTCTGGGAGCCTGGCAGGGATGCTAAGACCAGCAGCACTAAAGGACAGGGTCACAACTCTCTCCCCTCTATGGGTCTCATCAACCCACAGACTAGACAGGAGGACACTGACCCAGTGTCGCTGGATGGTTTATTTTACAGGGGGATGGAGTTAAGCACTTCAGGTGCACACAAAGCCTGGGCAGGGAGAGGCATCTGTGTGTGGGATGGGAGGAGGCAGAACGCATGTCTGTTACCATAGTGTGGGACAACCATATGCAACAAAGACCTTCCAAATGCAAACTCTTGGAAACATTTAATCCTTCAGCATTAATACACACAAGAGCTGTAGCCGGGGGTGTGGGTAGAGGTTGGGGTGCTGAGCTCTGACAGCGTTATTCATAAATTACAGAAGATCGTTTCTTTGTTGTCAGATCGAGGCAGCGAGAGAGGGGTAGCGAGCGACGTACCTACCAGGGTGAGGGAGGCTGGCAGGAGACACGGCTTTTGGGACATCTAAAAATGTATAAAGTGTTTAGCAAAAGTCCCAGAAAACAGACCCAAACACACTGGTTTGTTAGAAAACGCCACGCTCAAAGGGTGTGTTGATGTGCTCGAATGTGGGCGACGGGGAAGCTTCCCGCCTCCCTTGTCATCTGCTGCTGTTCTCTGACACCTGTCCCTGGATCCCCACGGCTGTCTGCAAGCCGTGGGGCCCGTGATGCCGGAAGGGGTACTTGACGGACACGGTGGTCTTGACAGATGGGGGATAGGACGCCAACTTTAGCTCATGAGGCCGCAAGGTAGGGCTGATCCTATGCCTGTCCCCTGGTGCCATGGGCAATCCCCCTAGGACCCTCCTCTTCCTCACATTCGTTGGCCACTGCAATCCCATCAGATTCCCTTCAACAGAAGGGACCCATGCCCACCCTGTAACCCCAGAGCCCACAAGGTCATCACCTACCCACTGGACTAAGCTGCTCCCCAAGGCTGCCTGTGAAGTCCCTCCCTTGCGTCTACATGGAGAACTTAACACCCTGGATCTCTTAGCAAGGTACCTGGTTGGCTTTCAGGATTGGCTCTCTTCTGAGTAAATAGGTAATGAATAACCCAGGCAGCTTGCAGGAATGGTTGCCCTCCTCCTACCCCGGAGGGTGGGGGATAGGGTCACACACACAGACTAGCCTGGCTTTGATGAGTTATCTCTCATCTCTGCCTCCACTGGCCACTACCACCCAATGGGATGTTGGCACAGGTCAGGCTCCATGTGACTGCCAAGACTTCTGGCAACAGGAACCTGACCCCAGCTCCCAGTTGTAGACTGCCCGATGCATCATCAAAGACCAATAGGAGAGACCCAGGGGAAACACTGTGTCCAGGGGAGGAAGGGGCGGTGTCGGGTGGGTGTCCCAGGAGGAACTGCCTCATTCTGAACAACCTGGTGATCTCTTTACTTCTAGCTCTGTTTGAGACTCAGTAGAGAAATGCCAGATGTCTCTCCCAAAGATGTGAGACCACTCTGTGCCCAGCTTTGCAAAAGCCCACCCATGGTAAGGTTCTTCCATGTGCAGGGGTTATGGAAGGAAGGTTGGGTGGGGACAAAAGGGCAAAAGCTAATGGCCCAAGAGCTTGTCTGGCACACACACCCTCCCTGGTTATTTTCTGCCCTGATGAGAACTTCACGAGAACCCCCAAAGGGGAACATGAGCCCTAAGAACCACTTATGGGCCCAGCTGGCCTTCAGAGAAAGAGCCCTGGCTGCTGTAGGAAGCAATAGGCTGGAAGTGGTGGCTGGACTAGAATCTTCCACGGTCAACAATTCCTTTTAAACCTCAGGAGACTGTGCAGCACTTGGGGAAGGGACTCCTACATGGTAACCAGAAGAAAGCGACTACTGCTACCCGCATCAGCCTGGTGGATTCAACATGTCAGCTCTGTGACTCCATCTACAGAACATTCCAGAAAAGGCAAAACTCTAGGAATAGTATACCAATCAGGGTTGCCAGGGATAGAAGAAGGAGACTTTTTGCTGATTCTGGCACCATGTATTGAGATTGTATATACTTGCCAAGATTCACAGACTGTTCCTTGGGATCAATGCCAGCAGCAAGGGCCCGCAGTGACAGGAAGAGTGGCCAGAACGAAGTGTCCAGACAGGCTGCCTCCCACCTAACGCCCATAAAGTGCTCTCTCCCTGCCTACATAATGAAGAGTAGATCCTTAGACCTCCTGCTGACAAACTCCTTGATAAGATCCCTCAGAGCTGGAAGGAAAACCACCTAAAAGCAGCCAAGGTTTTTGACAACCTTTGCTTGGAATTTGATGGCTTGTGTTTCCAAGAACGGACTCCGGCTCAGCCGGGATTTCTCACGCGCCCATCCGCTAATCTGGTAATGGATTGGCTTTCACACTCAGAACAGAAACAAACCCTTGGCATGTGAACTTGTACCGTTTCTGTTGTTTGTTTCGGTTGTTAGTTAATCCGCCCCAGGAGCCAGGCAGTGTGCGTTGGGGGGGGGGGGGAGGTAGAAGGAGGCCCAAGGGCATCCCACGGGGGATGCTGTCCACTTGGCCCACACGGTCTTGGGTGCTGTGGTCCTGATCAAAAGCATTTGAAGAAACCCACGGCTCTTCCTGGAGGTTGTCATGATAATCAATGCATTCAGAGCATTGTGCACCCTAGAGATTTCTCTTTTCTTCAATCTGGTTTTCCCAGACGGTGCATCTGTGTCTCCCTGGCTGAACTCACAGCCACGGATTTCTCCAGAACAACTAGACTCTGAGTAACCCAGCCAAGCCATCTCATAGCCTTACCACTCAACCACACACAAGACCAACTGCACTGTTGGTCTTTGAGGCTCTCAAACACACCTGTCTGTTTTCTGATGGGCACCCAGGGCAGAGGAGCCCTGGTTGATAGAGACAGGAGTGGGCCTGGACCCTCGATGACATCACTGGGTTCTCGCAAGCCTGTCCTTAGGCTTCGGTCCTCTCATTGGTAGGACAAGCAGAGGTCTGTAAACCAATCACCCAGAGGTCTGCAACTGGCCTTGGGTCTGGAGACCAGGTCACTGAAATCCCATTGCTGTCTTCCCTCTGGCCACCAGCCAAGTATATCATGGTGGCAATTCAGACTAAGATGAAAGAATCCCAGGGGTCAGAGCAACCACGACTACCATCTACACAGATGAGAGCGGGGGCTGCAGAGGGAGTGTCTTACACCCCACTGCAGAACCGCCAGCCAGGACAGAGCTGGGCTGGCCCTCAGCATCTACTGAATGACAAGTGGGTCAGACAGGACCATGGAAAATCGCAATACTTCAGTGAATTCCAAAGTTACCAGCTTGGGAGGTCCCTGGGCAGGGGAAGGAAAGACGGTGTACACAAGACAAGAGCCCATGACTTTCGCCAATGACACAGCCACATCCTGTAAGGTGGGCTCTTAGCCCAGTGCTCTGCTTCCAACTAAACACAACGGACGAAGAGAAGAGGGAAGGCGGGTGGCAAAAGGTCTGGGAGGGGGCATAGAGAGGGAGGTGGGGATGAAGTGGCCTCCCTGGTCCAATGTAGGGGTTCCCTGCAACAATGAGAGAGAGAGACAGAGAGAGAGACCCGTCCCAGGGACTAAAGAAAATTCTGGAATCCCCAGAGGGAAAAGAGGCGGTAAATCCAATGAACTGTATTCCAATCCAAATACCTGTGTTCTTAACAAGGCCACCGGGCATGTTTTGAAATTCATCCACAAACTGGCTTACTGAAGCCACAATGCAATCACCGCTAGCACCTGTTTCGAAGAAAGAATGCAAGAAACACCATCCTAAAACCGACAGCTGGTGTCACTGCCCCTGAGCCCCTCCTGGACAGAACCCTTTGGACCACTGGGCTGTTTCCATCAGTGTCTGGTACAGGTCAGTACTGTGGGTGATGGGAAATGCTGTTTCTGTGAGGCACGAGGCACATGGCAAGACTAAGGATGAGCAAGTCACCGGCGAGCCGTGTCCTTCCATAGCCACAATGCCTGAGGAGACTCGGGCCCCCAGCTGGACTCTGCCCCTAGATCTACCGTGGGATTCACTGCAGGCCCCTTCCCTTCTCCCAGCACCTAGGGCTGCTTCTTTAGACTAACCTAGGTGGAAGACACATTTGCTGTGGCAGAGAGAGGGAGGACCAGTGCTGGGCTTCCCAAGTCACTCTCATCCCAAGGAGTCAGAAGACACAGAGAGGACAGGGAGGTGCCAGCAACACAGGAGGGCTTGGCCCAGGGCTCTGGGAGATGCAGAAGGAGCTGGAAACCTAGGAGGCAGGGTACCACTGGAAAGAGCCTCTGTCACCTGTGCCTGTGAGAGTCAGTGAGGCCACACCAGTGCCCATCAACAAGGGGAGGGGTGGAGAGAGAAGAGAGAGAGAGAGAGAGAGAGAGAGAGAAGAACCGTGCAACGCAAACAGTCCCACACAGGGCCATCTGGGAGTGACCGACTTGCCCACATTCCATCTCCCACACTGGCCTGACCCAGCCCCATTCAGAGCCAGGTGCAGAGGCCACGGTGGCAGGTAGACCCTGCGTGCATGGCCAGTCCACTTGCACTGCCTTTCATTTGCATCTCTGGACTCTGGTGCGGTCAGGCGAGGTCATATTCACTAGGAACACTGGGAATCCTTCAATGGAGATGGAAAGGGGTGGCAGGGGCAGGGCAGGGGGCTTCCAGGAGGAACAGCTGAAGGATGGGCAGCTGGAGGAGCCAGGGGTGGAGGGGTCTAAAAGAGACCTCCCAGATGAAGCCTGACCTGACGGAGACCACGCACAACCTGCTGCTCCGACTCGGGGCTGATGTGCTCGATGAGGTAGTTCCATCCTGGCTTCCCCAGGCAGGTGGCATCGGCCCAGGGAAGCCAGGCCTTCTTCCCAAAGACCCCAGGGGTGGAGGGGACCAAAAAGGGAGCTGGGAAAAGCCAGACATGGGATCCCAGAATGCAACGGGAGCAACAGAAAGGGCCAGCCACAAGGGATTCTGGATTCTGGGTGTGGGCTACTGGCCCAAGGGCACCTTCTAGCCACCATGCTGACCTTGGCTTGGAGTGACAGAGGTCCCTTTTCTGACCTTCCCAAGCCCTGGGAGGGTGAGGGGGTAGGGTGTTGGGGAGGACAGGCCTCGGGGCTTCCAGGGGCCCTAGCATGTGACAGTGACTCCTTACAGTGCTCAGCCAAGTTCCAGCCTCAGTCTGTCCTCAGGAGGGTGAGCACAGCAGGGAAGTTGGAGGGCTTTGGCCTCGAGACAAGGGCAGGGCTATGGGTCCGTTGTCTTGGCCTGGAAATACTGGGGTGTTCCCCAGCTGGGCTGTCCATGCTGTCCTCCTGCAGTCTCCAGCTTACTCTGCTCCTCCCCAGTGGGCCAGGAGAACGGATGGGAGGGCAGCTCCGCCCCCCATCCCCCCTCCTGTGGAGGACGGCCCAGAGCCTTGCAGGTGCTCCTAGATCTCCATGTCCACAGGCCGGATGTTGCCGGTCTTGTGCTCTCTGACCCACAGCTCCCTGTCTCTGGCCGGGTCCACCTTCCGAAGCAACTGGTCCACAGGCTCCACTGTCTGTAATGGACAGAGAAAGGAGACGTGGTCAGAGGTGCTGGTCAAGCTGGCAGACTCCTCTGAGTCACCCTTCTCTCAGAGGAGCCTTTCTGGAAGGTTCCAGAGCCCTCTGGAGGCAGCCCCGCTTGATAGGCAAGATGAGGGTGCTAGGTGTTGTAGAGTTTCCTGGTCTGGGACCTCATCCTCTGTGTGGCCCTCAGTATGGCTGCCAGACCAATGGGCAAACAGAGTGACTGCTTTATGGGGATTCTTGCATAGTTCTAGAAGTCGTTTGGGTTGTGTCTTTGAACAGATGGGAAGCTCCTTCTTCTTGCAGCTGGCTGTGCACACATGTATGGTTCCTTGCACAGGGCAGATTCATGTGGACATGCAGCGTGATGCCCAGAGCCGAACTCGGGGCAAGTCTCACAGCAGCCCCTTCACCTGCCGTGGTGATGCACCAACTCTGCTATCTTGCTGGGTCTCCCAGGGGCCCTGCTGCCCCTGGGCACCGTACAGGTGGGGGACTCACGCTTTGGTTGAACATGTCCGTCTCGTGCCGCAGCTGTGTGTACTGGCACAGGTGCTGTCGGATCATCTCCACCCGCTCCACCTCCAGCCGCTCCAGCTCCTGCCACAGGAGGAACAGACCCGAGGCTTCAGAGCGCAACCCCGCCGCCTAGCAAGCTTCTCCTCCCCGCCCCCCACAAGGGGACCCCAGATCACCATCACGTCCATCTGTGAGGCAGAAGCCCCTGGCTGTGAAATACCACTGTGGACACTAAAAACCATGGGCTTGATTAGGGCTGAAGGTGGAAATGATGAGAGTAGCTGCGACTGTTGGCTGACCCGGCAGTCTGCTGAGCCGGGCACGGTGCTCAGAGCTTTCCTTGCCATGCCTCACTGTCCCATCGTTGTCCTAAGGTATGCTCCCAAGCAAGGCAGCTCACACACAGGCAGCAGACACGGCTTGCCCAAATAACATGGAGTTACAAGACCAGCAGGATCCAAACCAGGATCACCACCTTGCACCCACTGAAGTGGGTCCTTCCACCCACGGGCTCAAGGACCCTGATAGGGGACAGTGTCCATCCTCACGCTGCTGCAGCCCTACCCTTGGGTCTCTGCTGGGCAGCCCTACTCCCCATTGCACTGTGCCTGTGTAACCGCAGTGTGGAGGGATGGCGCAGAGACCAGGCTAGGGAAGCAGGGGCGCTGGGAGTGGAGCTGCCACTGTTAAAGGGCAGAGTAGGAAGCTTCATTCTTTGGCTTCTAGCTGGTTCCACACTTTCAGAATGGAAGAGATCAGGCTGTTGTTCTGTGTCTAACTCGGTCACTGCCCAGGTGATTAACTGGGAAAGAGGGGGAAGCAAGTGGCTTACGGAGAAGATTACCCAAGAGGACAGTCGGCTCAGTATCCCTACCAGGGGAGGCCGCTAATCTGCTCTGGTGGGCTTACCACCTGGTTCATGGATGGACAGGCTACCTTGTGGGACACCTGTCTGCCAGCAGGCTTCACTGCCTCATGCGGGTGGATACTGGCCGACAAGCAGATGCTGCTCCCTTAACGAGAGATGCTCAGGAGGGCACGGTGGGGCCTGTTGCCAGGACCTGACACCCTGTCAGAAGCCAGTCCCCCAACCTCAGCCATCTGTAAGCCTTACAAGGGCCTCCCCCAAAGGTACTGCACCGGCCCTGTGTGTGTAGGTGGGGGGAAGAGTCTCTCTTTCTAGGGACTGTTTGTCCTAGATTTGGTTGTTTGGCCTAGGTTAGGGGCCACCATCCCCTCTGTCAGGAGAGTCCTCCCTTGGCCCTGTCCCCTCAGAGAAGAGCCGTAGGGGCACACGGACGCTGTGTCCACAGGGGAAGTGTCACAGCAGGTGTCAACAGAGATGGCCTGAGCTGAGGTTCTGGCCCCAAGCCATCTCCATGCTCACCTCCACTGCCCCACTCCCATGGTGCACCCAGGTTACCCAACGTGTGCCAGTCCCCACACAGCCATCCCGGACATCTGCAACCACCTACCAGTGTGGTGGTCACCATCTCCTCAAACCACTTGGACTGGGCCTGGTTGTAGAGATCCACGCAGCGCATAAGGTCATCCCCTGGAAAAGGCCCGGGGGCTGCATCACATCGTGCTCCAGACTGCCTTGCCAACGCACAGGCCCGCGCCCATGCCTCAGCCATCCCCCCTGCCCCGGCCCTCTGATATCCTGGTGGCCAATGGACAGTGGAGGGAAGGTGAGGGGGGAGGAGAGGCAAGCAGACAAAGAAGGAGGCGACCTAAGGGCTTCCGCCCCAGCTCAACCCTGGAGGCCAAGAATTCAGGAAGGGAGGGAGTTCCTCATGTTTGTGCATGTGCACGGATGGGTGTGGACTATGTCCATGTGTGTCCATGTGTGTCGGGCATATGCCAACTTCAGGGGACTGTTCCCTTTGGGAAACAGAGAAAGGAGTTGCCAGCCTTAGCTTGCAGCAGCAGCCGGAGCCCGGACTGGAACCCAGACCCTCTGATGCAGGAGGCGGGCATCTCAACCCCTGGGCCAAATGCCTGCCCCAAGCTGTGGGCTCTCCAGCGCTAGTGTGTTGGGTTGCAGGTTGCAAACATTCTGTAGCTAGGAAGGAAAGAGCCAAAGCTCAGCAGCACCCCAGTGCCTTGCCACATGGAAACCAGGACCCCTGGGAGCTGCCTGGGGGACAGCCAAGACCCAGGTCTGCTCAGAGCTGCAAGGTCTCAGCATCCCCCAAAGGACACCTGCACACAGTACGGTTGGAGTGGCACTGATGCAGGCCTTCGTATGATCCCAGCAGGCGCCAAGCCCGACGCTAACTCATCCTGCACAGGAGTGCCTGGTTCGTGTCCTGGCGCCTCTTTCAATTTCCGCTTCTAACAGCTTTCTGAGGTGCAGCTGGTAAGGGCTCAAGCTAGTGGACCCCTGGTGCCCAGGTGGGAGATCCAGCCTATTTTAGTGAATCAGTAGATGATAATTCTCTCTCTCTCGAAAATAAATAAATAAAAATGCAACAGTATATGGGCCAATTTACATAAATTTGAAGGCTATTATGAAGATTGAAATAGTAGGAAGTATTCATGGTAACTACCATGAATATTCTTCCATATTACTAGAATATTTTGCTGTGTGCCAATATTGTCTTTGAAGGATTGATTTATTTAGTTATTTTGAAAGTCAGAGTTACCAAGACAGAGAGAGAAAAAGAGAGAGAGAGACAGAGAGAGTGAGAGAGAGAGAGAGAGAGAGAGAGATCTTTTATCCTCTCATCCCCTACTTCATGGATGGCCAAATGGTCAGGGCTGGGCCAGGCCAAAGCTCCATCCGGGTCTCCCAGGTCCTTAGCAGGGAGCTGGATAGGAAACAGAGTGGCAGGGACACAAATTGGTCCCATACGGGATGCCAGAAGCATGGGCAGCTACTTTACCCACTGCACCACAACACTGACTCCTTCAGTAATATTTTTCATAATTTAATAAGTTAAACACATCTCTTCCCTTTCTGGAGTTCCCCCTTTTCTCTCCTGGTCAACATATTCTGGGTTTATAATTATACTTCTGGATCTGGTAATTTGCTATTGTAATATAAAAATGATCTCGCAATACCCGTACTTGGGAAAATACTTTAATAGGTACACAAGACTAGTAGCTACTCACTCACGCAGAGTGCTTCCCACTGTTCTAATTTCCGATGTTACTATCAGTCTGGGCTTAGTTCTACCTCAGATGGTTTCACAGGGTCCGCAGGGTGGCTGTTTCCTTCCATCAGGAAACTAATTGTAGCAGGTTCACCAGACACGGAGACAAAAGCCACCTGCAGCACACGGCTCCATCTGAAAGCACTACATGTTGTCCCGCACACAGCAACACTTGGTTGCTAGGGGCTGCTGCTGTGTGCTGTAGACCCAGCCACAGCCTGGATGGCACTCATCACGCCGGAGCTTCTGGTCGAGTCCCAGCTGCTCTGCTTCTGACCTAGGTCCCTGCAAAGGTGCCTAGAAAGGCCACAGAAGATGGACCAAGATGGTTCCTGGCTTTGGTCTGGCTTAGCAGCAGCTACTGTGGCCACTGGGGCGGAAAATAAGGGAAAACAAAATCGCAACTGTATTGCACCCTGGCAAGCTTTCTCCTTGCCATGATTTCCTAAATGCACAGCAGAACTGCAGGGTCTTTTTTTTTTTTTAAGCATTTACAGAGCATTAGGTTTTATAAGTGAACTGGAGACGACTTCAGCTTTGTGTGTCCTCTAGACAAATATTGTGCCATCTTGCACAATATCTTGCATCTTTACATTTTGGAGTTTCCTGACTGAGGTCACTGATTTTTTCACTAGTTCTAAAGGGGTTTCCTGGCCCTCTGGTGCGTGAGCAAATTTGGCCACCAGGTGGCACCAGAGACTAACCCGTTGAGGGAAAATCAATTTTGCTGTTGGAATCCCCAATCCACGAAATGTCGGTTCCCCGTCCTGGGGTACCATGGATAAACCTTCAGGGGAGCCCTCCCTGGGGACACCTTGTTGGGTAGAGTCTTCATTTCTCCATACAGGACCCTGAGCTCTCTCAGTGCCTGCAGCTGAACAGGTGTATCTCCTGGCTAGGGTTTGAGCCAGCCCAAGCCGTCATCACAGTACTGGCAGGCCTGCGGCCTCCCCACCACCCACACCTCGTCCTCTGAGGTCCAGGGGTGTGAGACCCCTACTTCGCCCCCGTACTCCGCCGCAGTCCTGCACCCCCAGGTGCACTCCTCTCCATCCTCCCACCCACCACCCCGGCGTACCAGCCTGCGTGGACTTCCTCCGAGCCTTCTTGATGTCCTCCTCCGTCTTGTTGCTCAGCTTGATCTCCAGCTGCTGTGTCTTCATCTCCAGGTCTCGCTGCCGCTCCGTGAGGGCTTTCCGGGCCTATCAGGGCGGTGCGTGGAGAGCTAGCTGCTCACGAAGCTCGGGGCCCAGGCCCTCCCTGCACCCCCAGCCACAGCCCCTCCGGGGGGGGGGGCGGGTGGCAGGTGAGGCTGTGCCTGGCTCTCAGGGGTCACCTCCCAGAAGTAGGGGGGAGTGCAGGCTGCAGCACCTGCCGCGCCATTCTTCCTGGTCCCCCTTCAGAGATGGCCTTCCCTACCCCTGCTTCCCCTCCCTCCTGGCTGCTCCCAGCAGCTCCCTTTGGTGCAGACAACCGGTGGGGACTGCTACAGGTCGCCCAGGCCACCAGTGTGCTCTTCTGTAAGGCACGGAGGTGGGGGTAGGGGAGGGGGTAGGCACGGGAGAGCCCTCTGTCTTCCAAGGCTGGTCCCCAGGAGTCCACCCATGATGTCTCTGATTTCCTAGCAGGGTGTGACTGTGGGGGCGGGGATAGAGCAGCAGATCTGCAGGCACAGTGTCAGCACATCCCAGTTGTGGCCTCCCCTGTGCCCACGGGATCATCTCAGGGACACACCCTTCCTAGCCCAGCTGGGTGGCTCCCTGGATCCCCCCACCTCTGCCCCAGCATGAGGTCCCCATCTCTCACCTTCTCCACCGCAGCATAGCGGCTGGCCAGCTGCTTGCGGAGGTCAGCGATGTGGTGGTCACACTTCTTCATGTCCTTCTTGAAGTTCTCACGGAAGTTCATCAAGGGCTTCTCCACCTCGCTGTGGAGCTGTGCGAGAGAGGGGCAGGGGAACGCAGACTCAGGGCCCCAGAACGTGAGTCCTGGGCCAGCCAGGGGCTGGAGGCTGAGCCTGGCTTCGGGCGGCTTCACCCATCTGGTACAACAGGTTGATGACCACTGACCAGGCCCGAGGGGGCCGGAGACACAGAGCTTATTCAGGACAGCGTTAGCATCACCACGCTGTATAATCTCACGGCCAAGAGCCATGGGAATCATCTACAGCATGGGACTACACGAAGTATCAGCCTGCTGCAGAGTGAATTTAAAGCCTCATCTGCGCTTGCCTCGGCAGGGCCAGCCCAAATGAGCTGGTGGGCTGGCTGGATGCTCCCCAGCCTGGCTCCATGATCCGGAAAGGCCGGAGGAACAGGCCAGGACCTTCAAGGTTTTCCCCAAGTCAAATGATGGCCTGAAGGGTGATGTTCCCAGCTGCGAGAAGAGCTCCTGCTCTATGGGCAAAGACCACGATTCTGTCTGTCTCTCAAGTAGTTTTTTTTTCTGAAAGGCAGAGAAACAGAGTAAAGGAGAGAGAGAGAGAGATGTCTTCCATCTGTTGGTTCACTCTCCAAATGGCTGTAACAGCTGGGGCTGTGCCAGGCTGCAGTCAGGAGCCAGGAGTTTCCACCAGATCTCCCACATGCATGCAGCGGCCCAGGCCACCTTGGGCCACCTTCTTCCCCAGGTGCATTAGCAGGGAGCTGGATGGGAAGTGGAGCAGCTGGGACTCGAATCAGCAGCTATATGGGATGCTGCTGTTGCAGGCAGTGGTTTCCTCTGTTACACAACGATGCTCGCCTAGACTTCTTCACTTTCAAAGTATCGGTTTTGTCACTGGGAATCAGAGTCCTACTCCTGGGGGACTCTAGGGCTGGCGTGGCACTGTGTAGAGCAGGGTTGTCTCCCAAAGCCCTCTTACCTTCCTTTCTTCCCACCGAATTCATTAGGAGGGGATAAGAAACATTCCAAATTGGGAGGGATTTCAGAGAAACTGTAACCCAGCATTGGACAAACAATGTAGCTAAGAGCTGTGAACTCCGCCTAGTGAATCAGGTCTGGCTTTCCCGTGCAAACAGACCAGACCTGAATAGAAAAAATCCACAGGGGCATTTCAGGGGGAAGGATGAGGGCTGGCTGGCTCGTGGAGGACTGGTCTTGGCTGCCAAGGCACGTGAGTGTGGATGGGGGCGGGCAGCTGCGCGTGGATCTGTGTGTTTTAGGGTTGGCCATGTGAAACATCTCCGTGTGGGTCACCTGGTCCCAAACCTCCACTTCTTACACAAAGAAAAGGCAACTGCAGGGATCCTAAGTGACTCACCCGGGGCTGGGCAGCCCAGAGCATCAAGAAAACCCATTTGCCTCCTCCAGACCCTGGCTGAACACACTGTCTCTATTGCCTGATTGAATTTTTTTTCCCCCTTCTTTTCCAGCCTGGGTGCCAGGTAAAAACTTCCTTTGCAGAGAGCAAGCTCCAAGCTTTTGCAAACTGTGGTTATTAGCAACAGGCTAATGAAACTGATGAAAAAAAAAAAAACCCTAACAAAATTGCCATTCCTAAAGAGCTTTTCTATTTTTTCACTCGAGGACACAGAATGCAGGGAACAGCGTTTCAAGGAACCTTCTGGAAGCATACACACAAAAACAGGGGCGTTGTGCATATACAGTCATATGATCCACAGTGGACTGACAAATTCTCAAAGTCCCCTTCCCCATTAAGGACATGTCATAAAAACACCAGACTGGGGCCCGGTGTGATGGTTCGGTGGCTAAATCCTTGCCTTGTTCATGCCGGGATCCCAGATGGGCACCGGTTCGTGTCCTGGCTGCTCCACTTTCTAATCATCTTTCTGCCTTGTGGCCTGGAAAAGCAATGGAGGATGGCCTAAAGCCTTGGGACCCTGCACTCATACGGGAGACCTGGAAGAAGCTCCTGGCTTCATCTTGGCTCAGGACTGGCCGTTGTGATCATTTGGGAAATAAACCAACAGACAGAAGATCTTTCTCTGAGAATCTGCCTTTTCAAAAAAACTAAAATAAACCTCAAAATAATAATAATAATAAAAGGACACCAGACTGGTACTACGGTCCCCTGCAGCCACTGACCCTGACCGGCAGGCTGGAGGGGCACACATTCCTGGCAAAGTTTGGTGTGCATGAGCGTTCTGCATAAGATCCCGGCAGCTACTGACCTAACACAGTCTGCATCTACAGGGTGAGCCTGCACCTGCTGCTGCGACCCCCACCCCCTGGGCCTTTGGTTCTGCTGGAGAGAGGCCTGAGGCCCCAGTCCCTCCAAGGCTCACAGTTCACTCCTTTGTGTCTCCTTTGGTCAAGTTCAGTTAGTGTGCGACACTGTCCTGGGACTCATCTCTCTGCAGAAACACAGATGTTCTCTCACTCGGAAGGTGTTGAGACAGACTTAAGGTATATCCTGAACCGAACCACCCAGAACAACTCTATCATGGCTGTTGGGTAGACAAGCTTGTCATCTGTTGAGGACTGGAAAGAACAATTTTCTGGGGCCGGCACTGTGGCGGAGTGGGTAAAGCTGCCACCTGCAGCGCCAGCATCCCATATGGCCACTGGTTTGAGTGCTGGCTGCTTCACTTCTCGTCCAGCTTCCTGCTAATGCATTTGAGAAAGCATCAGAAGATGACCCAAAGTCCTCAGGTCCCTGCACCCACATGGGAGACCTGAAAGAAGCTCCTGGCTTTAGCCTGGCCTCAACCTGGCTGTTGCAGCTATGTGGGGAGAAAACCAGTGAATGGAAGATCTTGCTGTCTCTCAGCCTCTCAACCAAATCAAAAAATAAGTCTTTTTAAAAGGTTCTCCTTTTTGAGGTGGGGGCAGGTGGAGCAGTGCCCTCCCCCCCCCCCGATGCCCAGGAAGTTGGCAGATCTGGCTCCCAGCCCCGCCCCGCCCCATTCAGCTGTGTCTGTCAATGAGGTTTGTGTCTGGCAGGAACCTGGGGCCGGAGAGGCAGAGGACTCTTGATTATAGCTGAAAGCAACTCGCTGCTTTGTATGCAGTGAGGGAAAGAGGCCAATTCATGGGGCTCCCGGCTCAGCCAGGGCTTGAGCAGAAATGCTTGCTCTAGTGAGGTGAGCGTGCCTGTGTGGGTGGGGAATCCTCATGCACATGGGGGTGTCGACTCAGATCTGGGGCACCGACATCCTTTAGAAGCAAGCGGCAGTAGGGATCAGCTCCTGGCAGCACTGTGTGCATGCTGTGGCCAGGGTACCATTCGTCTGCTCCGTGCTTGCAAAGCAACATCAAGAGGTGCCGTGGGGGGACCTGGGGCCAGCACTATGCACTGCATGTTAAGCTACAGCCTGAGGTGACGGCATCCCACATCAGAGCATAGAATCTGGGTCCAGCTGTTAGACTTCTCATGTAGCTCCCTGCTGATGCACCCGGGAAGGCAGCAGAAGATGGCCAAAGTCCTTGAGCCTCTGCTACTCCTGTGGGAGACCGGGATGGAGTTCCTGGCTTCTGGCTTTGGACTTGCCTTGACCTGGCAGCTGTAGTCATGGGGGACGTGGGGGAGTGAACCAGCAGGGGGAAGATTTCTCGCCTCTCTCTCTTTATCCTTCTGGCTTTCAACCTAATTATAATAAATCCTAAAAAAGAAAGATACAGGTTTCTGTCCTCTAACAGTACTCTGCATGGGATCTCCAAGCAGGGAAAAGCAGTGCTGGGAACAGCATTGGAAGAGGCAGGACCACCAAGAGTTCAATGTGGAAGTCCTAGGCAGGAGTGCCATCAGCTGCTGCCTGTCCCAGGATGTGCACCAACAGGAAGCTGGAATGCGGAGCAGAGCTGGGACTGGAAAAAGCTCACCGCACAGAGGTGAACTTGGCTGGCTCCCACTGCTCCCCCCACACTCCAGATCAAATATCCAGGAATGCTGTCAGCTCGTTGCTAAACACAGTCATTCCTAAAATGTTAAATTCTACAAACCTTCAATTAAATAAATGACATAAAAGACAAAGGTAAGACATACTTAGCACTGTGCTCCACACCCTAGATGGATTGTTCTGGTAGTGTGTGTTTTTGTGTTTGTGTGGTGGGCTACTATGCACCTGTTCCCAACTCAGTTCTCAGGGACTATCAGCATCTTGAAATTTATAGCAGGGTGGGGATGGCGTTGTGGCATGGTGGGTAAAGCCATTGCACCTATGCTGGCATCCCATGGGGGCATCAATTTGTGTCCTGGCTACTCCACTTCCAACCCAGCTCCCTGCTAATGTGCAGGGGGAAGCAGCGTTAGATGGTCCCTGCCACCCACACGAAAGACCCAGCTCCTGATTCCTGGCGTTGACATGTTGACATCGCCGAGCCCTGGCTATTGAGGCCAGCTGGGCAGTGAACCAGCAGACGCACGGTTTCTTTGTTTTTCTGTGACTCTTTCAAATAAATACATAGGAAAAGAAAGGAACTGTACAATGGCCACATTTGTGGCTAGCCATTTATACACTTGTGCAGGCAGGTGAGGAGAAGGGTTTACCTTGGCTGAGAACTTGAGATGAACTTCTGCTTCATCTGCCAGGCTCTTTTTCACCTGAGCCCATGCCTCTCCCAGGGAGCTGCAACAGGAATCCAACCGTCAGACCCGGGGGGCTCCCAGGATGAAGGCAGGGGTGCTGGGTCCCCAAATCCTGCATCTCAGGGAGCCCCCTAACACCTAAGGCTTCAGACTCCGACGGAGGCAGAGGCCAGACCTACCATAACCACAAGCAACCTGCTTCAGCCCACAGTGCCCGTTCTCGGGCCAATGCCAATGGGAGCTCCCTCGGGGCTAATGGAACAGATGGTAACAGATACACAGGTGGCTGGTGGACTATCCGGAAGCCAGAGCCCTGGGAGGACTAGCAGAGGTGTAAGGGAAGAATATGCTACAGTTCCAAAGCTTCCGCTGTGACCTGGCCAGCGACTGCCCCAGTACTTCCCTACGCTGTGACCTGGCCAGCGACTGCCCCAGTACTTCCCTACGCTGTGACCCGGCCAATGACTGCCCCAATATGTCCCCACCCTGTGACCTGGCCAACGACTGCCCCAGTACATCCCTACCCTGTGACCTGGCCAGCGACTGCCCCAGTACTTCCCTACACTGTGACCTGGCCAACGACTGCCCCAGTACGTCCCCACACTGTGACCTGGCCAGCGACTGCCCCAGTACTTCCCTATGCTGTGACCTGGCCAGCGACTGCCCCAGTACTTCCCTACGCTGTGACCCGGCCAGCGACTGCCCCAGTACTTCCCTACGCTGTGACCCGGCCAATGACTCCCCCAATATGTCCCCATACTGTGACGCGGTCAATAACTGTCCCAGTACATCCCCACACTGTGACCTGGCCAGCGACTGCCCCAGTACTTCCCTACACTGTGACCTGGCCAGCGACTGCCCCAGTACGTCCCTACACTGTGACCTGGCCAACGACTGCCCCAGTACGTCCCCACACTGTGACCTGGCCAGTGACTGCCCCAGTACGTCCCCACTGTCCTTGCCCGGTTTGCTATCGAGGACTGCAAACGCTTCCAGGCAACCTCCTTCCCCTGCCCATCCCCAGGAGAGGCCAAGGGGGCACACCCAAGGGGCAGGTACAGCCTCAGGCACAGCCGCTCCCATTTTCATGCCCCTCTTTCTGGTTCAATGATCCTGCCTATCAACGTTTACAGGAGAATGACCAAGTTGTCCAGGTCAAATGCCTTCTCTACTCCAAGGAGTTTAGATGGAAGAAATCTACTCAAGTCCAAAAGGAGGCTTGTGCTGCCACTGCCATCCATACTACTATTTGAACCCTTTAGCCTCACTGGCCCTTGCTACAGCGCTTACCACCACCTCCTCAACCTGGCCAGCAAATCAGGCTGAATGTTCGGTTGACTTCATTTCATCCAAAGCCACTTTCCCCTCGCCAGGGAATTCATTACACTCGAGTGGCAAAAGCTGATTCCAAGACAATACGTTGCCCAACTCTGGGCTCTGAGCAGCTGAGAATCAGCCGATGGAGAACAGCAGCTTCCTCTGATGGCCTGCCAGGCCCGGCTGGTGGTTGGGGCGTGGGCTGGCTGGGCGTTTATGGGAAGCAGCTGATTTTATCTCAGAGGAGTCCAGCGGCAGCAGAGTAAGGGCTAACTGGGAGATCTTGTCAACAGACCTTGGCCAAAGAAGGACCGGAGTGAAGGATGTGTGTGCGGGGTTGGGGGGGGGGTGGTGAGCACCAGGAAGTTGGGTACTGTACACTCTATGGGTGTCTGAGTCCCTGCTTGATACAATAGGGAGGTGAAGGGTGCATCAGGTTCAAGGGGTCAGACCAGTTTGCAGAAAGCCTAACCTGCAGGTGATGCAGTATTTCATATACATCACGCCACTCTCCTGGATGCTTTAAATCATCTTTGGCTTACTTACAGAATGCATTATACATGCCACACCCACAGCTGTAACGCTGTTTCGTTCAGGGAAGTATGAGAAGGCAAAAGCCTGCTCACAGTGAATGTGAGCCTGCTCACGGTCAGTGTGGGCCCAATTTCTTCTACTTTTTTTTCCCCAAATAATTTTGATCTGCAGCTGGCTTGGAGAATACAGAACCTGCACATGTGGAGGGTGGACTGTGGGGTTGTGCAGAACTGGGGGACAGAAGCATAGCAGAGGTGCCAGGGTGTTCCCATGGTGGGGTAGGGGCAGCCTTTTCAAACAGTGAAGACACAAGTGGGTGCTCGCAGGGAAAAAAGAAACCTTGCCCTAGTCCCCCAACCCCACCCCCCAAGGCCACATACAAACACACAAGTTATCACAAGGAGTATCCTAGCTCTAAGGTGTTGGCTGACCCAACACAGAGCCTACAGAAGCTGTCTGGGGAGTGGGCATGTGGCTAAAGGGAGGTGAGGGGGTTGTGTGGCAGCAAGGGCTTGGCAGAGGTGGAGGGGAGTGCAAAGCCCAGCTACAGAAACTGCATGGAAGAACTGCGAGGAACTCTAGGTCTGTGCCAGCATAGGTGCCCTTCTGGGCAGCTGTCAGCAGGGCATGTGGCCAGTAAAGGGCCCAGAAGTCCTGCAGAAGATAGCTCAGGGCAACTGGAAGGAGAGCAGGAAGTGTGGGAGTTCCAGGGATAATGCCCACAGCTCCACTTTGGGCCAGGCATTCCGGAGTGAACGGACACTCCCCCCAAGGATCAGATGGGTCCATCTGAGCCCACATGAACCCTACGCATGCCTCCCCCTCCTCAGGATTCCAGGCCCACTGGAGTCCCATCACAGATTAGAAAAAAAAAAAATTAGCAGCAACTTGGAAATTGTCTCATCAGAAGAGACTTTTTTTTTTATCTGATAAAAGAGGTTAATGACAAAATCAACCCCCAAGACAGATTTCTGTTCCCATATACAGTTTGAGGTATGTCAAGACCAAATGCACGCTACTGCCATAATTGTTATCCAGGAGAGACCACAATTCCATTTGCTTCCCACCCAGGAGAGAAATGAGGGCAGAATAAAGACCCCAGTGCTGCGTATTCACCAACATGCACAAGCACTGTGAAATCTAATCTCAACCTAGTGCCAGGGCTTGCAACAGCAACTCAAGTCTTGCTGATGGTGTCTGCCCCACATTTCTAAGCTTCGAAGCTGTTCTAGGAGTTCGACAGCCCAGGTCCAATGTCCAGAGCTCTGAGTGCGTGTGAAAGAACACCACTGCACACTGAGGATGTGTGTGGGAGCCTTGCGCACACGCCCTGCGGCTGACTGGCAATGCCAGCACGCCCACGTACAGGCGAGTGGCACTGATGCACTATGGGAGCGTGTTTTGCAGCCCCCCGCCCACCCATGTCTGTACATGCATGTGTGGACGGCATGGCAGTGCAGGCCCGAGGCGAGGAGCTGGGCGGCTTGAGTTACAAGCACATGCTGTGCCTGTTGGCAGGACACAATGTCCTTGGCAGTAGCTCAGGCTGAGGAGGTAGAAGCTGGAAGATTCTGGAACAGCTTAGTGGTTGCAGGGCATGGGGGAATCCCAAGAAAGCCCCCCTTCCCAAGCAGCTTCTCCCTCCCAACCCCTAGTTCAGATCCATTGTATAGAACAGAGGAGAGCAAGGAACCAACTGAGCTCACTGATGTCCATGGGAAAGACACTGGTCCTGTGCCTGCCGTGTGTGTGTGTGTGTGTGTGTGTGTGTGTGTGTGTGTGTGTGTGTTGGGGCAGAGCAGGGGAGGCAGGAACCACTTGGTCGCAGCATGAGCCACGCAAAGGCCTTAATCAAAGCCACATTGGGCTGGCAAGCTCTGTCCCCCTGGAGGACTGCAGAGTTGGTCTTGTTTAACATTGCAGCTCTCTGACAGTCACAACTCTCCCACGACACAGCCTCTTCCTTCCTCGCCGCTGTAGGGTGAATTCCAGCAGAGTCTGGCACAGGGAAGGAACACACGTTTCTATGCTTACCTCCTGAGATTCTGTTGGTTTTTATGGCGGGGAAAGTCCCAGAACATAACCACTTTCTCATAGCTCATTTCACTAGTGTTCGGGACACCCACGGTATGGTGCAAATATCACCCCTCCAGGTACAGCCCACGTAAGAGCCTGACTCCCCTAGATTTAAGCGTGGAAACCCCGGCTCCAATGTGCGGTACAGCTGAGGGGGCGTGAGGTGCTGAGGGTGCAGGCTGTGACCTGACTGGGTTACAGTTCCTATTAGAAGGGGCACCAGAGAGCTGGCTGTCACTCTCCTCCAACCCTAATCTGTGCAGGGGCCAGGCGAGCACACAATGGAAAGGTGGCTATCTGCAACCTACCAGGAGAGTCCTCCCCAGACACCAGCCCTCCTGACACCTGGACCCTACACTCCCAGACCCCAGGGCCATGCCAAAGGCAACACAAGCTTCCTCGTCTGCAGTGTTATAGCAGCCCGAGTGGGCAAGAACAGTCTAGAAAGAAGCCACTGCCATGAAATGGTCAGGCCCTGCTCCTCCAGGCTGTCACCAATCTGCCTCTCTACGTTTGCCTAACCTGGGCATGCCCTACTATTAGAATCACATGATTGGGGGCCTTTTGGGTCTGGCTCCTTTCACTCAGCCCAATGTTTTGAGGTCCAAGTACATAGCAGCAAGCTTCAGTGGTCCGTTCCTTTTTGGTGGATGAATAATACTCCATCATGGATCCGCAGACCTCCATTATATCTGTACTGCCATAGGATCATCCGCGGACCTGGGCTTGGTTCCTGCTCTGTGTAGGTGTGTCGTTTGTCACCCACTTGTATTGGAATCCTGTTCTCAGTCCTCCAGGGCATAGACCTAACAGAATAATTGATTCATGCGAGACGAATCTGTGTTCAACTATTTAAGGCACTAACTGTTTTCCATGGGAGCTGCACCCTCTGCATTCCCACCAGGACTTTGCTAATTCCCAGGGCACAAGAGACTCAAGTCTTGTTCCCTCTAGGGATCCCTGAGTTTCCTGGGGGCTTGGGTGGTGTGTCCCCACTCAGGAGGTGTACGTGGTCACAGCTGGGGCTGAGGAAGGCAGCCTGGGTCCTGGGCCTGCAGGAGAGACTTCCAAAAAAGACACAAAATCATTTCACACCCAGGCTCTTCACAGCCTGTTTTAGGGAAAGAAGAGAAGAAGTGCTTATACGCTGCTATCTGGGGGCCAGGGGCCCGGCAGGAGGGTCTTGGCTACCAGGGAAAAGTCATTGTGAAAGTGCCTTCACTCGGGATGGATGGCCATACCCTGAGCCATGGGGGTCACCTTGACCCACAGGTGCACGCCTTGACCCATAGGTGTACCTCTTGACCCACAGGGGTACACCTTGACTCACAGGTACACATCTTGAACAAGTGCACACCCTTAGCCATACCTTAAACCATGCCTGTGGAGATCTCCCTATCCATCATGTGCCTACGCCAGTGACCAACGACAGGTGAAAACACACGTTGCTTCCTCAGCGGCCTTGTCCCCACCCACTCCCACCACTGTCTGTCCAACTCACCCCTCCTCCTGTGCAGCCAAGGAGTTCTGGGAGAGCTTTGCTAAGTTCTTCGCATACTCTTCTTCAATCTTGATCCTGCAAAGAAAGGAGACCCAGCCATCAGCTCTCCAGTCACATATGGGGGATCTGACTGTTTCCTGATGCTTGTCAGCTACATCAAGAACCGGCTCATGAGCTCTGACAGTATGTGGCTCCTGCCCGTTCTGTGCAAGGGCTGTGTAAGTGTCAAGGAGGGCCTAGCATGGTAACGTAGCAAGGTAATCTTCCTTCTGTTAACACTGACATCCATGTGAGTGCCGGTTAGTGCCTTGGCTGCTCCACTTTCAGTGCAGCTCCTTGCTATTGCATCTGGGAAAGCAATGGAGAATGGTCCAAGTCCTTGGGACCCTGTACCCACATGGGAGACCTGGATGAAGCTCCTGGCTTTGGAACAGTTTAGTTTGGCCTACTGTAGCCATTTGGTGCATGAACCAACAGATGGAAGACTTTTCTGTCTCTCTCTCTTTGTAATATCTGACTTTCAGATAAAAATAAACACATCTTTTAAAAAGAAATAAATGTTGAGGTGCTGGTGTTGCGGTGCAGTGGGTTAAGCCACCACATGTTGACATCCCAAATGGGGGCTGACTTAAGTCCCTGCTTCTCTGCTTCTGATCCAGCTCCCTGCTAATGCACATGGGAAGACAGCGGGTAATGGCCCAAGTGCTTTGAGCTCTGCCATCCACATGGGGGACCCAAATGGAGTTCCAGAATCCTGGTTTCAGTCTGGCCAAGCACTGTCTATTGCGGCCATTTAGGAGATGAACCAATGATGGTACAGCTCTCTCTTTCTTTCATCTCTTCCCCTCTCTCTAACTCTACCTTTCAAATGTATAAATAAGCCTTTTTAAAGCCCACATATTTATTGAATAAGCCAATGGATGAATGAAACTGCCCTAATTGCTCAGGGTGCTGGAGTTGTGGGGCGTCACTTGGCACAGCTCCTAGCCCACAGTGGGACACGTAACAGTCCTTCAGTGAAGGTGTACAGTTCCCCATGGACCCTCGGGGACTGGGCTTAGGGACCCCGCTCCCCACGGCTGCCCTGGCACTCACAGGCACTCACAGTCTCCCACCCCTCCACCCACATATCTAGCTGTCAGGCCCTCAGTGGACAAGCATTTCTGTGGAAACTGGGCAGTGTCAGCTCAACTGTGTTTCCCAGCAGAGGGGTATTAACTTGGTCGTGACATCCAGCCGGCAGGGCCCCCGACAGCCTTGCACGGCAGCTCCCTGGGGAGCACAGCTGTGTCAAGCGTGTTGTCAAAGCTACCGTTCATGGCTAACATGGTCCTCTGGGCTGCAGTGGGAGGCGGGAGCTGACGCTGCGATCCTCGCAGACAGTGCCAGCAAGCCCCACTGTGGCCCCAACAGTGTAGATTGAGCGCCAACCGACCCAGTGTGATAACCACTGTGTCCTCTGGCACTGAGACGCACAATCCCGGTCTTCCTGGCATGGCCTGGCTCTCCGCTCCATCCGCTGCCTGACTCTGGGTCCTCTGAGCAAGGCTGAATGACTTGTCACTACTTCTCCCCTCGCTCTGCCTTCTCTGCTGGCCCTCCCTGGGATCCTGGGGACTGTCAGCGTGCACCTGCAGTCCGGGATCAAGAGATCTCTTTGCGAAGCAGATGTGACACATCACTCCCTCTCTGGGTTGCTCAATGCCAACAGCACGCAGGAGGTGCCCATTCTGTCCACCCCCTGGGTCGCATCAGCACAGCCAGCATCTCCTCTACCCTACCCAGTGCTCACTGCTGCCCTAAACCAGGGCAAGCCTGGGTCCGCTCCCTAGCCAGGCACACTCTACCCCTGCACCCTATTCCTCCCCGACCCTGCTCTGACAGGCCTCCCTACAAGAACCCAGATTGGACTGTGTGTTCTCAGGGTGCAATGGCAGGTCCCTGTAACTGCTAACAAGGTGCTGTGATGGAAATAGAAACCACACGCCTGGTCAAGCTCTGGCTGTTGCAAACCTCTTCCTATCTGCCTGCTTTACACCTTAGCTTCCTTGCACCTGAGCCAAGCAACCTCCCGATTTCCTACCAGTGTAGTGAGTCATAAAATGAAAACTGGATTATACAAATAGGCAAGAGGTCTCCTAAGGAAAGAGGGTGTTTTGAAATGCCAGAGCATTATTCCTCGATTATTGCGGTTATAATAATTTAAAAAGAAAAACAACTATTTTTAACAGACACTCATTTGCTACAGATTTGCATACAAATTGCATGCCTTGGAAATGACACTTAAAAATCTGCATGTGTGTGCCTGTGTGGCTATGCATATGTGCACACTGTGGGGTGTATGTGTGTAGGTGAGTGTGTGTGTGTTTGCACGCTGTGGGTTGTATGTGCACATATGTACAAATATAGAGGAGGCATGTGTGGGCATGTGTGTGGCTACGTGTACTCTGCAATGCATGTGTAAGTGTGCATGTGCCCAAATGTGTGACAAGGCATGCAGGGGTGTGTGTGTGTGTGTGTGCACATGTGTGTGTGAGAGTAGTGCAGGGGTGCGTGTGTGCACATGTCTGCATGTACATGTGTGGTGATATGTGCAAGCATGTGTATGTAAGCCTGTGTGCAGTGTGTGTGTGAACCTTTGTGGATGAGTGTGCACATATGTGTGAACCTGTGTGGGGTACATGTGCACATATATGGGGGAGGAGTCGTGTAAGGTGTGTGTGTGTGTGTGCACACGTGGAGACAGAATGAGGGAAACTGGGAATTTTCTCTTTGTAACGCCCCAGTTGATTGTATTGACTCTTGAGCTGTTTGCCGTGCTGCTTAAATAAATCACTGTTCTAACCCATGAATGCAAGGATGGGGTGGGGAGGGGGTGGATGGGGACGCCTGTGTTCCCAGGCTGGGATGCACTCTGGGCTCATGGTTGACCTAAAAGGGCACACTCCCTTTTTGGTTATGGGAAGGAACACTGCCTCGAATGAGGATCAGCAGTTATAAACTGGGTTGAAGTAGTCTGTGTGGGAGACAGTTGGGAGCGGTGGGGACTGCGGCAAAACACAACAGGAGGTCCCTCTGCTGGGGCAGCACCCCTCAACTCCAGCTGCCACTGTGTGAGGGTGGAGGCATCAATCCTGCAACCCCTTCTGCCTTCTCAGGAGAGGCCACCCGGATTTTTTTTTAAATGTAAAATCTACCAATTTAAAAATTGGTTTGAATCTTTAGAGACACTGTATAGACTACAGCCACGCCTCAGTCAGCCAGCTCTGCCCCACAGCTTCCAGTCTGAGTCGCCAGCCTTATTCTGCCGCTAGCGCTAAGCAGCCCCAGGCTGGGCAGCATGCAGGTATGGGTCCTGCTGTGGGCTCTGCCAGGTTGGTGATGGTGGGCGCCATTGCCATTCCCGGGGCGGGGCTGGCAGCGGCCGCACCTCTCCCGGATGAACTCCGACATCTCCTTCTGCATCTGTTTGCCCTTCAGTTGCTTCTGCAGCAGCAGTTCAAACCCGGCCACGGTGCCGTTGCCTTGGGGGTCCTTCTTATCGGCCTGCGAGAGACACAGAAGCACAGGAGGTTAGGTGATGGGATCTGGGGGATGTGGGTGTCTGCAGCCCAGCTGCACATGGCCACCCGACCCCTAGCCATGGTGTCTCTGTCCACGGCACTGCCGGATGCTGCCTCGGTCTGCATGCTCCCCGTCCCCCCGAAGTCCATGCACTAGACTATTAGTCTCCAATGCAACCTGTCGAGAGGTGGGGTCTTTAAAAGTGCTCAGTCGAAGCCCGGAGTCAGGAGTTTCTTTGCGTACACAGTGTAGAGGGTGTGTGGGTGTGGATGTGTATATGTGGGTGCAGGGGTTTAAGCACTAGGCTCATCCTCCATTACTGTCCCAGGTGCATTAGCAGGAGACTGGATCTGAAGTGGAGTTACTGGGATTTGAACCAGCACCCCCATGGGATGTTGGCCTTGCAGCAATGGGGTACAAGGGGGTAGAGCCAGCAGTGAGTTCCGAGCTGGACAACCCGGGGGTCACCCTGCCCCACCCCACCTCACCCCACCTCCTACCCTCATTTTTGGAGGAATAACAGAGGCAAGTGGCTTAACACAAAGCCTAGCACACAGTAAGTACTCGACCAATAGCATCCACTGTTGGCCACTCCTAAATCAAAGGCAAGACCTGGGGCAGACGGCCAGGTTCATGAAATGGGGAATTTTGCACTTAATTTTTCAAGCACATATTCTTCCAATTTCCAAATCAAATCATTTTTTAAAACCCGTGCTTTCTCGAGCACACCTGACCACTCCTCCCTGGCCTTCCCTCCCACCTGCCACCGCCCCCACCCAGCCAGCCAGCACAGCCTTCTCTGGGGGGAAACACTGATTCTAGTATCCTCCTGCTGGAGAGCCAGCCCCCAAAGCCGCCCCAGCCCCTGGCTGTCACTCCACCTACACGTGTTCTCCTCCATCCCAGCCTCTCGCCAGCAGGAAGCCAGCATGGAACGCGTTGAGACTCACTGCAGGAACAAGGGGAGGAGTGCTTCCCTAGCGGCGAGATGGGGTATGATGAACGTACTACGCCAGCACCCGCCAAGGTCCAGGTGTTCAGCTCAGCTCAGCCACAGGGCAGCAGGGCCACGTCCTAGCCCTGGGACACCCCCAGACCAGCCACGTGGGAGAAAGCAGAGGAAAAAGGGGAGGGGCACTTGCCAAGAACCCACTGGCCATGGTCAAGTTGGTGAAGGGTGTAGGGAATCCCATCCCTGGCTTGCCCCAAGGCTCTTAGGACATACAGCTGACATTGCGACCCTGAGATTAGCTCCATGCCTAGTGAGCCACATCAGAGTGTGGGAGGGGGCGCAGGGAGGGGCTCTTGTTGCAGTTTTTCCATGTATAATGAACATCTGTCACTCTATGGGCACTGTGTCTTGTTGAAAAAGCAAAGTACAAACTCCTTGGAAATACTGAGTCCCGGTCTGCTTCCCTTCGATTCTGACCGTCTCCAGGGAGCAGCAGCCAGCAGGCAAGTCCCTTCATAATGGTGACTGCAAGTTTGACTAAAGCACAGGGCCTCGATGGCCAGGAGAGGAAAGGCCCCAGCTTTCCCTGAGATGTGTACAATTCGGAGGCTTTGAATATATTCACGAGGCTGTGCGGCCATTGTCGCTGATGCCACAAAGGAGGGGGTCTGCACTTTGAACGTCATTGCTGACTCCAACATGTAAACACCCCAGATTACTAGTAGTAGGGTTTCTGAGAGGCAGGAATATATATATGTGTATATATATATATATATAATTTTTTAAAATCTGGAGTGTTGCAGCATAGCATATTAAGCTGCTGCCTGCAATGCCAGAATCCCAAACTAGAACGTTGGTTAGTGTCCTGGCTGCTCTGCTTCTGAGCCAGCATCCTGCAAATACACCTGGGGAAGCGGCAGAAGATGGCCTAGGTGCTTCGACTTGTGCCACCCACACAGAAAACTGACTTGGAGTGAGTAGCTCCCGGTTCGGACCTAGCCCAGCCTTGGTTGTTGTAGCCATCTGAGGAACAAAACAGTGTATGGGTCTCCCCCCCATCACTATTATTCTGCCAAGTGAATAAGCAAATACATATATATATATATGTATTTTTTCAAGTTCTGTACTTTGATTGCGTTAAGACAACAAGTCACCATCAAGGGTGGCCTTTATTATACACATGTGCTTTGCATCTAACACCACTATCCACTCACGGGGCTGTTTTTCACCTTGCAAAACCCAAGTCTTGTGTGTGTGTCACAATTTTCAAAACTTTAAGAGCCATAGAATGATTGACGCTGGAGTTCTCAGCAGATCCGCGGCCCCCAACCTCTCTGCGACTTCGACAGGAACTGTGGGACCCAAATTGGAGAAGCACTCGTTCCTGGTCGCAGCAGGGATGCAGGGGTCTGTAGCGCATGCCACTTACAGGAGCTGATCCCCGACTTCCCACGCTCGCCGAGCCTGGCAGCCGACAGCCCTGGGCCAGCTACCGCCCTGCACGTTGCTGCCTTCCTGCAGTTACAGGTGAGCTGCGCTGCCAGTACGATCTTGCCAAGGTTGCTGACTCCACCAGCAACCTGGCAGGTTCCAAGAGGAGGAGACCCACAGAGCTTAAAGATCCACCCAGGTCCCTCCTGGGGGTGTCCACTCCCAGCAGTCATCAGGGGCCCAAAGCGTTGGAGAGTAACTGGGACACAGCTTACCCAGAAGTAGTCGCAGTAGCTCCACTCGGTGGGTTTCAACAGCTGCTGCTCGGGCATCGTGTCCGGGTGAGGGAAGGTCACGCAGTTTACCTGGGTGGCACAAAGCAGAATGACCTCACTGGAGGCTGAGGAGATGTGAGCGGGCTTGGTTCCCTGGACACGACACGGTCAAGGCTCCCCTCTTTAGAGCCAGTTCCATAGAACACACAACAGGTTATTTAGATGCTCTAGTGGCCAGCACTGCCAAGGCAAGCAACCGACACTGACACCCACCCATGCCAGGGGCTGGGACCTCACAGCTGCAAACATCTGTATCAGCAACAGCATCTGTGAGAGTGTGTGAAATCCGGCCGGTGATCTGCAGGCGTGGATTTACCCCTGCCACCCTAGAAGAACGCTGAATTTTCCAATGGACTGGTCAGGGTCACTCAGCATGCCCATCCCTGCCTGATTCAACTCCGATTTGGGAATTTCTGGCTCCAAGCCAACCCTCCAAGTCTTTCCCCCAAATCCTCAGAGCACTGCACAGCCCCCTCTGGTGGTCTTCTGGAGATCCGCACCTCGACAGCACTGGGTTTTCTGAAGCCCTTGTGCAAGCGCCCTGCTTTGCATGGATTCTTCTTATCCCAGCCCGGCAAGCCCACCAGGAGGACAATGGCCTTATGTGAAACAAGGAAACTGAGGCCCACAGTCACTAAGTATCTGAATCCAGAGCCCTCAACCATGCTGCCTTCATGTGCTGCCTGCACATCCACCTCCCATTTGAGTGTTTGCTGAATGACTACCAGTTCCCTGAGCTGTGCTCCATCTTCCCAGCCATCTGCACATGGACATGTGTGATGACAGCTCCTCCCGCAGTGCTGAGGCTCTGGACCAAACGTGGGAGTCGGGGCAGGGGGCTCCATCCACTGGGAGATAGGGAGACTAGAGTAGCACAGGAGATGGTAGCACGCTGAGAACCAGAAGGATTCAGAGCTGTTATGCTCAATGACTACAGATTCCTTACAACTCACGCACACACTGGGAAACTGAGGCAAGGAGAAGTTCAAGCTCTCCCCAACCACCATGTGGCTACATGATAGCCTTTACAGTTACCTTTGGCCTGACCTTCGATGATCTCCAGGCCTCGAGGTCAAGGCTCCGGTGCCCCTAAGTCAGGAGAGCTGGAAGACCCACACAGTTCCAACTAGCAGGGCTCTAAAGCCTGGGAGGGTGGGAGACAGAAAGGGGGCGACCCGCCTGTCTCCACGCGTGGATCCCGGTCCCCTCCTGGCTGACCTTTTCCAGGCAGTGAAATCCAAGGTCCAGGTGTGCCTCTACCTGAGAGCACCTGCAGGGGCCACCCACTTTCTGTTCAGTCCCAACTAACAACCGGCCAGCCGCTGTTTTCCCTGTAGGACGGCCACGCTAGCCTCACAACAGCTTGGTAGTTCAGGCACTTAGTGCAGGCGCTGTCATCACCCCCATCCTACAGATGTGGACACTGAGGCACACAGAGGTTAGGTAGCTCAGGGATAGGAGCACACAGCCTGTGTGTCAAGGTGGAGCTAGAGTCTGGGCTGCTAACCTGCTATAACACTCCCAGCAGTCAAAGGCATAGACATGTCCCGTCCCGTCCATGACCAGGAGCTCAGGAAGCAAGGCAGAGGCCTAACTGGCACCCCCTATTCCTACCTCCCCCTGGGATCAGAACCCTCCGCCAGCTGCACCCTTGTACCAACTCTGGTCCCTCCAACTCAGGCCATCAACAGGCTCCACTGCACCTCCAGTGCTGGGATGTCTACTACGCAGCTCAAGTGCCTGCCAGGGACTTGGCACATGGGCAGCAGGACAAGGCCTCCCAGGGGTGGAGCGGGGAATGGGGGGGCTCTTGCCAACAGGACAGCAGGAGCCAGCAAGGCACCTGGCAAAGGCATGAGAGTCACCGAACGCAGAGAGGACTCCCTGAGACTCCTGGCCTGGGAAGAGGCTTATGCCCCTGGCTCAGCCTGTCTGTAGGACAGAGCAAGATAGTTTGACCTCAGCCAAGGAATAGGCTCTGGCCAAGCTGGCCTTGAATTTGCTCCTGCACAGAACATGCTCAGGGAAGGGGAGAGAGTGCAAGAAGCCAGTGCTGCAGGCTCCTGGGAAGTGGGGGAGAAGCGACCCCAAAGTGCATCTTCAGTCCCCATGCTACCAGCAGCATTCTGTGGCTTTGGACTACGCTGTGCTAGGAAGCCACAGCTGGGATCCACAAGGGTCCCAGATGCCTCTCGCCAGGAGAGAAGTCACCAGGGGGCTGGTTGTCATCTTTTCTGGAATCTTCCCGGTCCTGACAAATCCGATGTGTGCCAAGGGCAGTGAGCTGTCACAGCGCTGTCACTTCCAATCTCACAGCCAGCCCTGCACAGGTGACAGCAGGGACGAAGACCAAGCAAGCCTGCCAGGTCAGCGCCTTTAACACCACCAGCTCCATGGCCAGAGAGCCTCAGAACGCAGCTCCACCCCGTGCTCACTCCTCCAAACTGCACACACCATGCTTGGCTGCCCAAGCCTGGAGCTCTGGGACCTCGGGCAGCACAGAACATTGTCCCGCTTGCCCCATGGGCTGGGGAGACCAAAGCTGATGTCCCAGGCTCCCAGGAACAGGCCAGACTCCTCCCACAGGGTGCTTTCTCCTGGACAAGGCCAAGAGCTCTGGACGTTGGGGACATGGACGAGGGGGCAGGGCACTGGGAAATGTCCCATGGTGGCAGGGACATTCAAGTGTGTTCAAGTCCCGGATACTCTGTTTCTCACTTGAGACCAATCTCCTCTTGCTTTCCTAGCAAAAATTCTCTAAGGCATCAGCATTTATTTTAAAATCTCTGGAGGCACTGGAGGGGGGAAAATGCAGATTTTCCTAGGCTCACCCTTAAGTCTAGGGTATGGTCCCAGAAGCTGCATTTAAAATGTTTATTTGAAAGACAGAAAGAGACAGGCAGGCAGAAGGAGAAGCAGACAGAGACAGATCTTCCATCTGCTGGTTCACTCCCCAAATGGCCACAACAGCCTGAGTTGGGCCAAGCTAAACCCAGGCACTAGGAATGTAAGTCAGGTCTCCCACATGGGTGGCTGAGACCCAGAGTACGTGAGCTACCCCCTGTTACCTCCCAGGAGTGCACCTGTGCAGGAAGCTGGAACTAAATGCGGAGCCAGGACTTGACCCAATATGGACACAGGTGCTCTGATACAGACACAGGTGTCCCAAGTGGCATCCTAATATCTATGCTAAACACCTGCTCTGGGATCTTAGAGAAGTTTCTGGAAAGCCTCAGATGCTGCCAACTGCTTGAGACTATGTCACCAGAGGCCGTGAGATAGGCTAGTGTTAAAGTAACAGGAAAGATGTCCCAGCAGGGATGGGCCAGATGTGCTGCCCCAAAGAGAACCCAGGGTCACACTCAGGCCAGCGGCCAAACTCCAAGGGACCCGGCAGGTGCCTGTGGTCCCAATACTCTTGCCAGAGGCTTCTCCAGTCTGCCGGAGGTAGGCAAGGTGTGCTGTTTCTCTCTTCTCCCTTTTCTCCTCGAATCCTGCTTCTCCTTTCTCTGTTTCAGGAAACTTTTGGGAGCTCCAGCCTTGAGCCAACATTCCCTTGGGGACATCTGTGACAACTCAAAGGTCGGGACGAAGCCCTCCAGGAGTCCACACTGAGGGCCTGCCCATTACCCTGCTTGGTTTCACCAGCTCCTTTTGTAACAAGCAGGCTGCTGCTGCCCGAGTAGGCTGAACCACCTGCCCAGCTCTTAGGAGGTATGAAAGATGGGGAAGAATCAACAACCCACACAACCCCATCCAGCTCAGAAGTGAGCACTGCTGGCAGGAAAGGGCCTGGGTTTGAGTCCCTGGTGGGGGTGTCTCAGGCTCCCCATTCTTGTATAGGCGTATATGAAGCCAGATCTCCAACCACTGTACACAAAGGGACCCAATCAGCCCGTGTTCCATTGCAACAGCTTAGACACCCACCATCTCCCCATTCCCTAGACATGGATGCTGGGGAAGGAAGATGGCAGGAAAGTTGCCCCAGGTTGCCACACCGCTAATGTGAAACAGTGCTGACCTCTGGCTCCGTCCGCATTTATTATGACAACATCATGTGTATGTCCATTCTATCAGCGTCATCCGCAATAGCCAATGGAGAGTGAACGGAGCCACGTGGGAGACAGCTGGTGCCTACTATGCACATACATGCGTGAATGCACTTACAGCCATGGCTGGGACGGCTTCCCAAACTCCACTCCTCTACTCCCATCCCGATGGCAGGATTTTCAGTGGGGTGAGGCAGGGAGATGCACACACTTCTGGGTTTATCTGTTGGGGTGGCCCCACTCGGGAGCCTAAGGGAGCACAGCCCTGACTCTGGTTTTGTAGCATGCAGGCCAAAACTGCAACCCTTGGTTGCACGCCCTGAAACTGAAGGTAATGTTGGCTTCTTGAGTAACAGGTCAGTTCAAATCTCCCCACTCGGAAGGGTCCCGCACGTTCCCTGAGCACAGGGCTAAGATGAGGGATGGGGCAAACCTTGGGGATGTGGAGGGTTTTGGGATAAGCCCAGAGAGTCAGCTTTGGCCACTTGAGGCAGAAGCTGCCTGCCGCCCCTTCACCAACTCCTAGGAACTCTATTCTTAGGATGTTTTCTCTGGCTTTTAACTTTGACATCTTCCAGAACTTTCTCTTGCACAAAAGCCACCCTGCCGTGGCTGTAATTTGCACGTCACATCACTGGCTCAGAGCACAGTCCACCCCCTTCAACCCACTCCTCCACATGCCCTGTGGGAAAAAAAAAATGGCTCACCCAACCCGCTTCCCTTGGTTGCCCAGGAGAGAAAAAGTGACATGCAAAATTGACAGATGGGAGGGGAGAGGAAGAGGTGGAGAGACAGTGATGGTTGGGGGTGGTAGAGGGAGACTCCAGTTAGATTCAAGCCTGGGAACTTCCCCAGTCCTGGCTGGGCACACACAGGCCTTGTGCTTGGGGGTGTACGTTGCCATGGCAACAACCCTGCCCACCGCAGCCCAGCCTGGAGGAGGTGGGGGAGGGGGCGCCCGGTGGGAGTCTCTTACCGTGATGGTGCTTTCCTTGTTCTGCTTTTTGCTTGGCGAAGAGGATCCCAGGTTCTGGGGAGAGAGGTGAGAAACATCATCAAGTCTGTCCTCCATGTTGGACGTGCCTTTTTTCCCCCATTCAGGGTTCCCCAAGGGTTGGACGCCTGGGGTGTGTGTGTGTGTGTGTGTGTGTGTGTAGGAGAGGAGGGTGCTTCGGGGACACTCTGCCTGCCGTTAACTCCTAAGTCACCATATCCAGGGCTGGGACGGGCAGGGGTGCCACCCCTGAGCTTGCGATGCTCTGAGAGCCCGACTCTCAGGCTAATGGGCACGTAGAAAGAAGAAGCTCCTGCACAGGGGTTCCAGCAACACTTGATTCAGCCCAGGTCTCCCCTCCTCTTCTTCCAGTCTGAGCAGTTAACCCCTCCGCTGCCCTCTGCTGGTAACTGCTTCAACGGGCTGCTCGCTGCCTGAAGCCGAGGAAGCCACTGGGGAGCACAGAGTTAAGCTGGAAGGCACCTGCTGGCCCGGGGCACACAGCAAGTGATGTCTTATTCTGAAATCCTAAACACAAACAGTGTTCAGGGGCTGAACCACGCCTGCGGCTCTCCCTGTGCCCTGGGCAGGGAAGGGAGATTTCCACTCAGCCTTTCCCTGGGTACCCACAAGATAACTTCAGTCCCAAGTACCTGGGCAGAGCCATGGTCCTTGGCAGCATGCCACTGGAGGAACTCAAAGACCGCTAGGCACAAATGCCACATGGGTCACATGACAGCCAGCGACCCCCCAAGACAGCATTCAATTCTGAGGCCCCGTTTCCCCATCTGAGTGATTGAGCATCAGAGAATCGGGAACAGAGCAGGCGGTGTCACCAATCCGGAGCCACACAGTGACCAAAGAAGCAGGCAGGCTCACCTGTGAAAGTGCAGGGTGCCTGTGTGTGTGTGTGTGTGCATCCATCCCAGGATGAGAGTTTCTTGGTCTCAATCTCTCACTGGTGGAGATGGGACAAAGGGGCTGTCACTCTAGAGTTAAGGGCACAACAGCGGCTCTGGCGACATGGAAACCAGCAGTCCCTCACCCTTGGGTCAATGCAACCCCTGGAGGAATCATCAGGCAGGATGAGCTGGGGTGGGGGACGTGCTGGACACTGCTCTGTGCCTCAGGGACCCCTCAGCAATCAGTGAGCCTGAAATGATGGAGGCCCTGACACCAGTCTCACTTCTGGTACTCCCATTCAGCCCCTACTTCGGCCGGTCCCTAAGGTCAGCCCACAGACAGCATCAAGGAACCATTCACCCACAGAAAAAGGAAATGATCCCTGGCCCCGAGACTGTGGCTAAGGACTCTGGGTTTGTGGAGTTTCACCATGCGTGCAATGGCTTGTTGTCACCAGTCCTCACGTGCTAAGACGCATTTGCACCAACAGTGGAGCTGGTTCCAAACCAAGACCCAGACCTGCTGACTGAGCAGGTCCTAGGAGGAGGGCCAGCGTTTCTGATGCAGGGTCCCAGGCCCTAGCTCAAGGTGCCCTGATTCTGATTTAACTAATGCCATGATACAGAGACATCTTCATGACAATGTCTCTTTTAGGAGCATCAGTAAGCTTGAGGCAATGTCAAGTTCAGCTCATCCAGCCGGCTCTCCCAAGCCATCAGTCCTTGCTAAAACTGTCTCGGAAGACAGGGGTTGCAAGTTAGGAACCCCATGGGCTGGGCACTGAGGACAATGAACAAGGGGCAGATGTTGTTCAACAGGTGCATTCAGAGAGACTCTGGCAGGCACACAGACACACACACGCACATGCGTGTGCGCACACAAGTCGAGAATCTCCAAAACGCTCATTTATGGAGAGTGGTGGCTCATTGCAAAAACGCCAGGCACGGATTCCAAAGAGGTCTAGCTCCAAAGCCGACTTTGCTCTTTGACTTCATGCGTCCATGAACCTTTTGCAGTGGCCCCTGGCCCTGGGGAAGGCTGGCCCCGGGGATGGATCCCGTGGTTTGCAGGAGTCACGATGCACATACACGTGTGACCACCCTAGCTATGCTCTCACTGCAGCCAACCCGGGAGGGGAGACTGGTTTCTGCAACTACAGTGGACGGTGCCATTGTAGGTGATGGGGAGGGGGGGGAGGGGGCAGAGGGACAGCCGAGAGGGTACAAGTACAGCACAGCAGCCTGGGGGGACACGCTCTGAGTACCATCTGATCACACTCAGGCACTAGGCTTGGCACTCAACACTCTTGATCTCTCCCAGTCCTAACGATTCCAGCTCAGGAAGAGGCCAGCTGCCTATCTATCTGGTTGTGAGACCGAGGTTTGCAGAGCTGAAATGTTCAGAGTCACAGGCTTAACCTCCTTCCTCTGTGTTCAGACCTGGGACATCCTTTTCTCCAAGTATCTTTGCATAGGGGCTAGAAAGACTTCTGTCAACATGCATTCATCTCAGAACCGTCTTCCTCAGGGCTCTGGGGAATGAGATGGGCCAGGGAGGCCACAGTTCCTTCCTGAGACTTGGGACAAGTCAGGCCAACAAACCATGACATGGAACAGGTGTTGGGTGCCCTACAGCTGATTACGAACTTGGCTCTGAATTTGCTGTTGAGTATGTACATGTGAACTTCACATACATGTGCATGTATCATCTGCACACATCATACAAACATGCATCCCACATATATCACAGAATGTTCCTCTAAACAGCCAGGAAGGGCTGGGACCTCATCCCCAGGACCACACTGACTAACTCTCCATGGGTGTCCCTCTTCTCCACTAGCAGGAAATCATGCTTCTTGCAGAGGCAGACCATTCCACATGCAAACAGAACCTGGACTATCTTATTGAGCAACTGGGTAAAGCAAGTGTGCTCAAGGGTCAGCTCAGAGGAACTCCTCCAGGCCAAAGGTGGGACAATTGGAACATCATGACAAATTGTGATGACTGCCCAGTTCCCAAGGAGGGACATGGTTTATTTCATTACTGAGCAATGCCAGTTTAAACAAAAATGTGCAGGGCCCGGTCCAATGGTTCAGGATCCCTGCAAGCACTGGGATCCTATAAGGGCACTGGTTCATGTCCCAGCTACCCCACTTCCCAACCAGCTCCCTACTTGTGACCTGGGAGAGCAGCAGAAGATGGCCCAAGTCCTTGGGACCCTGCACCCATGTGGAAGACTTGGAAGGGCTGCTGGTTCTTGGCTTCAGATCAGCTCAGCTCTGGCTATTGTGGCCATTTGGAGAGTGAACCAGTGGAAGGAAGATCTTTCTGTCACTCCCAGTAAATCTGATCTGCCTTTCTAATAAAAAATAATCTTTAAAAAATGTGTAAGAGATTAAGAAACATTGCCATTTGTAAAAGCCAATGTCTAAAGGTTGGTGTCGGTGCATCCGGGGCTTTCAAAGCATTGGATGAGAAGGCAACTGGGGGAACAGGGTATTCAGATGGTCTCATGCTAGAACTCCCTAGATGTCTGACAAATGACATGGGGAAAGCATATTCCAGCAAAGGAGAACTCTGGTTCCCATCACTTAGCCTGGTGTGCACAGGGGAATCTAACTCCAGCCAGCACTAACAAATCAGGGGGCCTCTGGCAACCCCAAGCTTGGCATTTACTAATGAGAACCCGACAACATGCAACACGAAGCATTTGGCATGCCTACACGGTAATGGCATCCCAAATGGCCACAGGAGAATGGAGGCAAGAAGACACCATTGCACCAGGAAGGTAATTCTTTCTACAAGACTCATAGAGCAATAGTCTAAATGAGGAAAGACAAAAGAAACACGTGCAGGATGGAGCTGGGGTGCAGACAGTCTGAAGCAATGATGCACGGACAGAATAATGTAGCTGTACAAAGGAATATTATGCAGCACCGTAAAGGAAGGAAAGTCAAATCCCACACCCGCAGCACGTGATGTTCAGGGGAAGGAGCCAGTCACAAAGGACCCCAAATCACACGACTCCATGGCATCGACAGAATAGACAAATACACTGACCCAGAGAGCGGTTGCCTAAGGCTTGGACACATGTTTGGGGGAGGAGTTATGAAAATATTCTCAAATTGTGATGCTGGGTGCACAACGCTATGAGCGGGCTAACACCCTCTGTGGGAATGGAACATTTTCTATGGACGAACTTTCAGGATGTAAATTCCGCAAAAAGTGCTTGTCAAACATGAGTCACAGAAATGCTGAGAAACACAACCACTCTTGTCCCACTAGGAAAGCGAACAGATCTTGGACTGGGGAGAGAAGAGGACACAAATATCATTTTGAGGAGCCATTCGGGAATTTGCATCCGATCTGATATACAGATTCTGTGACATCACTGAACTAGTGTTTTCCTGAAGTGTGCTGATAACACCGACGCTCTTGTCTCCCTCTGAGAAGTGTTCTGAAACTCTGCATTTCAGACAGGATGCCAGGAATTTGCTGTGAATTACCTGGGGTATGGAGGGAAGGCGGTAACAGGCACCGAGCAGGATGAGCCAAATGCTAGGGATGCAGGGAAACGAAACGAGAGGCCTGCGGTATTTAATGATCAGATTCCTGCCAGCTCCGCAGAGGCTTGCAAAGGCCGACAGTGGCAAGGGTATTGTGGTTTTTTTATTTAACAGAGAGAAAGACAAAGGATACTTTCCAGTCCACACACCTAGGAGGCACCCCTATCGGGGGCAGGGACACAGCCACTTGAGCGATCATTGCTGTCTCCTGGGGCAAGCATCAGCAGGAGGCTGGAGCTGGGAATGGGACCCAGGCACATTCCAATATGGGACATGGACGATCTAAGTGGTGTCTTAACCACTGTAATAAGTAGCTGCCTCCAACTTTAAAACATCCTTTGCTATGATTCCAGATCATTCTTCCTTGTTTCCTAAGCTTCTTCCCTGCCTTGTGTCCTGACCCAGTCAATAGCTGTGCTATCAGCAAGAGGATGCTTAAAGAGTAGGAATGGCGTCTTGGCCCCTCCCCAGTGGCAGGTGCTGCTGTGTGAAGCCTCTCGGTGGCCTCCCAGTACCATGAGGATAAAATCCAGAACAGGCTCCTCCAGCCAGCCCTTCCCACACCTGCTGCTTTGCTAAGTGACAGCCATATGTGGCCTCTACAGATTCCTTGAAAACCTCCTGAGGGGCTGACATTTTGGTAGAGTACCTTAACCTGTTGCCTGTGACATCAACATCCCAAATGGGCACCGGTTCGAGTCTTTCTACTCCACTTCTGATCCAACTCCATGCTAATGGGTCTGGAAGGGCAGGAGAAGATGGCGCAATGGTCACGGGCCCCTGTACCCATGTGGAAGCCCAGTCCTGGTTGTTGCAGCCATTTGGAGGAGTAAACCAGATCTCTCTCTCTCGCTCTCTGTAACTTTGCCTTTCAAATAAATAAATAAATCTTAAGAAACAACCCACAAAAGCCTTGCTCTCCTTCCAGCCTGCAAGCATCCATATCTGCTGTTCTCTCCACCAGAAATGCTGTTTCCCCATCACCCTCAACCCTTGCCTCTCTGCTGAGCAAAACTCCGGCTCATCTGCCCTTCTTGGTGTCTTCAGGATCGCATTCCTGACATCTCCATGCCAACCTGCACCTGGGTCTTCAGAACATGCGACAGAACCTCTGCTGATTAACTACGGGGGGCGGCGGGGAGGGTGTGAGGATTGTTGAAGAGAGAGCATCTCCTGGTCTACCTCCAACACTGCTCTTCCTCAGTGTCCAAACTCTTAGACCTAGCCTCTTTCTTCCCTCTTGTATCTGGCAGATACTCTTCCTGCTAGAAGCTCACGGGAGGCCAAAACAATACAAAGGTGAGCCCTGCTAGGTGTGAAGGGGTAGTACCTGGCTTGGACAGCAGTGGCAAGATGAGAGAGGGTTCATTCAGCCTTTGAGCCCTCCCTTCAACCAGCCCTGGTGTTGCTTGCAGAACTGCAACCTTCCACTGGGTGGCACCAGACCACCACCATCTGTGCTTACACAGTCACATCTCCAAGCCTAGATGGAGGAGTAGGCACCTTCAGAAGCTTGGCCCCTCAGTGCTGCTCACCACCCAGCATATTGGGGACACATTCCTGGTTTCCAAGAAAATGAGGCATGCCTCTCCATTAACGTTCTAATTGTTCTGATTGCTTCCCCAGGGTAATCTGGGTTTTGTCTCTATAACCTCCAGTAAGCCATTTTATCTACCTATAACTGCCTCACATGGGTATGTGCTTATTTGCTCATGCATTGATTCACTCATGCATTCATTCACTCATGTCTCTCTCAATTATTATTAGATATAACTATTTTTTAGATTTTTATTTATTTATTTGAAAGGCAGCGAGAGACCTCGTATCAGCCATTTCACCTCTCAACAGGCCAAAGCCAGGAGCCTGGAACTTCCTCCAAGTCTCCCATGTGGGTGCAGGGGCCCAAGCACCTGGCCCATCTTCTGTTGCCTTTCCAGGTAACAGACAGTGGATTGTCAGTGGAGCAGTTGGGACTCGAACTGGTGCCCATATAAGATACCAGCATCTCCGGCTGCAGTTTAACTTGCTTTGCCACACTGCCAATCTCTTATGTAAAACCATTAAGATATAACTGACAACCTGGAATGGCATGAATCAATCATTCTGCATACCGAAGACAGCTGATTGTACCAGGCTGCTTCAAAAAAGTTTGTGGAAAAAAAAAAAAAAAAGAAAAACAGAATTGAAAGATAGTTCACTCTGGGGCAAAACTGATTTAAAATTCATGCAGTCTTTTTCAGAGTATGAATTTTCTCCAAACTTGTTGAAGAGTCGGGCTCAGGGGTATTCATGGGTAGCATTCTTTATAAATACTTAATTGTGTTAGCTTATTTCTACGTTTAGCTGTTGACAGCTTTTTGAATAACCGGTTCAGTCCGTCCACAAACGAAGGAGAAAATTAGAAGCTTTTGTAGCCAAATGCTAACATCTCCACCACCAGACAGGCTAACATTCTACATGATGAATCAGAAACGGGTGACCAAATGCATGTACCTCTGTCCTCTCCATTTACCGTGTTGTGTATCTCTGTTACTTTGATGGGACCCCAATTCTCTAGAATATCACCCAGAATAATCATGTGACAGGAGACCCACCTGAGTTGCTATGACCCTGACTGCCCAAGCAAGGGTTTCTGGAGTTGGCTTTCCCTGGATCGCCAACACCAGCACCCCTCATTCGAGCCTTTATGTTTCCTAATTTTAAAAAAATACTATCTGGAGCCGGTGTTGTGATACCACACAACATCTGTGATGCTAGCACCCAGTGTGAGAATGGGTTCAGGTCCTGGCTGCTCCACTTTTGATCCATCTCCTTGCTAACATATCTGCAAAGGCAGCAGAAGATGGCCCAACTACTTGGGCCCCTGCCGTACCCATGGGAGACTCGGAGAAGTTTCAGGTTTCTGGCTTTGGCCTGGCCGTTTGGGGAGTGAGTCAGTAGATGAAAGAGTCTCTCTTGTCTTTATCTGTGCCTTTCAAATAGCTTAAAATACTGTATCTTTTATAAAGCTAAAACTGTGTTCACTTAAGGAAACTGAAAAAAAAGGGGCGGGGGGGGGAAGGTTCAAGAAAGTCGCCCATGATCACAGGCTAAGATTTCTCAGCTTCCATACAACTGCAATCAAGCAGGTGAGCTCTCTGTAGAGCGGCGCTGGGCAACATTCCTGGACATCTGTACCAGATGCCAGCAGCACCCTCCCCTGTCCTGATGACCATCACATCTCCAGATGCCACCAAATGTCTCCTGGCAGAGAGCCAGAGTCTTGGAGGCAGACATGACCAGCGCCAACACTCCGGCTTATTTCTCTCCCTCTTTCCATCCTTTTCGAAAAGATTTCCTCTCCCGAATGAATTGTCAGTGTTACACACAAGTGGTACTTTGCGCTTTCCTTCTTGATAGCCTACTGTGCGCATTTCCGCCAAGTCATTACATGTTCTTCGAAAGAATGCTTTGTAATGGTGGTAGCAGATCGTGGGCTGGCTGTCTAGATGTCCAGTACTGCAGTCTATCCCTTATCGCTGCACGGGAGGATTGAGTCCAGTGCTAATGTGTGTGGACAGCCCTGCACCTGAGTCAGCTCTCTTAGGAACAGGCATAGCAGCAGAAATGCCCCGCCATTCCCTGCCCACCATTCTACTGCACATTTCTGAGTTATCACTCTGCTATATCGTGCTACGTCTGTTTCCAATGGACTGAATAAAAATTTCACAGAGGTAAAGGGAGGGTGAGCTTCCATCCAGGAAGGAAAAAAGGATTTAGGAGGTGGAAGGTTCTCTTCCCAAGGATGGCCAGCTTTGCTTGCTCTGAAAGGGCAACAGAACTTGGCATGAAGTCTTCTGAAATGCTCTTGGGGTTTGACACCAAACTGTTCCTTTTCCCACAGATGGACAGAGCTGTGGACTCCACAGGGACTCCGCAGAGCTGATCTGGGATGGGTGCCATGGGCAAAGGAATGCAGGGGCCAAACAAATCAGCTTTCTGTGTTATTGACTGAACCTCAATCCTTCCAGGTCAGCAGTGCCAGCCTTGCCTCAGGGTCAGTTGAAAACACAGAGCCCTGTGCTGCACCCTGGTCCTCTTGGGTCACGAACAGGCACCAAGTCCCTAGAGCCCAGGGTGAGCCTCAGACACCACAGGCATAACAAGAAATGGGTGCTGACATCACCACTCTCGATGGTGCAGTGCCAACTGGGATGGCCAGTGAGAAAGCTGGGTTTCTCCCAAAGATGCATGTTCCCCCATCCCACAGCTGCCTCTGTGTTGGCTTAGCCAAGCAGATCATCAAATTGGACCAAATCCCAGCCTAGGACTAAGACAAGGCAACTTCCCAGGTCACCCATGTCTTCACATGATGGGAAATCGGGACTCCACATAGCATGAGCCCTCCGCCCTGGCCAGGACAACTCCAGCCCCAGCAGCTCCTTCTCCAGAACACCTGCCATGATAAACCAACCTCCTCCCCACTTTAAGAGACTCAAGCTCACCAGTTTCCTTTCATAGGTGCAGAACTACCCCTACCTACCAGGACTCCCACACGCCCACCTTGAAGGAACTGCTCCGGGGCCTGCTCAGGACCCCAACAGTCTGAGGCCATTGCCAGGACAGTCATATCTGGAAGAGGGCCTGTTGGCCTTCTCCCTCGACTTTCAGGTCTGCTCCATGCTTTAGAAGACAGTCCACACAACCCCCACATACAGAAAGCTGGGACTTCTGCCACGTGCTGGCAGAATGGCAAGAAACAGGAACCCCTGGACCCTTAACAGGTCTTGTCCCTTACCTGGGAATCACCAGCGTTGGACTTTCGGAGACTCATGTGGGCAGTCTCGGGAGGGTGCGCTGGGGTCCCTGATGCGTGGTATCCATTCACTGTAGGGACAGAGATATGGCTTAGAAGAGGTGTGGGCCAGATAGGTGTCCTAATGGTCAATCATGGCAGCCCTGTCTCCTTCCCCGGTTTCCAGAGCTGCTGCGTGCCCAGGAACATCCGGGGCTCCTAGCAATAGGTGCATGGCTGAAATGAGCAGAAAGCATCTCACTGATCCTCAGCACCCAAATCACTGAATTCCCAGGGGACTGGGCTTTTTAAGAATCCAAGAGTGTGAGGCATGCACTCAGCGGTAGGTATGGTCATGGGAGTCCCACCATGATAGCCGCATTTTATCAGCTGTAGTCAGGGACAGCCTATTCTCTGTGGCGTCCACTGACCCTCCTGCCATCTGCCACTCTTAGGCAAAATGCTTGGGACCAGAAGTGTTTCAGAGATTTTACTTTATTTTGAGGAAGGGATGGATTTTGGAAGATTTGTACAGAGCTTAGGTTAGGTGAGCATCTCGAATCCAAAAGGCTCTAGAATCCGAACCTTTCTGAGATCTGATAGGAGATGGAAGCAAAGAAAGAAACTCCACAGGATGAATCCTCATTGTGAACACAAAGTTGCTAAAAAAATATTTCTGAAAGTTCCTGGCAGGCTCTCTGAGGCATAAATAAAAGATGTTCTACCTATAATTTGGCTGGAAGCAAGCAACAAGTCTAGGGATGCTAGGACCACTTTGTGAAAAACCTTTCTCATGCGGGGGTGGGGGGGGGTTACAATGCACCTGCCACTGCTTGCAGAGGAAAGTCCAGGGTCATTGCCAGCACAGACACACTCCCCAGAGGGCCTACGTACAGTGAGCCTTCTCCCTGGCCATAGGTCTGCCCCAGGCCCGGAAGAAGGGTAAGAACACACATCCCTGGGCACACTGCAACCTCACCTGCCATGGCTCAGGGGAACAAGACACAAGAACACAAGGAGAGCTGTAGGCCTGGTCCATGCCCAGGGCCCAAAGCAGCTGGCCACAACCTGATAACATCCACTCTGAAAGAAAGGCCAAACGAGAGGGAGGGTTGGAATTCCAAGACAACAGGGGACAGGCAGAGGGGATAGAGGAGGAATCTACTCAGACAGGTGCAAGGCTATGCCGGGAAGATGTTGGACTATGTCGACCAAATAGCCCTGAAATTGATCAAGCTTGAATGAGGGAAAATGTTAACAGTAGAAAACCTCAGGCCCCTGATTTCAGTGTAGGATTGGGGAACAGACCAGAGGCCAGAACACTTTAAAAAGATATTGAACGACAGATTCCAACATTGGAGTCTACAAAGATGGCATCCCTTGCCAAGGCATCATGTGAGGCTTAAAAAAAAAAAGCTGGCCACAAACAAACTGAGCCATCATTGAACAACAACACACATTAAAACCCCAGGCCAGGCTCTTTGATTGGAAAGCAATCCAAGCAGATATTGCTAATGAAAGAATAAATACGCAGGATTCTCATTCTCCCAACCCTTCCAAGCACTTGGAAACATAAGAAAATGCCCTCTTACATAATCTCAGGTCAAAAGGGAATTTAAGACTGTAATTACATGATACTTAGACAATAACAAGGAAGCGCCCATTAACATCAATGAGATACGGCCTGAACGATACTTACAGGAAAAGCCAGAGCCTTCATGATTTCATTACCAAACCCAAAAGAACAACAACAAATGGAGCACGTGTGCAACTGAAGATTTTAGCAAAAGAAGTAAGAGGAAAGTAAACCAAAGGTGAACGGGGGAGGAACTTAACGGGGGGGGGGAGGGGGAGGCAGGAACAGGGCAACAGAAATTAAGGAGCTAAGAAAGATGATGACACAGCAATACCAGACGTGTGAGTGTGTGTGTGTGTGTGTGTGTGTGTGTGTGTGTGTGTGTTTTGAGCGGGTAGGAATCACAGTGATCAAGCCTATGACACAGCCGGATTCGAGAGTGTGAAACCCTCAACATTTGGAAATACACGAAAGCACAGCCACTACAGTGGGGGGACTTTGGAAAACCACGAGAATATATGATTGCGAATTCTCTGCTAATAATTAAAACCAAACCTTCCATACGACTCAAACAAGCAACATGGTTTCCAAAGACACCACGTACGCATGCCAAAGAGAGCAAAACCTTTGGGGGCAAAAAAAAAAAAAAAAAAAAAATTCCCTCTCCCATCAAAAACACTGGACCCAGATAGATGGTTTTACGGATAAATTCAACCAAACTCTTTTAGGGAAGCAATGGCCAGGCACAAGCCATACTGTAGAGCAAGAAAACTTGTGGCAAGTTTCCTGGTCTATTTTACAATGCCAGCATTTTCCTGACCCTAACAATGAGCAAGGAATACACAAAACCTTAACCACCGTTACACTGGGAGGATGAACATGAGACACATCAACTCTTTACCTGGGAGGGTGGATTGTAAGCCGCTGCATCTGATGAGGCTGGGTCCCTGCACACTTTGTAGGGGACCTCGGTGCCTCTCCCTTCCTCCGTACGCACCAAAGGGCAGTCACTGTGCCATTCACTCTCTGCTTTCTGCCCCGATGCCCTCAGGGCTCTGGGCTTACAGTGGCCAGAACTACATGGTGCACAGGCATTCTGCCCCTAATCCAGCCTCTTGTTCCCACTCCAATTCTGAACTGTCAGCTGTTGGCTAATTACCGCTCATGTCAAAACAATTACTGGGAAAGAAAAGCTAATTACCCATTCAGCCGATTCTCCCCACACAGCAGCTCTTCTCTGATGCCCCGTCTTGCTGCCTTTCACTCTAATATTCCCAGGCTCACTCAGAACAGGGATTGGCGAAAAGGTTAAGACCTAGGTGAACCCTGGCTCACACAATCCTTGCAGCCCTCAGCCATGAGCGCTCCAAGGTGGACAGTGTCTGGCCTCTGAGCTCCCTAGTTGCCCAGGGTCACCATGACGGGACACACAAAGGCATGAGTGGGTACTTTGGAAGCTTCTGGTCTCCAGAGGAAATAACACTGGTTCAAGGCCACTCATCTTCTTATAGGAACAGGGTCAATTTGGGAATGAAAGTGAGAAAAACATGAGATGCTTTAGCAACTCAGCTGGTTTTCAAAGCAGGAACAGAAAGTTCCAGCTCGTTACTTCAGTAACTTCCATCATAAATACAAACACAGACATTGCCATTTCCATCATCTGGTTAGCTGAGCAGGACATCAGTCAGTTCCAGCTGTGTACAAGGGAAAGATGAGACAGTGCAGGAAGGAGGAAAAAGAAGCTGCGCTTGGGAGAAGTGGATACAAAGTGGAAAAAGAAGTTGCCTAGGGGAAGTTATGAAGACTGTGGCACAGAGAAGAGCCAGTAACTTCCCCATTTTTTCAGATTATTTCATTTATTTGAAAGGCAGGCTGAAACGGGGGGGGGGGGAGGGGGAAGGAGAGAGAGAGAAAGATTGAAATTTAGAAAATCTTCCATCTCTGTTCACTTCCTAAATGGTTGAAACAGCCAGGGCTGAGCTGCGCACAAGCCATGAACTTCATCCGGGGCTGCCACATGGATGCAGGAGCCCAAGCACCTGGGCTGTCCTCTGCTGCCTTCTCGGGCGCATTAGCAGGGAGCCGGATGGGAAGTGGAGCAGCCGGGAATTCGAACCTGTGCTCCAACATGGGATATTGTGAGTGGCTAGCCCTCCTCTTCAATATATCCTTTAGCTTGGGCCCACTCCTCCCCACTTTTTTTTGGAAAATAAATCCAGCAACTTCTTTCCCGGGGGTGGGGTGGGAACTTAAGTCCCTACTTGGGACACCCCTCTCTGTACTGGGGTTCAAGTCTTGGTTCCTTTGCTTCTGACTCAGCTTCCTGCCGACGTATACTCTGGGAAGGAAGAGATAAATGACTCTAGGACCTGGATCTCTCCTGGGAGACCTGACTTGGTCCAAGGCTCGTGGCTTTGGCCTGGCCCAGTCCTGGCATCTGGGGAGTAAACCAGAGGATGAGCCATCTTTCTCCATCTGTCTGTCCCTCTTACTTTCTCTAGGTTGACACAAACAGTGGTTTTGAGGGTACAGGAAAGTGCCCACTGGGGGCAGTGCTGCTGTCTGCTTGCACATCCCAAGCTGGTGCAAGAGGCTCAGGAGCAGTTTGCCCCTCTGTGATAGCCTTGGTCCTTTACACTTTTAATTCAGTTTCCCTAGGCTCTCCGGGGGGAATGCTGCTGGAAGCCCTAGGAGGATCCCTCTGGGCATGCCACTGCCAAAGCTGGACAAAGCCATATCCTAAATCCAGCTGTTCTGAAGCCCACTCCCACAAGCCCCCTCTGCCCCCTCAACAACTTCAATTAAAATTAAAAGTCAGTTTCCGGGGCCAGTGTGGTGGCACCTCCACTCAGTGATGCAGGCACCCACTATGGATGTTGGTTGTTGTACAGCCACTCCACTTCCAATCCAGCTCTCTGCTTACGGCCTGGGAAAGCAGCAGAGGATGGCCCTAGTTCTTGGGCCCTGCACCCACATGGAGACCCTGATGAAGTTTCTGGCTCCTGCCTTCACATTGAGCTTAGCTCTGACCATTGTAGCCAGTTAGGAAGTGAATTGGCAAACAGAAGCTCTTCCCTCTCCACTTCTTCTCTCTGTATAAACTGCCTTCAAGGTAAAGAGAAAAAAGAAACTAACAAACATCAGTTTTCCCTAGCTTCAAGAAAAATGCAGGGAATGGATACTTGTTCAGGGGGTTAGCATGCGGGCTGGGACCCTTGTATCCCATCTTGGAGTGCCTTTTGGCTCTAGGTTCAATGTTGACTTCCTGCTAAAACACACCTGACTTTCATGCTTCCTTAGAACAGGCTTTGTGTTTTTGTTGTCCAATCTCCCTATGAGAAGACAGCCAGTGGTGATGGCTTCAGAGTTTGGGTTCCTGCCACCTGCCTCAGAGACCTGCTCTCAGCGCCTGGCCTTGGCCCTGATCCAGCCTTGGGCTGTTGGGAGCATCTGGGAAGTGAATCAGGGAATGGAAGTTTTCTCTCCCTCTCTCTCTTAAATAAATTTAAAAGCAAACAAAGCAATGACAAACGCCAACACAAGTTCATGCACCTCCCAGGCCGGAGACTAAGAAAGGAATTCGCCCTCCACACGCTGCGTAGTGTTGGAAGCAGTAGCCACAAGCCACAAGCATGCCACAGGTGGTTGTTCAAACAAATCAAATTTGAATAAAATCAAAACACAATGTGGTTTTCAGAATTGGACCTTACAACAGGAAAAAGAATCCCAGTGAAAAAGTGCCTGAAAGCCAAACAAGGTCCAATGTGTAGGAAACTGCACAAATGGACAGTGCTGATTTCCTGGGTTTTTCAAAAACAATGGATTGTGCTTATGTAAGAGGATAACAGGAGAGACTGAGTTGTGGTAGGCGGAGACTCTGTACTGACCTGACAACTTTCCTGCAAGTCTAAAATGGTCCCCAAAGTGGCAAAGCAGTATTAAGCTTTAAAAATTTCCCTAGGTTGAGTGAGGACTCTGTATAGGAGTCAAGCTTAAGCCATCACAGAACACCTGAGATACCAGCCAGTGAGTGCAGGGAGAATGACAGTTCCTCTTGGGGCTGGTTTTGCGTATAGGGTTGAAATATTGCTTTGTGTATGTTCATAGCTCCCATCACTGGAAATACTAATGGAGGTGACACAGGAGAAGTTCCTAGTCTGACCCAAAGTAGCATCCCACACTCAAATTGTGGAACCAGTGGCTGGTGTTGCAGTGGGACAAGCCGCCATCAGCAACATCAGCATCTCTGGTTCCAGCCCAGGCTCTTCCACTTCCGAGGCAGCTAACACTCCTGGGCAACCAACAGAAGACAGCCCAAGTCCTTGAAGCCCCGTCACCCACCCATGTGGGGCACCTAGATGCCAGTTCCTGGCTCCAGTCTACAGCCCAGAACAGTACCAGCCATTATAGCCACGTGGAGAATGGACCAGTGAATGTAAGATCTCTCTCTGTCTGTCTCTTTCTCTCCCTTCTTTTTCTGTCACTTTGCCTTTCAAATACATAAAATAAATCTCAAACAAAAGAGTGCAGACAATTGAGGGAGGGACTGGGTGTTTCCAGATCCCTGTGCATCCAATAACTGCAGTGGGAAGCACGAGGCAGTGGCAGCGCTGCCCTGGGTGGCCCTTCAAGCTCTCCATCTCTTTCCCCCCCAAACCCACGGGACTAGAATACAGGAGCAAGGCGGGGCCCTGCGGTTGCTCCACCATGGACCTCCACAAAGGGCTGGCTTGGCTGGGTTTGTCTGCGGTTCTCCCTGGCTGATGCTTCCTGATCCAGTTTTCCATGTCCTTCCTCAGCAGTGACCAGAGAGGATGCCTGTGGCCAACTTCTGCGGCAGACTTTTCCTCACTGCCCCTGGGTCCCGGGCACTCTGCCTGCCTCCTCCCCATTCCTTGCAGGCAACTTTGATCCCTGCCAAGGGCAGACAGCCTGAGAGCCAAGCATAGCCTGGAGGCTTCAATAAGGAGACCCTCAGGTTCAGAGGGAAATGGTAGCCCCCTTTGTCCTGGCTGGCTGACCAAGCATTGTGGACACAGCACCCCATTAACTTTTCCTGCACACTACTGGTCTGCTTTCCACCCTCCAGACACACTGGCCTGTTTTCTGCTCTCAGGTGTGCCAAGCTTGCTTCTAGGTCTCTGGCCTAGAAGTCCCTGGAATCCCACACACCCGTCTCCTTGTTGGCATTCAACCTTGGCTTAAATGTCACTTTCTTGGGACTCCATCACTCAGGCTGCTACAGAGGCAGGAAGAGGAACAAAAGGATAGAACCACTAGGCTCTAGGGCAGACAGGCGATTCTGTCTCTTTCCTTTGCCCCATCGTTGGACCCAAACTCCTGCAAGATGCTTGAGAAGTGGTAAAAGACACTAGAAAAGCCTACTGCCAGGCCTTCAGGTGTGAATGGAGAAAGGGAGGTCTGGGAGAGAGAAGCGAAGCCAAGGCCCCTGTTTTGCCTGTTGTCTACATTCCGCTTTCAAATCAATGAGGGCATGCTATTGGCTACAGGACCAATCTGATTTTTGGCATATTAAAATGTAGTAACACCAAAAGGTGGTGGGGGTTAGAATCAGTGCTAGGGTTCTACAAGCTGAGACTGCACAGAAAGCAACACGTGGCCAGGATCCAGAATAAAAGGGGAGGGTTCTGAACTGAGTAGCCAGGGAAGGCTTCTTGAAGGAGGTAACATTTTAAAAAATGGAGTCCTGGTGTGTCCCTGAGGCAAGACAGAGAGCAGAGTCTCCGAGTCCTGGCACCATGGACACCCAGCGCTGGACGACTGTTGTGGGGGCCCGCCTGTGCATTGTGAGTCAGTCAGCAGCCTTCCTGGTATCTACCCATTAGATACCTACTGCGCCTGCACTCGACCAGCAATGCCAATCAGGAAGATTTGAGCAGGGTAGACAGGATCTGACCACAAGGCCCTTCTTCAAGGACTTCACCTTGGGCCCTCCCAGCCCTGGGGGTGGGGAGAGGAATTATCACTGTCCACACACATGCTTAATCCCACCTAAGCCATCTTAGTAGTGCCCAACCCTCCTTACCCTGCTCCCTTCACCGGCCTGACACCCAGCCCAGCACCGAGGGAAGGAGGGAGCTGGCCACATCCAGAGGCCAGCTTTCCTTTGGGGGCTGACCCCCACCAGCAGACGGCCAGGGGAGAGGGAACAGGGCGGAGGGACAGAAGAAGAGATAACCTCAGGATTCAGAGGGGGCAAGACCCGACCAGCTGCACTGACATGCAGGTGTGGCAGACACACCCGTTGCATGCATATATCCCAGCCTACTTCTGCCCATGAAGCCATCCCATCCTAACCCAGGGACCACATGGGCCTGAAGACACCGTGGGGTCTTCCTTGCATGTTATTCACATTATTTATGCTAGCATTTTCATTGTTTAAAAAAATACACGGGAGCAACCAGGGACAGCAGGCCAGCATGCTGGCATCTGCCTGTTGTCACTGGCACCCGGGAAGACTGTGTGGACCATGTCTAGGGACTGACCCAACCAGTCTCTAAGAACAGTTGAGGCTCCCTGCTGAGGGAGTGAAAGAATGTCTCTACCATCCCAGAGGGCCTAAACCACGCACGTGTGTTGGTCTTGGACTTTGGGCAGCTAGCCTGGCAGCAGAGGGAACTTCTACATAGGTAGCCTGAGGACACAGCAGGTGCAGTCCCAGCCCTCTCCTTCTCCCCAGTTCCTTTTTAAAGCAAATTATTGTTTAAGTGTGTATGTGTGCAGCAGAAATTATACATTTTCAGAAATGTAGATTTTCAAAAGGAAACCCCGTCCCCTCCCATCGCTTGTCCCGTCTTCCACTGGTAACTTTCCTATCCCTACATAATGCACGTGGATGCTTTTATTTATTTAATGTAGCAGTGGTGAGCCTGTTCTGGAAGGGCAGTGAGTGCCCTGCTGTCCCCATGCTGGATTTATGAGTCTTCTCCTGATCTCCCTTTTGCTGCCTCTGCTGCTGTAAGAAACCTTTTAGACTTCTGCTTTTTATTCTAAGAACATTACAGAGGTTATGCCTCCCCTGGCACAGATGCCAGGGTGGTCACCCCGTCTTCTGTCCCTTCTCCTCCTGCCCGCCTCCCCACTTCCGCACAGTTGCACCTGCCACATTCTCAAGCTGTTTATACTGCGGCTGCCAGCCAATCTCTGCTACCGAGTTAACTGCTCGGGTTCAAAACGCTGTGGACACCCAGGTAGCGGGGGAGGCATGAGTGACTTCACTGGACAAGGAAGTCAGGATGTGGCTAAGGACTGGGGATTTCATAATAGGACGTAAGAAACGAGGTCCTCCTCCCCCTCAGGTAACTGCAACAATGCATAGGGAGAAGAAACCCTGAGGACCAACAAACAGCAAGTGGCTGAGATCCAAAGCGCAGTGTGAGCAACCAGGGAAGGCTTCTGGGAAGAGGCAACATTTAACCATCCTGTAACAGAGAGTCAGAAGGCATTCTCCCCACTGCTGTGTCTTGTAAGCTGTGTGCTGGAATCTCACTCTCTCAATAGCCCCCTGGGATAAGAACTCCCACCTCCCCAAAGGAACATACAACTTCCACCACCTGCTCTTGATTTCCTCAGCAGATGGAGAACTCACATGCACACAGACATTCTGCCCCATCGCACCTGTCTCCCTTCAGCACTGCCCCCTCTTTCAGACAAGAGCTCCGATGATCACTACACCCACCCACCACTTTCCCTTCCCCCAACACATGAGATGGTAAGCACATGAGGCTGCTTCTGGCAGTGCCATCCGGGAACTCCCAGGCCTGATCCCCCCCCTCAGTTTGGTTTGGTGTGTAAGACCCCAAGGCCCAGAGTTCCAGCCTTTCCCAGGGGGTGGATATATGGTCCCTCCCAGCCACCTGTACGAGTGGATGGTACCTGTCGGAGGCAGAGAGCTCCTGTGCGGGCCAGGGCTGGCTGGAATCCCAGGAGTGCTGCTTGGCCGTTCCCAGGTGGTCTCTGGTCAAAGGAAAAAGAAACAAAAATCACCTTGAGAATTTCAGAGGTGAAATCTAGGCTTGAGGCAGAGTAGAAGGAGATGGACAGAGCTGAAAAAAATCCAAACAAAAAAATCAGAGTTGGGCGAGTTACCTTATGCCCAGAGGACCCTACCTTCTACTGTCTGCCCCCTCCTCAACATGAGAACAAAGGAACTCCTCTTTGCTGGTGCCAGAAGCAGGTGCATGTCCAGCTGGAACCTCCCTGGAATGGCCTCCGGTGCCCCTTCTCCTGCCCACCCTGTACCCAGGGCTGCCCGTTCATTCACCCCCACTTCTGTCCTCAGACCTCATCCAGGCTTCAGCCATGGGGCTCCAGGTGACCAATGGACATTGATCCACACACACCATCACCCTTGGAAGCCCTAAAGCACAGAGGCCAGAGCCCTGGCTCTGGGTTTGTGAGAGACAGGGACATCTCGCACTGACTGAGCTTGATGGCCACAGTTCTTTTCCAGTCTGCTCTTGTAAGTCCCACTTGAACTTCAACATTCACATCTGCCTGGCCTTCTCTCTCTTTTCTGATACCCAGCGATGCGGCCCAATTAGAACCAACGTAAATATCCTCCCCAACACTGCTTCACCCATTTCACTGCTTGGAATATACACTTCCCATAAAATTATTTAGTGATGAAAATGGGATTTTCTGGGACAGGTGTCAGGCCTAGCAGACAGGACACTGCTTGGGATGGCCATGTAAAGTATCTTGGTGCCTACGTTCAGATCCTGGTCCCAGCTCCTGATTCCAGCTTCCTGCCGATGAGAGGTGGTAGTGATGGCTTGGGTCCCTGCCACCTACATGGAAGACTGGGTGGAGTTCCTGGCTCCTATCTTGGGCCTGGTGCCAGGCCCTTTTCTCATCAACCTCTCTTCTCTGTCTGAAAGATCAGCCTCCACTGGAGCTGCATCCTCATCCTTCTCCCTTCTCCTCATCATCTCCCCATCCATGAGGTTAGCCCAGCCCTCTCCTCCTGGTTCTGTGGTTCCTGGAAACCCAGAGTCTTCACCAGTTCTTCCTCAGGTCCCTCCACCCACATCTCATAAGTCCCCTCCTCCTCTTCTCCATCTCACTCAGTTCTTGTCCACCTGAGCGGTCGCTCTACATCTCCCATGTGGAATCCGCTAAGCCAGCTGCTGCGGCAAGCTCCCCAGGGCTGCCCAGGGAAAGCCCCTTGCAGCCTAACCCACAGCTCTCAGCGCTCTAGACATTCTCCAGGGCCAGGCCCTGCCTACCTACCTGCCTGTCAATCTGCCTTCCCAGTGACTTTGCTCCTCCAGACCCAGTGACCTGGGTCTGGCTGCAACCCTTGGACCCTGCACCAGTGGCCTGCTTCCCCTTAAGCTGGACTCGGCTGGTTTTCAGCTGTGCACTGACAGGCTCTAAGCTGCCCCCAATGGTCATCAGGTGAAATAACCATAGGGAAGGTACCAACTTTGAAGTCTTGATCTCTGCCTCCTTGAAGGTCCTCTGGAAGCTGGTTTACTTGCAGACTACCCTGTTCTCCTGGGCCAAGCTGATAAGTACCCTCGCCATGGAGGTGAATCTCAAGGGGTTTTCAGGTGCCGCTGCTTAGCCCAGGCACCCAGCTGTCAGCAAATACAGAAACTGCAGTTGGGCGAGCATCCTCTGAACACGACTGGAACAAGCAAGTGTGGAGGCCAAGTCAGGCCTAAGTCTTCCTTTCCTCCTGGGACTCAGCCTGAAGCCGGGCTCAGGGACTCTGTCCTATTCCATACGCCAGTGTTTGCCTGGTGCCTTCTGGTAACTAGGGGTATCTGGCTATGGGGCATTTCCAATCCCTTCTTAGAATTCAGCAAAAATTTTACAGTTGCTACGTGTCAGCTAGGAAATGTGTGGTATTTCCCCCCTCACTTTGCAGGCTGTTGTGGATTGCCCCTTTCCAAGTTATTGTATATTGCCCTTATAAAAACTCTGTGAATTGTGCGGAGTAGGCTGCACTCCGGTAAGGGGTGTTGGTCCGGGCTGGCTGGTTGGCTGGCTGGTTGGTCAGTCAGCTGCCTGCTCTCAACCAAGAACCCAAGCTATGACATGCTGAGCTTGAATAAACCATTGTTGTGCGTTTGCATCGGAAAAAAATTTCAATATTTTAAAGAAATTAAATATGAGGGGGCTGCGGCACACAGAGTTAAACCACCGTCTCTGACTACAGCATCCCATAAGGGCGTTGGTTCCAGTTCCAGCTGCTCCCTTTCCGATCCAGCTCCTTGCTACTGTGCTGCAAGAGCAGTAAAAATGGCCCAAGTGCTGGGCCTGGCGCGGTGGCACAGTGGTTAAGGTCCTCGCCTTGCACGCCCAGGATCCCATATGGGCGCCGGTTCTATCCCAGCAGCCCTGCTTCCCTTCCAGCTCCCTGCCTGTGGCCTGGGAAAGCAGTTGAGGACGGCCCAAAGCTTTGGGACCCTGCACCCGCGTGGGAGACCCGGAAGAGGCTCCTGGCTTCGGACCGACACAGCATCGGCCGTTGCGCTCACTTGGGGAGTAAATCATCGGACGGAAGATCTTCCTCTCTGTCTCTCCTCTCTGTATATCCGCCTTTCCAATAAAAAAAAAAAATAATAAAATGGCCCAAGTGCTGGGTCCCCTGCCAACCACATGGAAGACCTAAAGGGAGTTGTAGGCTCCTGGCTTTAGCTTGGCACAGCCCTGGCCCCTGCAGGTTTTTGGGGAACGAACAGGTGGATGGAAGTGCTCTCTATCCACAACATTGCATCTTAAATAAATTTTTAAAAGGAAACTAGACACAATTTAAATTCTAACCACATGGGAAAGTAACTATTACCTGAGGGTGAATAGTCGGCATTGTGGCTAAGTCACCATTGGTGACGCTTGTACCACATAACAGTGTTTGGTCATGCCTTAAGTCCCAGCTAGTTCACTTGATGGACCAAGTATTTGAGTCCTTGCCAGCCACATGGGAGATCTGAACTGAGTTCCTGGCTCCTGGATTGAGCCTCAACAGCTGCTCCTGGGAGGGCTTCTAGAGGGAGGGATGTGAATCAGCAGATGGGAGTCTTATCTGTGTCTTGCTTTAGTTCTGCCTTTCAAATAAATTTTTAAAAATTACGTTAGTAGGAAAACACATTAATTTTATAACATTGCTTGGTTTTCTCTCAACGCCCCTTTTCAATGTTCTGAAGAATCTTGGTAGACTGCCTAGCACTGAGAAGGAGATTGTATAGACCTGGATGTGGATGGAGGGGTAATAAGAACGGACTACAATATAAGAAGAAAATGTGTCTGATCCGTGAGCTAAGAGGTGTGGGCAACTGACAGCTAGCTTACAGACACTATGACTCCCCCAACTGATGGCTGAATAAACCACAGGAAGGTGCCAGGAAGGCAACCTCTGTCACCCCCTGGCCAGGATGCTCGGGATCCGGAGCCTAAGTACAGGCCCCTGGCAGCACTCTGCTCTCACCTCCCAAACTTAACACTCAGCAGAAACTCAGGCAGACCCTCTGCCCTGGGGGTGTTGGCTGGGTCCCAGAAATCATCATTTTTCAAGACTCACACATTTATTTATTTGCAATGGTAGAGTTACAGAGACAGAGGAATCATCCACCTGTTGGTTCATTTTCCAAATGGCCACAATGGATGGCTAGGGACGGACCCAGTAGAAACTAGGAGCCTGGAACTCCATCCAGGTCTCCCTTGTGGGTGTCAGGGGGCCCGAGTACTTGGGCCATCTTTCGCTGCTTTCCCAGGTTGGATTGGAAGTGGAGTATCTTGGACTCAAACTAATGCCAGTATATGGATGACAGCTTTACCTGCCAGGTCACAATCAAGATATTCTTCCCCAGGGACCTCACAGTCCAGTTTGTATCTTTGTCATTGACCTTCAAACCTTCTGTGTCCTGGGGTAGAACTGCTCTGGGGGAGCTAACATGCCCAGCAGACATACGATGTCTTCCCCCCTCCGCAGCCTGCCTTCCTGCCCATCACTCCCAGCAGATGTTTCTTGAGATGCCAGCTCCTAGTGTCCCTGGGTACTGACTACAGCAGGCACTCATTAAGTGTAGGTTTTTAAAAATATATGCATTTATTTATTTGAAAGGTAGAGTGAGGGCCCAGCATGGTAGCCTAGTGGCTAAACTCCTTGCCTTATATGTGTCAGGATCCCATACTGTCGCTGGTTCTAATCCCTGCAGCGCAGTTTCCTATCCAGCTCCCTGCTTGTGGCCTGGGAAAGCAGTTGAGGACACCCCAAAGCTTTGGAACCCTACACACCTATGTGGGAGACCCGAAAGAGGTTCTGGGATCCTGGCTTTGGATTGGTGCAGTTCCAGCCATTGCGGTCACTTGGGGAGTGAATCAATGGACAGAAGATCTTCCTCTCTGTCTCTCCTCTTCTCTGTATATCTGAGTTTCTAATAAAAATAAGGTAAATCTTAAAAAAAAAAAAAAGAAAGAAAGGTAGAGTGATGGAGAGACAGAGCGCTCTTCCATTGCTGATTACTTCCGTCTGACTGTAATGGCCAAGGCAGGGCCAACCTGAAGCCAGGATCCCTCCGGGTCTCCCATGTGAGTGGTGGGGGAGCTGGACCATCATCTGTCAATTTTCCCGGCACATGAGCAGGGAACTGGATGGCGAACGGAGCAGCTAGGGCTTGAACTGGTGCTCTAATAGGGGACACTAGTGTTGTGTGTGGTTGCTTCACCTGCACAGGCTCAGCTCAGTAAAGAAAGCTTTTCATGGATGAATGAAGCAGCTATGAGAAGTAAGTTCAGTTAACATCACTACTGGCTGATTGCTAACTGCACTTGCTCCCCCTGCACCACACCTGTGTATGATGGCAATCAAAGGAAAACTTGAGAGACAGCAAGACTAAGACGGGGGCCGGGAAAACAGAGTCTCAATTCTCTTGACACCCTGCGAATTACAAAGCAGCCTGCAGCACAATTTTAGAAAGGCAAAGAACCTACTCAGTTGGTTTATCAGA